AGAATTAAATCTGCCTATTGCTGGTTTTTCTTTAGGCCTTAATGTTATATAAACTATCAATAAGACATATTTATTAACATGACAAAAACGACTATAATCAAAACTCAATGCCATTTAATAGATCTGATTTTAGAGGATTAGAATGGTTCAACCATTTAATGATTTAATCTAAAAATGGAGAAGCAAGGCTAAGCTTCGAACAACCAGTACAGTGGTTGAAATTATTGCACATGTCTTGTCAAACTTTCAAAGGTTAATATCTTCGCTCAAAATAAAGTAATCTGAATGAAATTTTCAATATTTTCATTTTCCATTATCTATATTAAACTTCTATAGCGAGAACGATCAGCTCTTATCTAAATCTTACATAATGTATCTTTAAGATAAAAATAACTTGAAATGAATAACTTCCTACTGGCACTGGGCTAAGGAAGATGGGGATTACACCACACAGTGTGCTATGAGGGACATTTTGCCCGGACAGCAATTGAATTTCCAACTGTCAAGGCTTCTTTTATGTGCATGCCAAGGTGTACAAGGGGACCTTGATTTTTGTGAAATGAAAAGAGTTTAACGTCCTACTGTCCTGGTCCGAACTGGGCTAACGAAGACGAGCATACACCATACAGTGTGCTATGAGGGAAATTTTTCCCGGACAGCAACACTACGGCCTACTCTTATATCGAATTCCAACTGCCAAGGGATCTTTTACGTGCATTCCAATGTATACACGGAACCTCGGTTTTTCATTCCATCCGAACAACTAGACAGCTGTCCTTGTCAGGCCCTCCCTGTCCTGCATTACTTGATTTTTGTACCATCCTAAAAAGATGCTATTCCTTGCCAGGTCCTCAGTACTGGTCATTTTAAAAAAATAATATCATCTTTAAATTAATATTACGTTTTAATATGCGATACTTAAATTATATAAAATTATAAGGTACTTTTGAATATTCTGTCTGAATTATCCGAGTCCGAAATATCCATCTACATTCAACTCACCTTTTTCTTCATGATACCAGTCTCTCCCTTCAATCTCATGTTGGCCTCTTTTTCATCTCTCAAACGTCTCTCGTATTTATTTTTAATATCTAGAATCTCGCGATCGGCATCCTCTTCTATCTGACGTTTGGTTTCTTCATATTCACGATTCTGTTGTCGAGATTCGTCATTGGCCTGAACAAATATATAATACAATGTTTATAATTCCACCACAAATTCATAATGTGTTGGCTTGAAAAATCAACCCCTAATTCTAACCACTGATACAAATCTGAAATTCAATTAATAATTATTTTCTAATTTTTTTTGAGCTAGAGTTCATATGATGACGCAAAAACTAAAAAATACTTAGAAAATTTATGAATCAATTTTTGAGACAACTGACCCTTTCAACAACACCTGCTTGTTCTAAACACGTACCTGTTTTAGTCGAGACAACCGACCCTCCCTACACCAGTTATAATTATATAAACATACCTGTCTACTTGAGACAACTCACCCTCCCAGCAATTGTTCTAGTTAAGACAACCCAACCTCCCAACACCTGCTAACTATAAACACGTACCTGTTTTAGTTGAGACAACTCACCCTCCCAAAACCTGTTCTAATTAGATAATTAGCAATTGTTCTAATTGAGACAACCCACCCTCCCAACACCTGCTAGTTATATAAACGTACCTGTTCTAATTTCGATGACATCTCTTGTATTTTAGTTTCGTAAAACTCTGTTAATTCTTCTAAAGCTCTTTCTTTGCTTTCTTCCATCTCCTGTAGCTGACGTTCATAATCTTCCTGCATCTTCATCATCTTCGCTTGTTGTTCTTGAAACTTTTCATATTCTAACATCAACTTCTGATTATTGGCCGATTCTATAAAACACAAATCAACAAAATGAAATCCGTCATACAGTGTTCTATGAGGGAAATTTTGCCTGGACAGCAGTTCTACGTTCCACTCTTATTTCGTATTCCAAATTTTAGAAATGAAATGGTGTTCTGCTCCGAACTGGGCTAACGAAGACGGGCGTACGCCATAAAGTGTGCTATGAGGAAAATTTTGCCCGGGCCTGCTCTTATATCGAATTCCAACTGCCAAGGGATCTTTTACGTTCACACCAATGTATACACAGGGCCTCAGGTTTTTCAACCCATCCGAACGACTGACAGCTGTCCTGCACCACTGACAAGGGGAAACCACGTCGTCCAAATTTTACGTTCACACTAATGTACATAGCACCTTGGTTTCTCGTCCCATTCAAATGAATAGTTCCTGTTTTTGCCAGACACTCTGACCTGCAACACTGACAATGGGAGAGAGAGAGAAATGGGGTTTAACCTCCACTCAACACAAACTAGGTCATTTCAGGACTAACATATGGTTTAATTTTATTTCAATAGGGGTCTTTAGCAGTGGGAGGAAACAGGAGGACCCGGAGAAAACCCACGAGGTTGGACATGCAACCCAACTCCTTGTCACATACAACCGGGGATTCAAAACCAGGCCAGTTGACTCAATGACAGGCCTTATGATACAGCGCGCACATGCTACCATTCGGCCATCCAACCCCCTACTGACAATGGGAAATCACGTTGGAAAATCTGGGCGATGAGATCAAGCTTGGTTCCTGGTCCGTCTGTTCTTCTTGTGTCTGGCAAAATGTGATTTAGTTTGTCAAGGATCCTTACACAGCTCTACACAAAACCAACATGACCGAGTGATGTTAAAAGATTTCAAACTTATGAAAATATTTTGTTTTTTCTCACCTAAATCTTGTTGTTCTTTGGCGTATTTCTCCATCAAATCTCCCACTTCTTCCTCATGTTTCGCCTCTTCTTTATCTTTCTCTGTTTTTAACACCTGTGGAAAATAAAACACACGTTAAAACACCTGTGGAATAAAACGTACGTTAAAACACCTGTTGAGAGATTGGCAACCAATCCAATAAAGTTTCACTTTTGATAATAATCATCCAAATGGTATAGAGTAATACTAATATATAAGAGCTTTACAAGTAAGAATGCATAGTTCAAGTTGACAAACAGCCAATTAGAACAAAATTTTATCGAAGTCGCCCAAAAACTTTATTGTGTGTTTTCAGTAACTAATCTTGGAAAGATGGAAATTAAAGTACTTCTGATAAATTCAGTGGGTGCGAAAACATAGATCTTCTATATCGTGAAACCGAAATAGCCAAAATCCCATATGGCATAAGTTCCGGTCAGATAAATATAACATGTGTCCCACTCTATTACGAAAGAAAACATCAAAAACTACTTGTATACCAATGTTCAAGTGTTCTTTGAGGGAAATTTTTTCTGGACAGCAGCGCTATGGCAAATCAAATTCCAAGTGCCAAGGGATCTTTTATGCCCCATCTACTAACCTGGTTTTTAGTTTTCAATGATTCCATCTCCTGTATAAATTTCTCCGTCAATTCTTTCATCTTCTCGTTGTAATTCATGTCTTTCAATCTTAGTTGATATTCATTCTCCATCTTTAATTCTTCTACCCGGGTTTTTAACTCGGCCATAGACGAGTTCTACAGGTCATAAAAATATAGTCATTATTATAGACAAGTTCTACAGGTCATAATTTTAATATAGAAGTTACCGTTTCATTTGTAATTGTTCAATTCCATGTAGAAATGAAGTGGAATATAAAATGGATATGAAACGGGGTTCAATGTCATACTTTTCTACACAGACTGGGCTAATCAAGACTGACATACGCCAAGCAGTGTTCTATAAGAAAATTTAGCCTGAACTGCAGTATTTCCGACTACTTTTAATCAAATTGCAACTGCTTGCATTTGATTGGTCAATTCATAGGACTTCTATAAGTGTCATTTATTAATTGAACAGTAACACACTAACACTATTTATGGAATAACAATTACTGGTTTATTAACATGCAACGTTTCGACGATCATACTCTCGTCTTTATCAAGCAAATGATAACATAATTCATAGGACAGCTCCTACGTGAATAAAACCAAGTACGAACAATCCAAACCATTAGACGAAATTCGAAGTCCTAAAAAAACGGTATAGGCAAAATAGTGTAATAAGGCATAATAGTGTAATCAGCATATGGACTGTTCACCGTGTACAAAATACACGACAAACAGTGGTAACAGGTGTCCGGAAGAGTAAGCTTACCCTGCCTGGTGCCACACCCTATAGGACAAATTTTCCCGTTCACATGAAAGGATTTAACTTATGGATATAAAACCTCAGGGTACATCCACTGGTGTGAAACCGAAACATAACGCCCGTGTAGCCTATCACTAAACCAGTAATTGTTGTCCCATGTTCCAACTTTTATTTTTGTTAAAATATTTCATTAATTTTAAGGCTCACTTACCTTCTCCTCTAAATCACTTTTTGTGATTAAAATTTCTTCGGCCCATCCGACTTCTTTGTCTCTCTTTAACCCTCGTCCTTCTTTATCCTGGATCTTCCATAACATGATGGTCGCATCTTCTGCTACCGTTATCAAATACTGATCATCGTACGTTATTTTCATCTACATAAAAAAATAATTGTGCAATTCAAATGTTTAGTATGAAAACAATACTACATTTATGAAATACTTATCATTTTTACCTACATAAAAAAATGTTTAGTATAAAAAATTTTGAATACAGTGGACTCTGTCAATTCTGATATCGTACGGGTTCGATACAATATGCCGGATTACACAGCATGTCGGAATACTCAATTGCCTCAATACTGGAAGAGGAAGTATTACACCAGAACTATTATTGTACTATTGAATACCAGAAGTATTATTATAATGCACCCTCGAATACCCAGAACTTAAAATCTGATGACGTGAGAAACTCAAACCAAATATCAAGCGCTCTATTACAAGAGATTATAAAATTATCAAGGTAATCAACAAAGACCGACACATGTTTTATGCTCAGAGATAATTGATTGGTGATTGCTAATTAAGGCCGGATTATCCAATGTTAATTTAACGCAAATCGTGTCATTTTATGTTATTTTCATCTAGATAAAAAAGTGTTCAGTATTAAAAATTTTAAATACAAAAGAAACAATTTACGCTTCAAGTTTTATAAACTACTGATCATTTTATGTTATTTTAATCAGTGCGTTACGGGGGCCAAAGTAAGGAGGAGAGGGGGGGGCTGAAAATGAATTATTTACTATTCAAATTTTGGCTTAACTTTTATTTAATTTATATCTCTACCATTTACAGAAAACTTACTAACAAAAAAAAATAATGTTTGAACTACGGATCCGATCGTTTGATTGTCTCTGTATTTAGAGATGTGTTGCTCTAAACTTCTCCATCCCCCTCCCTCCGTGATTAATATTAATAATTCACGACTCTTTGGACATTGATTTTATGAACTGACGACGATTATGTACCACCATAGATATGGTATGATAGAGAAACTCTATGTTACTTGACAGGCGATCTCGTTCAATCTTTCGTGAGTCTAAGATACCGTACTGTTAATGTTTACATCGCTGACATCCGGTTAGCAGATTTTAAAGTTATGGATAGACATTTTGGAGTTATTGAGTTAGAAATTCGTCAGGAAAAAATAATGATTTTTTTTATATAACGATTTTCAAACAAGGTGCTTGAATTAAAGCTAAACAATATCGTAAGAAGAACCGGACGGGACAAAAAGCAAAAAGCGGAAATCTGCTTTAAAGCGGGAAAAAATCATGTCTGCTACTACTAGTTACTAGTTGTACCATTCTCAATTCAATAGCTTTAAAATTAAAAAACATTTTTTTTCAGGTAGTTTCACCCCTTTAAGCTTTTCTTCTGAATTCTTTACCTTTATAATCATGGAACTGTGTCCTTGATGTTCCTGCCATTCTCCAGGAATCGTTAGTGGAAACTTCATAGACCAGAGGGTACCTCTAACTGTGCCAGCGAACAACATTCGACCAGAATGAGACAGAGCAACATTACTTAACGTCATCTCACCAGTTGGCACCGCACGGGTGATCTGTAAATACAAAAAATAACTCAAATTTTAATAAAATTTAAAACCACTGGTTGTCATTTGGGAGAAACTACAATATTGTGAATCAAATGCTGTTTAAAAAGTATAACTATTGTACTATGGGGACAAAGCTAATCATGTGACTCTGGTGATTTGGAACACTCTATAAGAAGCCTTCATTACGAGAAATTTCTGGAGGTCAAGTGCTAAAGGTTAAATAAAGAGATTCAATTTCAAAGATTGATAAAAATATACTTACAGCAGAATCAGCAATTTCTTTCAGAGTTTTATCGGAGCCAACAGCGAAAGTTGTTTTGCCGTCTGGTGCTACGGCTACTCCAGTGTAGCTACAAGACTTGAGCACGATTTCTGACTGTCTTTTACCAGTGCTGATTTCCCATTCATAAACGGCTCCGTCCATTCCACATGATATAATTCTACTATCATCGGAACTCCACACCATGGAACGAACTTTACCGTTATGACCTTTCAAATTTGCGATGTTTTCAAAAGTTGTGGTTGAATAAATCTGAATGACGTTTCCATGAACGGCAGCGAAATAATGTCCTCCATTACTAAAAGCACACTGTGAAAGAAAAAAAAAAAAAATTGAAGCGTTTAATCTCGAGTTTTCTCAGAGAGGAGTTTAACCGCATTTCGGGACTAACATATGGTTCTATTTTATTTCAATAATTCGTGTTGGATCTTTAGCAGACGACCCTACTCCGTGTCATGTTCAACTGGGGAATAGAAACCACGCCAGTTGACTCAATGATAGACCTTATGATACAACATCCACACACTAACCATTCGGCCACCCACCTCCCCTTATCTCAAATAACGAACATTGCATTGATTGAAACTTTTAACGTTCAGATATAAGGGTTTCCAATATTATAGCTATCATTAAATCACATTCTAGCTTCTTCAGGGTTCAGGGTCAGAATTTAGATGTAGAAATTCTTGCTTATTATCTAATTATGCTGTGGATTAGAATATGATTTAGCGACAGTTTGACATAGCTATATCCGTTCATATAACTTTGACCATTATTTCGGAGATATTTAATCCCTTGCGAACTACAATATTTTTTAAGTCGAATCTCTAAAATGGTTCTATTCCATTTAGCATTGATAAAGATATGCCAACATTCAACATCCTTTGCCAGCGATATAAATGAATAGTTCAACGTGTCAAAGTCGTTTGGATGGGATGAAAAACCGTGTTCCCATGTACACATTGGCGTGCACGTAAAAGATCCCTTGGCAGTTGGAATTCGATATAAGAGTAGGCCTAGGCAAAAGTTCCCTCATAGCACACTGTATGGCGTATGCACGTCTTTATTAGCCTAGTCGGAGCAGAACAGTAGGACATTAAACCCCATTTTTATTTCATTTCAGTTTCTTACCTCTCGACATCCTCGAACTGTAAACTCCTTGAATGTTCTGATGTCATCAATTAGAACGTTCATGAGTCGTAGTTTATCGGAGAAACCGACGAGTATATACAGACCAGATGGATGAAGAGCTATACTGTACGCTTCTTCAGCAAATTCTTTATACAACTCTAAATTACTGGAAATAAAAAAGAGAAGGGAAAAATGAGAGATGGGGTTTAAAGTCCACTTGACTTAAACTAGGTCATTTTGGGACTAACATATGGTTCAATTTTATTTCTCTAGGATGATTTTGACCGGACATAATCATTTCCTTTGCAAATTACTAAAAATATATTTTGATCTAATGAATAACACCCACCGGGGCTATATAATATTGATGTGCATGGTTGAACTCCTTCCTATAAATATACTTTGATCTAATATATACAATTATATATCCTGTGGGTTTGGGTGGTCGAATGATTTAACCCTTACGATTTAGATTATAAAGTTTATCTTTGAGTCATCTGGCGCGGAAACCAAGATTGCATGTTAAAAGGAGTAGGATCGCCTGGCTAATCTCGTGGGTTTTCTTCGGAAGCTCCAATTTCATTTTACTAGGTCATTTTGGGACTAACATGGGACAATTTCATTTCAATAGTTCACTTGATTGAAGGTTCTTCAGCTGTAGGAGGAAAATGGAGGACCCAGAGAAAAAGCAGGAGATTGGACAGACGACTACTCCTTGTCAAGTACAAGCAGGGAATAGAAACGCCACTTGACTCAAAGACACCCAATCACCCCCCACTACTGGAAATAAAAGCAGGAATAAGGGTTCCAATATTGGCGACATGGACTTTTGTCATAATTCTTGAATCATAGTTTTTATGATCAATTCTTGAAATCTGAATTTTAGAATTTCTAGAAACATAAAAGTCTAATGTAAACTGTTTTAGACACAAGCACAAATGATAAGAAAAACACTTATAGAAACGTTGTGCCATATGTGTATAAACCAGTGATTGTTATCTAGATATACTGTGTTGTGTTTTTTTATTGTGGTCAGTCGCCGACTGCTATTGTTTTATTGTTTACAGTAGTCCAGCCAGATTGCCAGGGGGAGATTCGTTATTGCTGGCACAATATATCGTTCATTCCATGTATCGAAATTCAACTCAGTAAGTAACCTGTCACTCTTAATTATCCACGTCACACAAACACTCAAAATTGTTTAGGTCCTTATTTTGATCCACATCAATATCGTGATATAAAACATTATTTCTACGACATCAGCAGGAATAAAAAAACAAAACAATTATTTATCCTGTTGTTTTATTGGTGAATATTGACCTGGTTATGACTCGTGATACGAATTGTATCATAGCACCTGAATCACAATACGTACTGTATCATGACTACAGTGGCAATACCCAGCACTAAGTCATAATGAACAGTGTCTAGGATTCTAATTTGATCTTGTCTCGTTGAAGGGGGGTTGGATGGCCGAATGGTTAGCACGTGCGCGCTGCACTGTATCATACGGTCTGTCATTGAGTCAACTAGCAGGGTTTTGATTCCCTGGTTGTACGTGACAAGGAGTAGGGTCGCCTGTCTAACCTCGTGGGTTTTCTCCCGGTCCTCCGGTTTCCTCCCACTGCTAAAGACCCCTACGCACAAGCGAATTATGAATTAAAATTAAACCATGTGTTAGTCCAGAAATGACATAGTTTGTGTCGAGTGGGCGTTAAACCCCATTTCTCTCTCTCTCTCTCTCTGTCTCGTTGAATCTGACAAATAATCAAGTCTATTACTTACCATGTTTCATAGTTCCAGATTCTAACTGATCTATCTAAAGATGCTGTAGCCATCAATGGTTTTCTAATACAAACATCTAAACCCATAATTTGACCATAATGAAACGCCTGGGCGAGAACTTCAAACGTTGCCTGGTCTCCATGCTGTAAGAAAAGTCATGAATTTTGACATTACAAAACGCTAATCTGGAATAAATATCACTTTGTAACCTGTTTATTTTAACAATATTAAGTTGACCAATACTAAGTTTTCTTGTGTACGATTCTTAATAGTTCATTGGGATTTTTCACCGTGGTTTTCCATTGTCAGTGGAGGACAGAGATCCCGATAAGGACAGCTGTGTACTCGATCGGATGAGACGATAAACTGAGTACCTGTCTATGCATTGGTGTGCACGGAAAAGATCCCTTAATTGGACAGACGACCCTACTCCTTGTCATGTACAATCTGGGAATCGAAACCACACCAGTTGACTCAATGACATACTTTCTGATACAGCGCGTATGCGCTGACCATTCAGCCATCCAAAACCACTCTGAGGAGGATAGATGATCAGCTGCAGTATGGTGTCACGATGAAAGTCAATTTGTTTAAACATACATTATGCAAGAGCTAAATCTGTCTATTGCAGTTGGCTTGAAATGTTATATAAATTATTAATTAGACATTAATTAACTTATCCAGGCCATAATCAACTCTCGATGTCATCGCTAACCTGCGATGTTTATTGGATTAGGTTCCGATTTTCTGTTCGACTTCCATTCATAATTTAATCATGAAATGGATAATTGAGACTATGTTTTTTATCCTACAGACTTCAGTAATGATGATCGAGGCTAGGTCAAAAATTCAATCTCTAAAACCTTGGCTCAGATTGGATCAATTTGACTGAAATTTCCATCAAATTTCCTTTACATTATCTAGTTTTTAACTATTATAGTAAGAACTACCAGACCTTTATCTAATCTCCCATAAAGTATCTTTAATGTTACATACCTTGCCAAGATCAGCGCTGGATAATGTCAGATAATACAATTGACTAAAATCTGTTGAGGCTACCAATGTTTCTTCGGATGGACTGACTGTCAGACATTTTATAATCTGTTGTTGTGATTTACTGGGGTCTGTTGTGTTGCTATCTGCTGGTACCTATAATACACAAGGTTTACTACAAACTAGGTCATTACGGGACTAACACATGGTTCAATTTTATTTAGATAATTCACTTGTGTGTAGGGGTCTTAATGTGTGGGAGGAAACCGGAGGACACAAAGAAAGCCTACAAGGTTGGACAGGTGACACTACTTGTCATATAAAAGTGGGGAATCGAAAGCAATAACAGACCACCTTGATTTAACCTGCATGCATTAAACCATTCGGATCCCCCAACCCCTCTTCCGTTCAAATAACCTTGAAAACCCCTTTGAATTCAAGTATTCATGGAGAACAGTTACAACATAAGAGAAAGAAATGGGGTTTAACGTCCACTCAACACAAACTAGGTCATTTCGGGATTAACATACCTGTAGTTCAATTTTATTTCAATCATTCGCTTGCACGTAGGGGTCTTTAGCAGTGGGAGGAAACCGAAGGATCCGGAGAAAACCCACAAGGTTGGACAGGTGACCCTACTCCTTGTCACAGACAACCAGGGATTCGAAACCATGCCAGTTGACTCAATGACAAACCTTATGATACAATGTGCAAGCACTAACCATTCAGCCACACAACTCCCACAAAATAACTAGAGAAGCCTTGTCGAAACGTCGCTCAGTAATAAGCTGTAATTAATTGTATTCCATAGAATTCTGACCTGTATAAAACAACTCTTATTGTAACATGACGCAATTCTTACCTTTATTTCTCTTGTCTTTTTATAAAAATCTTTATCGTCTGTTTTCTCAAATAAATGAACGGTTCCTTGTCCATAAGCGCTGGCGAAACCTTTAGAATAAGCTACAATAGCTGTTATTTGAGGAGGTCCAACTTGAGCAGCAGAAGCATCACCATCTTTACTGAAAAACATAAACATTTTGTCAATTACTGTTTCTGATTGCCATATGAAGGATTGTTAATCCTGTACAAACTAAGATAATGTGAATCTCTAAAGATGACTCTCTAAAGTAAAAGGTTGAATTATGTCTAGTATTTACACATGAATTATGTTTAGCTTTACACATGAATTATATTTAGTTTACACACGAATTATGTTTAGTATTTACACTTGAATTATGTTTAGTATTTACACTTGAATTATGTTTAGTACTTACACATGAATTATGTTTAGTATTTAAACATGAATTATGATTATTATTTACACATGAATTATATTTAGTATTTAAACATGAATTATGTTTAGTACTTACACATGGATTATGTTTAGTATTTAAACATGAATTATGATTATTATTTACACATGAATTATATTTAGTATTTAACCATGAATTATGTTTAGTACTTACACATGAAATATGTTTAGTCATTAAACATGAATTATGTTGTTATTTACACTTCACACATGTATTATGTTTAGTATTTGCACATGAATTATGTCTAGTATTTGCACATGAATTATGTATAGTATTTCCACATGAATTGAAAATTCACGGACATTTGGAATCTCTTGGGACAGATGATGTATAGGATGCAACACAAGCAAGAGTATCAATGATTTTGGATGAAATCTTTTGATGGAATCCAAGGTAGATCATCATACTGTTGATATTCTGATTTTTTTCCTTAATTTTATGATAAATAACCAGTTTGACTGAGATGGGGAAAGTGGGGCACGATGGGACATTTTTGACACATTAAGATTTTCTACTCAAACTGATGAGACAAATCGAGGTTTGATAATGTCATACTAAGTTTCAAAATTTCAGTTGAAATACATTTCAAGAAATGTAAAAAAAGAGTTTAAGATATTTGTTACCGTGAACCCAGGCTGTGCCCAATGTCCCACTGTGCCCCCGTCTTCCTTACATTTTGGCAAGGATTAAATTAGCTATTGTTAAAAAAAACCAAAATACAAATGACAACAAACAACTTTCTATTAAAGATTACAAAGATATTCAAATTTACCTATCATCCTTATGTGAACCACTGGATATTTCAGTCTTCAGTTCCCCAGCTTCAAACAGCATCAATTTACCACTATCAGTTCCAACCACAACACGTTCTTCTGATACCCAGGCATGACACAGATAGTTCTGTGGTTCAACTTTTTGAAAATTGAACGGCTTCAGATTACCCTCACTGTAGCGAAAATGTTTAAAGATTCCATTTCCAACAACGCATAGCTGGGTATTATCTTGGGGATTAAAACTCACCTGAAATTATTAAAATTAATTGCATGATATATACATGTCTGGGAATATAAGGGCACCTGTCTTAGACAGGTACAAATTCAGGTTTTGTCAGGTACAATTCCACTAGTGCCGGTCATTTTGCTAGGTTCAAATAAAGTCATGTTCACAACCGCAATACATCAAAGGAGCTGAATCGCTAATATTTGGGTCCTAGAAATTGACACAAATGGGTGAAACGATTTGTGTACCAATGGTAAAATGTTTATTTTGTCTTAAATATTGGATTTCAGAAGCCCATCTTTTCCCGGTGAGATCACAACATCAATGTTGATTCAAATTGACAAATAATTTGTGTTTTCGATGTCGATGACTGTGGATGATATTGGGTTAAAAAACTTACAATTTAAATAATATCCAGTTATGACTTAGCCTACGGTGCCTACCTGATAAATATCTGCTGTATTTTGTGGATTTGATGTTTTGGCCGTTGCCATGACTTTTGATTTTTCCCAGGTCCAGTATAATAAAGTCCAGTCTGGTTTACCACCCTGTGCCACCAGGTATTTAGAATCTGGTGAGAAAGCGAGACTGACATATTCGGCCGAGACAATATCAGGACAACTTAGAACTTTTTTCTTCCTTAAGGAGTGCAGATCATACACAGTGATTGTTGGCTTTTCACCCTTTTCTGCAATGGCGACATATCTTCTGTTTGGACTGACGGCAAGACATGTCATGCCATCACTCTTATCAGTCCCTGGTATAAATCTCTGGGTCTTCTGATCAATATTGTATAAAATACAATTTGACCCAGCAGGATAGACGATAGTCTGTTCATCATGGTAGCATATAGTTCCATTCACCCCAGGCTTCACGCCAAATATGTGCCGGGGTTGGGCAATTGCTATTGACATAGTGGCTGTTTAAAATCCAATCCTGAAATATAATTTTAATATCGGTTAAACCATGATTAGTAAAACTGTATTCATAAATTTCATATTTGAGGTTACCGATGAAGTTAAGATGAATAACCACAAAATTATTGTTAAACTTACGACAGTACCTTCTTTGCTTTTTTCCAATTTGCTGACTGAAATTTACGGGTTTTTTTTAAAATCCTATTCACTGTTATTCTGGTATTCCTACTCCTTCTGTAGGCTAATCTTACCGTTTTGCTTGTTTGGACAAACAGGGATCAATTTTAAAAAGCAACCAAGGCTTTACCTACTAGCTTTCAGTTTCAGCTAGGCTAGATAGTAATTGATTAATATATGCCTACTGGCTTAAGATCAATCATATTCATAAATAAACACTGATTCGTGCAAGCAGTGAAATGAGTGATTGATTTGTGTTGGGTTTTGTTTTTTTACCTCCAACAATGTTAATGTCTAATTATCTCTATAGTCAGATCTAGTGAATCCTGTTATTGCGCAAACATGTCTCATACGTGTAAGATCTTACCACTAAATTCTTGTTTCAGAAACCAAGTTTGGAGAGGCTTCACATTAAAAAATAAAGTTCAGCCACAGTTGATGTTTGTTTCCAATGGCAACAATGCGCAGTTGTTCATTGCGTCAGCGGATATTAAAGGCAAAATATCCGCTTCCGTTAAAACCCGAGTATCTCACATATTTGACAAAAAGGGGTGAGTTAGGTCTACAAATCCCATTTACAGTAACGCATTTCGTATCTCATAATTCACAGTGAATATATTTATCACAATTTCAATCGATTCTTTGATTCTGATATGTTCTTGGGATGAATCTACACTGTGAAGTAGCTAAACGCAAATCAAACAAATATTTCCTTCAATTGTGAATTATTCGTGTTGGTTAATAGAGACTTGAGTAAAAGTAAAACTAGAGGAAGGACAAATACACGACTGCTAACATTTAGTGTTTAAAGAGTTTTTGATTGACACTAAATATTTGATAAATTTTATGGAACTCACTTCGATATTAATATACCACGTATTTTTTATGCGTTGACACAAAGCATGACATACTAAAAATATACACGTACTGTACAAGAAAACCAGTAGGCCTACCCAAATTATAGTAACGGAGAAGGCCTAATTCAATCATTGTTAACTGAATGACATTTTATTAAACCACATAAACATGGCATTGCTAATGATTAGATCTGTATCATGTGCATTAACCCAAAATTTCTCAAGAAAGTGCTGGCTTCGATCTTGTGGTTATTCTAAAACAGCAGCCATTATTCAAATCCAGACACAGGACCCCCAATCTTATATTGAAGCAAGTGACGATGAAACCTTTAAAATATTAGCTAATGATATGCTGGTGTATGACAATTTTCTAACGAAAGAAGAAGAGAAAAGTTTGATAACAGAAATTGAACCAGTCGTGAAAAGAATGCGATATGAATACGAACACTGGGACGATGTATGTTATATTAAAAAAGCTTAGAGCTCTGTAAACACTGCTAACATTTTCAGTAACATGTTGACCTGGTGCGATGTTGGTGAAAAAGTTGGTAGTGTGTCATTCAGTAACATTCGGCAACATGTTGTCCAAATGTTGCCGAAATAAATACAAGATCAATTTAGTTGCCGAGATGCTAATGATGTTGTTGAGTTTTATCAAATCAGAAATGGTCCATAAATCACATGATCTACCTGGAGTAAAGTGATGTAGACAAAATGGCTGAAACCAGCAAGGAATGGCTGTTATATAAGTTGCCTAACATGTTGTCGGACTGTTGCTGTGTGTATACAGGGCCAAATTTTTGTTGCCGAGATGTTACCGAAAATCTTACCGAAAATGTTGGCAGTGTGTACCGAGTTTAAGGGATTCGCGAGGCTCAGTTGGTAAGGCGCTGGCTCACTAACCTGGAAGTCCTTGGTTCTATCCCTGTGTTGGCCGAGACAGTTCCTCAGGATTTTCCAGCGTGGAGGGAAGGAGGACCTGACAAGAAATAGTGTATAGTCCTTTGGATGGGATGAAAAACCGAGATCCTGTGTACACATTGACATGCTTGTAAAAGAGTAGGCCGTAGTGCCACTGTCTGGGTAAAATTCCCCTCATAGCACGCTTTATGGTATATGACCATGTCTTCTTTAGCCAAGTCGGAGTGGAACATTAGGATGCTTAACCCCATTTCATTTCATTTCGTTTACGTCATTTTTCAGGCGATACATGGTTATAGGGAAACGGAGCGGAAAAAATGGAACAATGAGAATCAGTTAATTTTAAAAAGAGTTCGAGAATGTTCGTTTCCAGTTGGTACTCCCCAGATTGATTTTACACATATATTAGATTTAAAGAAAGATGGTTATATTAAGCCACATGTTGATGCTGTTAGGGTAAGTCTATTCTCTCAATGTATAGTCTTTCGGATGGGACAAAAAAACAGGGGTCTTGTGTACACATTGGCGTGCATGTAAAAGATCCCTTTGCAGTTAGAATTCAGTATAAGAATAGGCCATAGTTCCTCTGTCCGGGCAAAATATCCCCCATAGCACACTGTATGGTGTATGCCCGTCTTCATTAGCCCAGTTCGGAGCAGTACAGTAGGACGTTAAACCCCATTTCATTGGTTTTGTTCTACATGATATCAGTACATTAAAATAGAATATTTAGAACAATTAACTCCTATAAAGGTTGTTTTTTTTGTTTGAAAATCCAAAAACCTAATACACTGGAAATCATAAGAAGTGGTATCACATGTTCCATTTTACATTGTATTGGATGGCCGAATGGTTAGCGTGTGTGTGTTGTATCACAAGGTCTGTCATTAAGTCAACTGGCATGGTTTCGATTCCCCGGTTGTACGTCACAACCCCGTGGGTTTTCTCCGGGTCCTCCGGTTTCCTCCCACTGCTAAAGACCCCTACGCGCAAGCAAATTATTGAAATAATATTGAACCATATGTTTGTCCTGAAATGACCTAGTTTGTGTCGAGTGGACATTAAACCCTGGGGATCACAGTGGCTAAGTGGGTAAGACGCTGGCTCGCTAGCCTAGAGGTCGGGTGTTCGATCCCTGCATTGGCCGAGCAAGTTCATCCAGATTTTCCGGCGTTGTTCCCCCTTGTCAGTGATGCAGGACGGAGGGCCTGACAAGAACAGCTGTCTAGTCGTTCGGATGGGACGAAAAAACGAGGTCCGTGTACACATTGGCGTGCACATAAAAGATCCCTTGACAGTTGGAATTCGATATAAGAGTAGGTCGTAGTGCCGCTGTCCGGGCAAAATTTCCCTCATAGCACACTGTATGGCGTATGCCCATCTTGATTAGCCCAGTTCGGAGCAGAACAGTAGGACGTTAAACCCCATTTAATTTCATTTTCACGTAAACCCTATTTCTCTCTCTCTTTGATTTTTAAACAAAATACAAAAGTTCAACAAACCTTTGTGACATGTGATATCAGGTATTCTAGAAATAATATGCATACCCTGTCCTGTGCATGACTGTTACCACATATAGTAATACAAATTTTTTTTTTGTGATTTTTCACGTTTAGTTTTGTGGAAGAATTATTGCTGGTCTGTGTCTGTTGTCACCTTGTGTGATGCGATTAGTGATGGTGGATGACAAAACAAGATATGGAGATATTTTACTTAATCAGCGAGCATTATATGTTATGAAGTAAGTATAATATGAAGGCCATACAAAAAAAATATTTTGGTTCTCGAACAAAAACCTGGAGCAGGAGGGAGGGTTTATTTTAGTGTTTTTATTTTGTCAAAGAATCGCTACACTTGGCTAAATGACTCCTATACACAGTGGTGCAGGATGGCGGGCCTCACAAGAAAGGAGAGAGAGAGAGAGAGAGAGAGAGAGAGAGAGAGAGAGGGGGAGGGTAACGTCCACTCGACACAAACTAGGTAATTTCTGGACTAATATATGGTTCAATTTTATTTCAATAATTCGCTTGCGCATAGGGATCTTTAGCAGTGGGAGGAAAGGGGAGGACGCGGAGAAAACCCACAAGGCTGTCAGGCAACCCTACTCCTTGTCACGTACAAAGCAACAATCAAATCCAAGCCAGTATAAAATTAAAGCTACAATTTCATATTTTTAAGTTATATTTTTGAAATATATTAAAATAAAGCCTTAAAATAGATGGTATCCATAAACCATCCTACCTTGTTAAAGAATAATCCTATTAATCCTATAATTCACTATTGCCAGCTGAGAAATTGGCAAAAATATCTTTTTCAACTTCAAATTCCAACGTTTGAAGGTAGCTAATGCATGGAGGCAATGGGAAAACAAGAGAGGTAATTGTGTTATTATTTCCTGTGTCAATGATTTTTACGGGTGGGAAATAATGCCCATGGTCGTATAATAGTGAATTTATAACCTATTGAGCAAAAGACATATAAATAATGATGTTTTGACTTTCTTAGAAAATATGAAATTCTCGCTTTAAGGCAATACAAAAAAAATATTCTGGATCTCAGACAATCGTAACCAAAAGATCTGATACAGGATTTTATTTGTTTTTATTTTTATTTTGTCAAAGAATCACTACTTGGCTAAATGACTCTTATACTAGGTGGAAAAGATTATGATGATACATTTGATTTTATTAGCTTTTCAAGTAGATGTCATCATTCTTCTCACAAAACTTTTTACAGATTAAAAATCGGATAAAGTTGCGATTTTTTACTTTTCGTGGAAGAAAGGTTTATCAAACCTTTGAGGAAGTCATTTTTGGTGTTTGATGAGATGAAGAAGCCTATTTAATTTCAATATCTTCTGTTAATTTCTTCTGGAGTTAGGCCCTTGTTTCACTTTGTTATACCTTGTGAACGCTTTAACGACAAAAGTTATGAACCGATCTGAATGAAATTCATATGCATCATTTAAACTAGTGAAATGAAGAAGCCTATTGAATGTCAGCAATTTCCGTCAATTACTTCTAGAGTTATGGCCCTTGATTTACTTTGTTGAACCTTGTGAACGTTCGAATGACAAAAGTTAGCATCCAATCTGTATGAAATTTATATGGCTAAATGACTCTTAAGTTATACACAGTGGTGCAGGACATAGGGCCTCACAAGGAAGTTTCAACTGGTTCGGATGGGACAAAAAGTTTCAGTGTACAGGTTGGTGTGCATAGTTGAAATTTGTATAGCTGTTGTCCCGGTCAAAATTTCCCGATTGTATGTGACAAGGAGTAGGGTTGCCTGTCCAACCTTAATGGGTTTTCTCCAGGTCCTCCGGTTTCCTCCCACTGCTAAAGATCCCTACACGCATACACGGAAGCGAATTATTGAAATAAAATTGAACCATGTGTTAGTCCCGAAATGAGCTGGTTTATGTTGAGTGGATGTTCGAGTTAAACTCTCTCTCTCTCTCTCTCTCTCTGTCATTAGGCTAAATGGTGCAGCAAAGTAAGTCGTTAACCCCCCATTCCTTTTTAATTTCATATTGAAATTGTTTTCAGAGACCGAGCAAGATATGAGTTCAGCCATGAAGTTTTAGAGGAAAGCAAGTCAATTTTTAAAGGAAATGTTGTGCCAAGAGATCGGAGAATTTCAGTTATGTGTAGAAATGAGCCAGATAAAGACAATAGGGAGACTTGAAGAGTTTTTAGAGCTGAATGTTGATCAATTGATACAGGTCACAATTCTATGGAATACAATTACTGTGCGACGTTTTGACTAGGCTTCTCTAGTCATTATCAAGCATTTGTTGTTTATTACTGAGCGGCGTTACGACTAGGCTTCTCTAGTCATTATCAAGCAGTTATTATATACCAATAAAATGTTAATTTAAAAAGTCTCTTAGAAATTTGAAATTAATTACGACCAGATTTGTCAGATATTCATATTAGTATCAATTCACCAATGGTGTATCTACAGTATAATCGCAGGTAGGGTACATGCACTGGGCGCCACTTGATGTGGGCACGACTCAGAAGTACTGGCAGACAGAAAATTCTACTGTGTTAGCTAGGGAAGTAGTTATTAAAAGCGTTATTTCTTTTTTTCAGAAATTCATATTGATCTGGTGTGGGGCTCCCAACGTAAGACAAGTGAGCTGAACTTAGACAGTATTATTCCATACATATGAATGTTACTACATTAAACCTAATTTGAAGTTGGTCAGTGATAAATAATGAGGAAACCTTGATACAGAGAGTCATATCCGTTAAGGCTGTAATATTACGAAATAGTAAGCGATCAAACGTCAAACACTGTAAAAATCATACCATAATAGGAGATATAATCAAGAAATCAGACTATTTCATCTGATCGTGATGTATGCACGGAAAAATTATACAGCTAACTAAAATTAACGTACTTCAATCTAGCCAAAATTTGCGATAACACTCCGTCTTTATACTGTTTATATGAATATTATGGCGTCAACAGGACCCTATTAACTGTTCAATGATCAATGGAGGAAAACTTTCCTTGCCAGACATCGGTATTGCATTTTAAGTACATTTCCTGTGATATAGCTCTCTATTTTTGAAAAAAATCAAATGATATGTCTATTTTGCATCATTGTGTTGTAGTGTTGGGTTGTATGTGGTCATATTGAGGTGGTATTGGGTAAATCGTCCAACCCGTTGTTAGGTGTCATTGGGTAATTTGACCTCTGGTTAAAAAGGGACTGGCTGGGATTTGTACATAGATGGAGTTTTGAGCCCGGTAGTTGGACGTATATAGTCATCACCATGTCCATCCGTCAACAATTGGCTTGTAGACGCAATAACTGATACAGTTCTTGGTGAATATTTTTCTAATATGGTGTGAAGCATTGTGGTCATGAGAGGAGGAACCCTATTGATACTCAGTGTTTGTGAAGGTAAAAGAGGCTACAGTTTTTAACAGATTTTTATTAAATTTGATGTGAAGCATTGGGGTCATGAGGGTCATGGGGTTTAATATCCACTCGGTACAAACCAGGTTATTTCGGGTCTAACATGTGGTTCAATTGCATATCAATAATTCGTTTGCACATAACGATCTTTATCATTGGGAGGAAACCGGAAGACCTGGAGGAAACCGGAAGACCTGGAGGAAACCGGAAGACCTGGAGAAAACCCTTGAGGTTGGACATGTCACTTTACTCTTTGTCACGTACAAGCAGAGAATCGAAACCATGCTTAACCATCCATATGAACCATATCCTAATCAGCATTGGATTCCCTTACCTTTTAGAGTGACTCTACCTTTGTCAAAAATCTTGTGAACACCATAGCTGCTGAAACAAATGGGGTCCAATGTCCCACTTATCACAACTGTACGTCCTACCCACAGTTACGCCCCCTTTCGGAAAACCTTTGATTTGTTTCACATCTGTTGTGAAGTCTTAGGGTAAAATGAGATGACGAATCCTATTAATATTCATCTATGGCAAGGTTTGGGGGCATTTGTGTGGAACTTTTCACCACAGGAGTTCCACAAGATATTGGGTTTCTGAAAATAAATACATTCCACAAGATTTTCGACTTAAAATAATACTCATACAGTGTTTTGGGTATGTGGTGTTTTTAACCACAAGAGTTCCACAAGAAATTGGACATAGAAAAAATATCAATTTTTTTCAAAAATTCTTCTCAGGACTCCCTGTGTGTTACCACATTCCACAAGATTTTCGACTTAAAATAATTTTGATAGAGTGTTTTGGGTCTGTGGAGTTTTTTACCACAAAACTTCCACAAGAAATTTGACTTAGAAAAAAAATAATCTTTTTTCAAAAATTCTTCTCAGACCTCCCTATGTGCCTGTGTGGTACCACATTCCACAAAATTTTCGACTTAAGGACCTCCCTCCCTATATGCCTGTTTGGTACCAGCAAAATAAAAAGAAAATGTTTCATAAATTTTTCATGGTACACATTTCCAAACGCCCCCAAACCTTGCCATGTCTATTAATATTCAGTTTTGCGACCTTCTGTTCCTGAGTCTACCCTCTTTTCAGAACAGGATAGAAGTCAGATTTCTTGGCCGTAATTTCCCATAATAATTCGGATAATTATTGTAAAATCCAAGCACTGGCACAATTCAAGTGAAATCAGGTTTAACAGCTAATTGTTCTGTCCGGACAGTGGCGTTTTTTTGTCCCACCTGAAAAACTAAAAACTATTCCGTTCCATTGGAATCAAACCCAGAACCTTCTGATAAGTTTACCAAGGCTCCCGGATAAATTCAAGCAATTAGAATACCAAGCCTGACCTTCACCTGTGTGCGATTGACAAATAGTTTGGATGGTATTAAAAACCGAGGTCCAGACCTGAACATAGTGGCAAGCATGTAAAAAGACTGCTGACAGTCATTTGCCGGTAGCAACAAACATATTATGATTTTTATTTCTATGGTTTTGTGGCCAATGCAAGGTCGGAGAATTTTGCCCAGACAGTGCCAGCCTTTCCATGAACAATTCTCGATTTCCAACTGCCAATGGTTCTTTTACGTGCACACCAATATGTACACACTGGATGTCGGTTTTTCATGATATGTAAATGATTTAAAAACAATATTACATTTATTTATTTACTAATAAATACTATTTATAATTTGTGAGAAGGGTGTAGGAATCATACAAATGTTTTTAAGACACAGACAGGAGCTTGACTCAAGCCTCCTATATGCCCACCACGAGCAACAGGAACTGCCAGCTCTTTATCTAAATCTTACGAGCGTATATAATGCATCTTTGAGAAAACAAAATTAAAGTTAGAACTGAAAATCTCCCGAGTCGGATTAAAAAGAGAGCAATCAAAAGATTTTAACGAAGATTACAGGTGGCCTTCAGGCGTGCGCCCCCCCCCCCCCCACCATTTTTTGCAGTGGTGAACAATTTGCAGGAAAGGAGAACAAAAATACTTCAAAATGGTAGTGATCCCCGTCGTAATTTACTCCGAAATGAGCCGGTTGGTGACTTGGTTGATTGCCAGTCAGTCTGCCCACCGAGGGCCGGGCTTCGCACTTCCAAGTGGGGGCAGCATGAAACCCCCTTTCTGGAATTCCTGGATCCGCCCCTGGCCTTGGCTTTTGATCATATCCCGTATCTCGTTTATATCAACTGTAGAGAATTCTGAATATTGACACATTTTCAATTCAACATATCTTTGTAAATACTGAAGAGAGTTTTTTTCAGAGATTCAATTTTTACAATACTGTAGTTTGTAAAGGTTTTCTAAATATCTCAGATGTCAGAGACATTGAATAAAATGTAAATAAATATATTTGTTAGTAAATTGTAAATTTGAAGTTGAGATTGTAGAATATACATATATGGTATCTTTCCATGTAAAAGTACATTATTATAAACTATAAATTTAAAGCCGAGATTGTGAAATATATACAGTAGACTCTGTCAAATCCGACATTGTACGGGATCGTTACAATATGTCAGATTAAGCAGAGTGTCGGAATACTCAGTTTTCTCAAAACCGGAAGTGTATTATTGTAACTTCGAAAGCCAGAAATATTATTTATAATGTAGCTTCGAATCCCCAGAACGTTATTCCCTTTAAAAATGGTAAACCTTTCTGTACATTCAAAATTATATTACATTAATTTTTATTTCATATAACATGCGTAGGCATTTTGAATAGGTCAAGTTTATCTTCTTCAGCGTCTTCAGTTGATCGCACACTTGTCTTTGGTGTCACGTGTTCATTGATAATCTGTCATTCTATATCCAGGTCGTCATAAACGTTTCTGAGAGATCGTAGGGTGAACAAACTTAGGTATTCCGGTTCTATCGGCATGCGCAACGAATGTCTCCAACAGGTACTAGGAATATTTTTACGACTGTGAATTCGTGGGAAAATTTGTGGGTATTCTTGAGTATTTGTCACAACTGTCTTTCAAGAGATTATAAAATTATCAAAGTAATCAACAAAGACCTACGCGATCGAGTTTTTAAACTCACTGATAATTGATTGGTGATTGCTTGTTAATCTTTTGTGGCTTCACACCCCCCGATTGAAGGCCGGATTATACAATGTGGATTCAATGGAATTCGTGTGATGGGACGGTTGATTGATGCCGTAATTCAGAATATTCAGAATACGAATTACTAAAAGCTTTTTTGGCTGAAGTAATAAGGAAATAAATCGGGACATGAAAATGATTTCGGATTTCACAGAGTGTCGTAGTATTCAGAGGTCGGATGTAACAGGGTCCACTATATTTGGTATTTTTATCGACAAAAGTAGAGGTGTATTATAAATTATTTCAATCTATTAAAAAATCTACAACTTCTTCTAGTTCTCTTTGTTTAGCTTGTTTATGTGCCCATCTATTCTCCATTACTTCAGCTGACACCTTCCATTTTTCCATGATAATTTTTTTTGTCACAGAAAGAACATTTTTTACCTCCTGAAAAAAAACAAACAAACATAAGCTACATCTTTGAAAGCACAAGTTAAAGGAGCCATGCCTGATATGTTTTAGTGAATCAAATTGTAATCCTTTAGAGGCATTTAGTAACTGGATAGAGCACGTGTTATTCTTTGTTTATTGAATCAAAATGGTTAATTCTGTGTGGAAGACCCTAATAGTAAGTGCACTACACACAAAACAAAAATCTACAAGATAAACCTGTGGACAAGACAGAAAACAGACATTGCACCAAATAAACAAATATTAAATCAGTGAATGGATCCGGGGGCTAGCCGTAAACGTCCACTGCGCTGTACAGTCCCAGGCCTGAAATGGCACAGGCTTCATTAAAAATGGAGAAAAAAAAATGATTTACAAAAAAAACGTAACAGAAATAATGCGACCAATCTTGACAGTTGTCATCTCTTCAATGGCGATAGTCTGCCATTTGACGTCATGAGTCAAACAATAGAATTTACCAACTGAGGTAATGAAGACTGTCACACGCCAGGCTTCCAGTCGCCATGACCCTCAGCAGTATTATAAATATTTACCTATAAATGGAGGTATTTTCATGTACGTATCTAACCAACCATTAGGAAACAGATGACTACAATAAACTCTTTCAATTGACCTTTCAGTTGATTCTGAAATAGAATATTTTAACTACTAATATAGAAGAGATTTTGTTGCATGATTAAACTTCTCATTGATAATTTATAGGGTTGTCAAAAAATATTGCTATATTGATATATTGCAATATGATCATCCGTCATACATTGTATCCATACATATTTGTGCCGTATCAATATTTTTCTAGTTTAATTTTATATTCAAACATTAGCTAGAGTGTTTATAAAGACTTCATAATCACTCATATTATTTAGGCTTTGCAGTAAACAATAAGTCTGCAAAGGCAAGACCAAGGTTGTAAAAACAAATAATAAAGTGAAATGTGTATTCATATAATCAGTCACATTATAGGCTTTGTAGTAAACAATAAGTGTCCAAGACCAAAGTTGTAAAAACAATAAAACTATTCAAAATAAAACTGTGCATTGTGATAAACCCTGACTTTATCGAAGTATTGCAATACATTTTGTCAAGTTTCGCAATATCTTGCAATACGATTTTTGGCCGCAATACACAGCCCTAATAATTTACTTTAAAGGGACTATCCCGATTTGAACAGAGTCTCAAAAATAAAAATCCGAGAACGTATTAAATTTAAGCACCAAAATATAGAGGAGTGGTGTATTTACCTTGTCTCAAAATTTCAGCTCAAAATATTGAGTCGTGTGGACGTGAACGTCCAAACTGCTTATCCGGACACATAACCCTTTTAAGATTTCGGGTCAATTGTTTCGTCGAGTGACCTGAGATTCGATGCCCGTTCCTTTAGAGGTCTATACTGTGAATGACCCACGTGCTGTACTTGATAACGAAAGGTAAATTTCACCTACACATTATTTTTATAAAATTTAAAGTCTGGTTTTATCAGACACCAAATAATACTCCTTGGGACACAGATCTCCATTTCCAGATGAAGACTGACAGGTTTAAGTTGTTTGAAAACGTATCATATATACTGAGTTAGTTGCTCATCCCTAAGGTAGAGGATTTTAAGCTATTTTAACACAAAAATAAGCAGTTTTATTCTCCAAAATATTATCGAAATTAGCCCTTTAAGTCACTGATCATCATTTGTATTTTTCAAACATTATCTAATTGTTCACATTATCTAATTGTTCACATTATCTAATTGTTCACAGTTTAATCTATGCTAAAATGTACCGGTTCTCAAATTGATTATTTCACATTTAATTCAATAAAATTTCCATTAGACGCAATACGAAGCCAGTAACCAACATGCCCATAACCGATTGGCAGGGCGCCAACCAATTTTACTTGGTTCTAAGCCTTAGAATCTAAGGGCGCCTCATCAAACATGTCGAATCACACGATTAACACCACAAATTGATTGATGGTGTGCCTAAAACGGCGTGATCTGTGGGGTAGCTCATCCTGTTGGGGTGCTTATAATGACAAGATTGGTGTGGTGCCTTATAATGGAAATATATGATTGTTGGGCCGCAATATAATGCATGATGCCAAGTGAGATTGATCAATAGGGCACCCAAAACGGCATGATTGGTGGGGCGCCTCATCCCAGAGAGGTGCCCCTAAGGCCGTGATTGGTGGGCCGCCCACAACAAGATCATGGGTGCACATAATATCATTAGTGGGGCGTCCATAATGCCGAGTGAGATTGGATAGGCGCTTACGAATGAATTCGTATTCCTTCCTTCAAATTTTTATAATGTTAAATATCAAAATATCATAATATGCCAATATCGCAAATTCAGCTTCAAAATTGAAATTTTTCGTTATTTTCATACTTCCTCACCTCAGATTCAAACCCTATGTTCCAAACTTGTCTGGGGGGAGAGCACCCTAGACACTTCTCGGGAGGGAGGCGCGTCCACAGTGCCGTTCGCCCTTGGGCTATCTATGGGCCTTATACAGTCTTGTCAAGTTTTTTGAATCTTTGGTTTTATTAGACAATAAAATTTTTTAAAAATATTACCTCCGGATCTTTAGCCAAAACATGTTTTTTACACATTGGACAGTTTTCTAGTGGATATCTCTTGATACAATCACGTATCAAATAATCACAAACATATTTAAATGAGGGTTTATTTTGGAACACAGCAGCTCTGAAAACATAGGTTGCTAGACATAAAACATACGTCCCCCGTAGCTAAATTGAGCAGTCCTCAACGGCTGTCATTTTTTTCTTTTTAGAGAGAGAGAGAGAAATGGGGTTTAACGTCCACTCGACACAAACTAGGTCATTTCTGGACTAACATATGGTTTAATTTTATGTCAATAATTTACTTGCATGTAGGGGTCTTTAGCAGTGGGAGGCAACTCGGACGACCTGGAGAAAACCCACGAGGTTGGACAGGTGACCCTACTCCTTGTCACGTACTACAACCGGGGATTCGATTTTCTTTTTGGAGACTGCATTTACAATATGCAAAAAACAAATGAAGAGCAACACCTCATAAAGTAATTATCCATCTAATATCTTAATTCATGGTATTCAAGTATTTTAATGACAAAATGAATTTTGTAAGCTCGCTGTAACAGACCGTTTCATTGGCTAAACCCTCACATCATCCAGAACACATCAATGATAACAACTCTTCCAGATCTTATTGTGTAGTAAAGACAAGTAAAACGAAATTTTGAACTATAAAAACGAAACGAAATAGGATCTGTGTTTTAATCAGATTGACTGAAAATAACTTTCATACACAATCTTAATGGTTTGGGTATTTTAACTCTAACATCCGAAAAGTGGATGTCAATTGGTAAAATCACAAAAATTATTCAATTTTTCTTACCTTCTATAGCAAATATATTGTTTCCTGTATTATGTTGGGTATTTAGTTTTAACAGCTCTGGATAAACTATAATTTATAAATTTAGTTTTACATCCACAAGATACTGCATGGTCCTCTTCTATCATTACAGGTTCAACATCAATAAAACTCTTATCTTATTTCAAATATTATTCTGATTCCTCTCCAATCATATCTCTTGGTTAATATAGTCAAAATCATTGTGTTGTTATTTAAAAGAATATTGGGATAAAACTGACTTTCCTGATCATCACAACAGTTAATTTTCTATTCATGCTATTCAGTTTGTGACCTTGACCTGTGATGTTGTAATCATGTGTTACCGGTACTAGTTTTAATGGCAGGTATATAGGTAGTGTGTCTGTGTACAGAATGTTGTTGATATTGACAGAAAATGGTTTATAACAAATCTTCAAATTTACATCAAAATAAAACAAAATATTTTCATTTAGTCCTAACAAAATTATTAACTACTAAAATAAAGATGTATCCTTATCTATCTTCTATTTATCAAGGCCTACTTCACGCAAATATGTTACACATTCTGTCCAACCATAGGTACGAACCTCATCTAATACACTAAGACCTCTATAACTCTTAACATCAAACCTAGCACCAGCAGAGTAGAGCAGCTTTAGCTTCTCTAATAGGCTTATGCCAGACCATATACAAAAATGTACTAGCGTCTTATTTTCATCGTGTCTGATCTCTTTATCTAGGCCTATGTCTAGGAAATATTTTAAACAGTCTGCTGTACCATACAGACCAGCCAGATGTAACATATTAAGAGAACGAACCCTAACATCAAACCTAGCACCAGCAGAGTAGAGTAACTTTAGCTTCTCTACTGGGCTTACTTTAGATTGAATACAATATAATACTAGCGTCTTATTTTTTTCATCGTGTCTAATCTCTTTATCTAGGCCTATTTCTAGTAAATATTTTAAACAGTCTGCTGTACTATACAGACAAGCCTTGTCTAATATACTACAACCATCACGATCCTTAATATCAAAGCTAACACCAGCAGAGTAGAGTAACTTTAGCTTCTCTACTGGGCTTATGTCAGCCTGTATACAATAAAATATTAGCTTATTTTTATTTTGTCTAATCTCTTTATCTAGGCCTATTTCTAGTAAACATTTTAAACAGTCTGCTGTACCATACAGACAAGCCTTGTCTAATATACTACAACCATCACGATCCTTAACATCAAACCTAGCACCAGCAGAGTAGAGTAACTTTAGCTTCTCTACTGGGCTTACTTTAGATTGAACACAACAAAATATTAGCGTTTTATTTTTATCGTGTCTAATATCTTTATCAAGGCCTATTTCTAGTAAATATTTTATGCGCTCTGCTGTACTATACAGACAAGCCTTGTCTAATATACTACAACCATCACGATCCTTAACATCAAAGCTAACACCAGCAGAGTAGAGTAACTTTAGCTTCTCTACTGGGTTTACTTTAGATCGAAGACAATAAAATACTGGCTTACTATTATATACATCTCTACCATTTTTATCAAGGCGTATTTCCAATAAATATTTTACACTTTCTGTTGTACTAAACTCACAAGCCTTGTCTAATATACTACAACCATCACGATCCTTAACATCAAACCTAGCACCAGCAGAGTAGAGTAACTTTAGCTTCTCTACTGGGCTTATGTCAGACTGTATACAATAAAATATTAGCGTCTTATTTTTATTGTGTCTAATCTCTTTATCTAGGCCTATTTCTAGTAAACATTTTAAACAGTCTGCTGTACCATACAGACAAGCCTTGTCTAATATACTACAACCATCATGATCCTTAACGTCAAAGCTAGCACCAGCAGAGTAGAGTAACTTTAGCTTCTCTACTGGACTTACTTTAGATTGAATACAATAAAATACAGGCGTCCTATTATTATTATCTCTAATCTCTTTATAAAAACCTATTTCTAGTAAATATTTTATGCAGTCTGCTGTACCATACAGACAAGTCTGGTGTAATATACTAAAACCACCTTGACATGTGACATCCAGCCTGGCACCAGCAAAGACAAGTAATTTCAACTTCTTTAATGGATGTATGTCAGACATAACACAATAAAATGCTGGTGTTTGTCCCAAACTGTCAGTAATATTTAAACTCATATTTTTACGCATTAAATTGTCGACTTCATCAAGTGTACCATATTGACAAGTTTTATATATTGATTCCACATCAATCATTATATTGTTGTCCGTTGTTTTATTACAATTAGTTGTTATTACATCCGGTGTAGTGTTATTATTTTCATTTTGTGGCGCAAGCTTATTTTCACTATTAATTGCTTCAGTCATTGAAGAATCGTCATTTGGTTCTTTTGGGTGGTTTTCTGACTTTGAACCATCTTCATACACAACAAGTGGTTGGTTTAATACTGGAGTTGATAATGTGGTGGTCAATGGTTGAATAGAGCTAGGGGACCGCAGCTTGTTTTGTACAGATGTCTGAGTTGTATCAACTGTAGTTAATTTAACATCATCTGAAATTATATAATATTCATATCAGTAAAATTCTGTATTTGACTACCCTTTCTGGCTCTGGTAAAAAAAACCTGGCCCCCAGTTCACAAAGCATTCTCAGACTTAAGTTGAGAATTTACTGTTTATGAGAAATGTCTTTGATCCAGAAACACAAAACTTTGCACATAGTTTCTTATTGATGTATTTGATACATTAAAACAACACAAAAATTTATAAATGTCTATACTTTAGTTAAAATAAGGCAAACAATTTTGAGTAAATTCTTAACTTAAGTCTGAGAATGCCTAATGAACTCGGGCCTGGGTCATCATTAAACTAGGTTATCTTTGTTGTCTGAACAGACAGTTGGGGTAAATAAAACAGTTTTAAAACAACTCAGTCTTTATCTTCACCTGAATCAATCGGCTTAAAATTGTCGACTTCAGTTGGCTTCGGGCATGCACATTCAATTTGATACATGCCAACATGGTCTCCACTTTAGGGGATGATGCCCCTTTTTTTTCCATATTAAAGTAGCTAAGTCTCTAACTCAATATCATCAAAAATCTTCGACATTGAAAACACAAATTATTTGTCAATTCAAATCAACATTGGTCTTGTGATCTTACAAGGAAAAGACGAGATTCTGATATCCAATATTCAAGACAAAATAAACATTTTACCATTGGTACACAAATCGTGTACCATAATGCGTTTTAGCGCCATTTGGAACAAGGGACTCAAAGAACAGGGCTAGACATATTCCAGAAGTCATGTCAAATGGGGACGCTATATTCTTATCTGGAGAGCATGCGCAATAAATACCATCGGTGTAGACTATAAAAACCAGACACTAAAGATTGCCATTCACATGAGACTTCTGGCGTATTTCGCCGAACATAACTGATTAGAAATTACAGTAAAAATAGAAACAATTGAATGTAAATCAGTTTATATACATTCATATTACATTATTATATGCGTTGCGACCCATTTTTGTCAATTTCTAGGTCCCAAATATTAGCGATTAAGCTCCTTTAAATAAGTGGGCAGCGGAATTTAAGCTTTGACAATGACCCTCGTCCTGGAAGGCCATCAACCATTCAAGAAAACATTATCTGGGTGTATGAGATGGTGATGGCTGATCGATGAACGGCCAGTCGACTATTTCCAGTGTTTTAGGCATCTCTAATGAGGGGAGAGAGAGAGAGGAATGAGGTTTAACGTCCACTCGACACAAACTAGGTTTAATTTTATTTCAATAATTCGCTTGCGCATAGGGGTCTTTAGCAGTGGGATTCAAAACCACGCCAGTTGACTCAATGACAGGCTTTATGATACAGCGCGCACGTGCTAACCATTCGGCCATCCAACCCCCCTTCTAATAAGGGGATTTAGCACATTATTGCCAACAACAGAAGTTTCTGCAAGATGGGTGTAAAAACACTTGACTGCAGATCAGAAACGTGCCAGATTCCCGTGACAATCTCGGTCATTTTAAAGCAGATCCTGATAATGTTTTGGCCAGATTTGAAACCAGAACTAACTTAGTTCAATGTCTTTGCCCCACCACTCTTGATCGGAAGGAACTTGGATGTTCCTAGACTAAGAACATCATTCATCTGCCCTCACCCTTTTGATTTTTTAGAACAATACTTTAAAGATACATTATGGGAGATTAGATAAAGAGCTGACAGTTCTCGCCATAATAGTTAAAAACTAGATAATGTAAAGGTAATTTGTTGAAAATTTCAGTCAAATTGGTCCACTATGAACCGAGATATCAGCTTTGTACATTTCCGCCTAGCCTCGTTCATCATTACTAAAGTTAGTACGTTAAAAAGCATAGTCTCGATTATCCATTGTTTTGATTTAATTATCAATGAGCGTTTGCAGCATATAGAATTCTAATCCAGTCGATATCGAAAGCTAGCCATGACATCGAGAGTTGATTATGGTCTGGATAAGTTAATTAATGTCTAATTAATAATTTAGATAACATTTCAGGAATGACGAAAGACCTGCGATAGGCAGATTTAGCTCTTGCATAATGTATGTTTAATAAAGATATCTGAATGGATTAGAGAACGGACTTAGCCTTTGTAACACCTATCTCCCTCAACAGTTTGATAATGGGTATCTAATTGGCGCTGAACAGACGGTGATAGACATTGTAATACCTAATAATTGTATTATACCTTGTTGATCATCAGTGTAAACTATATCTTGTCTTGTGGTGGATGACAGAATAGTTGGTTGTGTTACCCCATAAGTCTCATCAATATCGAGTGGTTCTTGTTTAATCGCTAGGCCTACTAGTTCACTCGTTTTAGCTGTCTGATCATCAGTCATATCTACTGCTACATCAGCTGTTTCAACATGATCTTCTAAAATATAATATATAAACAATGTATTAGAATATATAAGGCTGTGATTCCACTAGTTATAATACTCCTTGCAGTGTTTCGTTTGATTAGAGCTAATCCCACTTAACATTGCTGTAATGGAAGCAAATTTCTGTTCCAAATTATGACTTGCTAACTGCGTAACAAAATCAGTACGCTTTAAACAGAGCCCCAAATTGGACCAAATATGTTGTTAAAGTAGCTAAGTCTCTAACTCAATATCATCCAAAATCTTCGACATTGAAAACACGAATTGTCAATTTAAATCAACATTGATGTTGTGATCTTACCGGGAAAAGATGGCCTTCTGATAGCCAATATTTAAGACAAAATAAACATTTTAAAATTGGTACACGAATCGTGTACCATAATGCGTTCAGTGCTATTTGTAATAAGGGACTCGAAAAACGAGGCTAGGCATATTTCACAAGTCATGTCAAACGGTGACGCTATATTCTTATCTGGAGAGCATGCCCAATAAATACTATCGGCGTAGACTGGAATAACCAGACGCTAGAGATTGAAATTCGATTGAGAATACTGGTGTATTTCGCCGAACCTAACTGATTAGAAATTACAGTAAAAACAGAAATGATTGAATGTAAATCAGTTTATATACATTCATATTACATTATTGTATGCGTTGCTACTCATTTGTGTCAATTTCTAGGTCCCAAATATTAGCGACTTAGCTCCTTTAAGCTTTTCATATGTAAGCTTTAAATGAATTCGCATCCTGGATCTGATCCCTGTGGAAGAAATGAAGAAAAGCTTAGTACGAAATGGAGTTAATATTTATTTAGGGAAATGGCGATTTGTAAAAGTGACCTTTACAGCCCCACTCTTTGAAGATTTTAGTAAATGAGTTATCTCCCTTTAAGTATTAGACCACTATTGGTTCAATAGCACTAATAATACTCTGTAAATACTAATGGCTTAATCTTAAAAATTAATACCCCCCCCATTTCATAGCAAACCCCAACAATGTTTACATAACGTTACGTCATAACTCACGATTTTATTATGCCCAATTAACCAGTGCATAGCAGAATATTGCAGAACAACTAATTGTGTGACAAACGTGGCTATCAAAACAAATACAATGTAAACAATACAGTTTGGAGACGAACAATAATTTCACCGTTTTTAATACCTTAAATCACTGTCCAGAGTTTTAGGGAAGACCCCCGATTAAACAAAGGGCTGTCTTGTTGTTTACTTGGGATAGATTTGATTGAATGGGAAAAATAGACACACTCCCTCAAAAGCTCAAATATCAGAAGCCAATCCAGCAATGGACAGAGAGGGATTTATCGGACCATTGCTTCCGAAATATGCTAGTTATAGGATGTAGCATATAAACAGGGTATTATCGGAAATCACTGAAAGGCTTCATCGTCTTATGACCCTGAACACTGTGGATAAATTTAAAGTCAATCAGATATTAACGTTAGACTCTAGAGCATCCACAAGCAAGTGTGAATGCCACACAAACGGACAGGGGTGATGACAATAAACATTAAAAGCATATCAGCCATTACAAGTATATAAATATGAATATTTTACCTTGCTCATCCTCTAATGCATAGTTAACCATGGGCTCGGGGTTCTCATACACAACATAATTGGCAATATTTTTAACCTGATATCCGGATTTTGATATTATCTCTTCCTTTACTCGAATGTTCTTATAGTCAGATTTCACCTTTGATACAATGACAGTGTTGTTTGACTTCTTGACCACAACTTTCACAACATCAACCTCGCCACATTCCTTGTGTCTATCTGATCTGTTTCCGACTTCTGAATGTGATACGTCATAGTGTTCATCGATTCCACTGAGCATCATCTGGTTTCTATCACCCATTTCTCTAATCATTAACTGATTCCCTTGGGAACCAGATATTTCTCCATAGGTTTGATTGATATGGTGCCGTATTACAGTATCTGAATTTAAAGATATTGTAAAATAACATTACTTTTTCCTGTTAGAGAGAGAGAGAGAGAGAGAGAGAGAGAGTATAATGAATTTATGATGTAGAAAATCAATATTCCAGTGGCGGCGACAGCCGTCAGTGATTGGAGGGGCAAAGCTGGGGCAAAGTCCAAGGTTAAGGGGGCAAAGGCACAAGCTTCAACTAGGGGTAGGGGGCCTCCCCCAGAAAATTTTGAAAAACAGGTTGCCAGAAATGCAGCCTGGCAGTATTTCAGCCACTGATCGATGAGGTAAAGTGTTAAACGAACGGACTTGCGAATCACGACGAAGCCCACTCATGAGCGTCAAAGTAGCGAGTCCTCCCCCAGAAAATTTTGAAAAATAGACTGCCGGAAACATGGTCTTACAGTATTCTGTCAGGCACCGATCGTCGAGATAAATAGATCTGCCCAGATACCGTTCGTGGCTTGATCACTAGTTTATCCGACTAGAGAACAAAATGTCAAACAAACGGACTTGCGAACCTCAACAAATTCCCCTCGTGAGCGCCAAAGTAGCAAGTCCATTGGGGACCTTGCCAAGAAAATTTTGAAAAATAGACTGTCGGAAATGCTCTACAACATGCAAGTTTATGACTGAGTGGGGATGTGGGATTTATTCACCGTAGAAGGTATTGATTACCGAAACTTATCACAAATACTTTTTTTTATTTTCTAAAATTATTGGGGGGGCAAACAGAGGGCAGACCAGATTAATTTGCCCCCCCTTCCCCCCCCCCCCCCCTGGCGCCGCCACTGCAGTATTCCAGTAAAAATTTAGTCAATTTATAAACATACTTGATTGTAATTGTTCAACTACTGTCGTGTAGCCTTCTTCGTTTAAACTATCAATGAAACTTTGGTAGGAATTTGACCCGCCATCAAGCAATCTGGTAAGTAGTTCATGTTTCATAGCTCTTTTTCCTTTTATGCCTCTAATATTTTCCATATCGTCATTATCAAAAACTGATTTTCCAAACAGACGATCTAATAAACGTTCTGGTTCAGTTATATTATCCAGTAGAAACACAAAATTTTTTTTAATGTTTTCTTCATCGTCTTTACGCATCTTTCCTCTCTCTTTACATCTTGGTTCATATCTGATTTTCTTTGGACGAGATATATTTATGTCCTCACTCACATTATGTATTCGTTTCTCATTTTTTCTAATTGCTGTAAAGATAAACAAGAGGTTGCCATGCAAGATACATCCACATTTTACAAGAGATGGATAGAGAACAGGCTAAAAAAGTGATTTTCGTACAATAAGGGGCATAATCCTGCGTAAGTATCAAAAGGAACCAAGAACTTTCGGATAGAAACATATTTTTAAATTTCATTAAAATTGAACAAGATTTTTTGAAGTGATCAAGGGCCATAACTCTGGCAGTAATTATTGGAAATTGCTGAAAATCTATAGGCTTCTTCGTCTCAAGACCTTAAACACTGCGTATAAATTTAAGATCAATCGGATATTAACTTTGGCCTCTAGAGCGTACACAAGATTTTTTGAAGTGATCAAAGGCCATAACTCTGGCAGTAATTATCGGAAATCGCTGAAAATCAATAGGCTTCTTCGTCTCATGACCTTAAACACTGCGTATAAATTTAAGATCAATCGGATATTAACTTTGGCCTCTAGAGCGTCCACAAGATTTTTTGAAGTGATCAAGGGCCATAACTCAGTCAGTAATTATCGGAAATCGCTGAAAATCAATAGGCTTCTTCGTCTCAAGACCTTAAACACTGTGTATAAATTTAAAGTCAATGTGTATAAATTTAGCCTCTAGAGCGTCCACAAGCAATTGTGGCGCCGGCCGGACGGACGGGGGAGACGACAGTATACGACCACATTAAAATGTGGGAGTATAATAAAAATTGTGACTTCTAGAGGGTCCACAACCGTGGTATTACATGCTTTAACACTATCTGCGTCATCATGGGCAACGTCACTGGTAATCCTTGAACTTGAAAGTAGTTCAATGGCAGACTTTGTCATACAGCCGAGGCTATAGGGTACTACTGGAATCTGTTGAGGTTTGCCGAGTGTAATGATACAGACTTCACTCAAAATGAATGATTTACAAGAAATGCGTAATAAAAATAACACGAACAGTCTGGAAGGTGGCCATCTCCTGATAGTAACATATGATTATAGGTCAGTGATTAAAGGTAGCTTACCATGCTGATATGTTGAAGTACTGGCTAATTCAGTGTATGATTGTCTGCTAGTTGCTGATTGTCTTTCACTTTCTAACTGTTGAATTCTCAAAATTTCAGTTTCTTTTTGTTTTAGTTCCATTTCTCTTTTGTCCAAATCGATTTCTTTATTTCTTTTATCTTCAATAAATTGAGCACGTTCTTCAGTCCATTGCTCCTTCTCTTTCTGCCAATTCAGTTCTTGGTGAATCCGTTTATCGAGTTCTTTCTTTAGTTGGTCTATTTCAGCCAAAGCTCTCTGTTTGTCTTCTTCTTCATCACATATTCTTGCTTCAAATAATTTCTTTGCCTCTTCGTACATTTCGTTTTTATAAAAGTCCCCACCATTATTCTGTATAGTTGTATGAAGTAATTGTAAGATTCTGTCAACATCTTTCATCTTGCCTTCTGTTCTATCTTTGTTATTGATCGTTGCGAATCGACGGTGTTTAAAAACATCACTAAATGTTGATAACTGAGCATGAAGTTCACGCATAGCATCCTCTTCACTTCGATCATCCAGTTGATCTTTCCCAGTAAACACAACAACGGCAAATTTATCAATTAATTCACCGAAAGTATTTTTAAAATACTCAAGAACTTTTATGTCCTCTTGTGAGAGTCTTAAGTCAATTCTGATGACAAAGAGGAACAAATGCGGCCCTGGTGATAAAAAATTAATACATTTAACGATTTCCTTAGCTATTGTTTGGTTACTGTTACCTGTGTCAAACAAACCTGGTGTATCCACAACTTTTAGTAAGGTATCTACGCCATTTAATTGAAGATGTCGTTGTCCTGAACTGCATTCAGATGTTACTGAGGTAGTCTGTTGTTGAGATTTAAAGTTATCTTGTTGTAACAGCGCATTTCCTAATGCGCTCTTACCAACTCCTGTCTTTCCTATAATGGATACCCTGATTTCTGAAAATGAAAAAAAAAATAAAACAACATTAGACAACTGAAATATCATAAAAGTACAATAGCACATACCCTAAGTACAATGTCAGACTGAGAACCATTATTGGCATTTAAAGGGTATTTGGTATTCAATGGTTGAGAGTGTGAAGTGAAATGAAGATGGGAATGCCCTACTTTTCTTGCACCAACTGGACTAATGAAGCTGAGAGTCGACCAATGAAGTAAAACCCACCTACCCCCAGCACCACTAGGAGTTAAATCATGTGCAGTTAAATAAAGGCCATCTCTATTTGAATGAATAAAGATTTTAATGATAGACTGAATTTTAAAATGGTTCTGACTAAAAACAATATGGACAATCAATAAATGAAATGAAATGAAATGGGGTTTAACGTCCTACTGTTCTGCTCCTATACTGGGCTAATGAAGACGGGCATACGCCATACAGTGTGCTATGAGGGAAATTTTGCCCGGGCAGCAGCACTATCGCCTACTTATATATTGAATTCCAACTGCCAAGGGATCTTTTATGTCCATTCCAATGTTTACACAGGACCTCGGTTTTTCTTATCATCCGAAGGACTAGACAGCTGTCCTTGTCGGGCCCTCCGTCCTGCATCACTGACAAGGGGAAACCACGTCGGAAAATCGGGATGTACTTTCTCGGGCAATGCAGGGATCAAACACCCGACCTCCAGGCTAGCGAGTCATCGCCTTACCCACCTAGCCACATATCTAAATCTGCAGCATTTGGAAGGCAAACATAGATGCGAAAACACTGCAAAGCAATTTTGAAAAATAAAATCAGCTTTAGCTGGACAGCAGAGTTATCTCCCTTGTGCTTTGCAGCAGCAGTTGAGAGCTCTCCATATTAGCTACTGATTGTGAACAAATCAAGTGTTTTTCAAAATTCAAAAAAAAAAAAGAAAAAAAAATCAGCGCCTTAGAAACTGTTTTCTTCAGTATTAACGCGTTTTATAAATGACGATATTATTATTATTATTATTATTATAACTGGTCAATATGGTTTATCTTTATAACTGGTCAATATAGGGTGTAATTGGTCAATAGTATTACCATGTAAAGTTTCTGTTTGTGAAACTAAAGCTGATACTGTATCTGCACTAATACTGGTACTAGGTGATGGCTGTGTTTCTATTTGGGGGACTGAATTTTTACCAGTTGAATGTCTTTCACCATTATTTATCTTGCCAGACATGATGCCCTGAATGGATGCTCCTGCCAATAAAGTTAATAATGATAATAATAAAGGAACCAGAGAAAGAGAGAGAGAGAGAGAGAGGGGTGAGAGAGGGGTGAGAGAGAGAGAAAGATGGACAATCAGTAACATAAACTGTTGAAGTCCCTATAACTCCTGACAAGGCATGTAGTATGATGAGTGCACAGATGACACCTTTGCTGAAAGGTAGCTGAACCATAGCTGCCTGGACAGCGACTATCAATAATAGTACTACAGGTATTATTTGTGCAGTGAGTAGTGAGTATTACACTGGCTCACTAGACAAGAAGTCATGGCTTCCATCCTAAAGTTGGCAGAGAAAATCAGAGGTGCAGGGCGGAGGCCTGGCAAGGTTCAGCATTGTACTTGCACATATAAGAGAGAGAGAGAAATGGGGCTTAATGTCCACTGACAGAAACTAGGTCATTTTGGGACTAACACATGGTTTAATTTTATTTCAATAATTCATTTGCGCGTAGGGGTCTTTAGCAGTGGGAGGAAACCGGAGGACCTGGAAAAAACCCACGAGGTTGGACAGGCGACCCTACTCCTTGCCAAGTACAACCGGGGATTCGAAACCACACCAGTTGACTCAATGACAGACTTCATGGTACAGCGCGCACGTGCTAACCATTCAGCCACCCAACCTCCCACTTGCACATATAAAATAACATAAATATCTTTTAGCACGCTCCATGGTGCATACCCATTTTCACTTGCCCATAGGTTCAGAAATGTAAGACATTAAATCACATTTCATTCATTCTTTTGTTCGATAAAAAATATTAAAATACAGATGTGACGCCATCCTTTGATGTTGGCGTACCATTACTTCCAATAATGTACAGGACAACTTGCCAATTGTACACTATATCTATACTAGATGAAATATTTTACTCGCGTGACGTATTTCATTGAAAAGCATGTGCGAGATAGTGTCTGTAGTTTAAGTATAGTTTAATGGTCTCGAGCTAAAGACATTGCGTAATATATTGAAACAACACTCGGCCAACGCCTCATGCAGTATCAATATATTATGCAATGTTTCGCTCTTGACCATTAAACTATACTTAATGAAGACTTATGTTTTATAATTGAAACAAGTCTTTGACTGCAAAATAAAGATTTTGAGTTTACCACTTTTTGGGGCAGTGAGAAATGGGCATTGTCCCAATTTTTCTGGTCGGATTTTGAAATTTTATAGTCAGACGTCACATGACAACATTTTAGAAATAAACCTGATCATGTTACTTATAAGGCAAATTTTGGTCCTTTTTGGCCATTTTGATCTGCCCCTCTCTATCAAATGCCCCACCCAAACTTTGTAAGACTGCGTGTTTTGAATTTGCCCTATCAACATGGTCAAACCTTCTATTATTTATAGGGCAGGTTTTTTTTTTTCACTGGCACTTGGTTTATAATAATCGATGAATAAAATATGTCGCACAGGCGACCCTACTTCTTGCCAAGTACAACCGGGGATTCGAAACCACGCAGATGTCTCAATGACAAACTTTATGGTACATCGCGCACGTGCTAATCATTCAGCCACTCAACCTCCCACTTGCACATATAAAATAACATAAATATCTTGTAGCACGCTCCATGGTGCATACCCATTTTCACTTGCCGATTGGTTCAGAAATGTAAGACATTAAATCACATTTCATTCATTCTTTTGTTCGATAAAAAATATTAAAATACAGATGTGACGCCATCCTTTGATGTTGGCGTACCATTACTTCCAATAATGTACGGGACAACTTGCCAATTGTACACTATCTATACTAGATGAAATATTTGAAAAGCATGTGCGAGATAGTGTCTGTAGTTTAAGTATAGTTTAATGGTCTCGAGCTAAAGACATTGCGTAATATATTGAAACAACACTCGGCCAACGCCTCATGCAGTATCAATATATTACGCAATGTTTCGCTCCAGCAGACACAGTGCTTTAAAGGGACAATAATACTCTTGCTGGCTTGACAGCCCCAGAAAATAAAAAATGGCCTTATTCTAAGTACTATTTTACTTGTCCAGAGGGTTCAAAAATATTTTTAAATCCAAGTCACATCTGAAAAGCTTTACGTCAGGCTTTTCAAATCATACAGTTGATGAATTTTTCCAATTTTTTAAATTAGGTGTGTTAAGATGAAATTTGTATCACCAATTAATTGGAATATTGTAAAATAGTACAATTAGTTGACCAGAATAAAGATTGGGACATATTATTCAGTTACAACAAGAGTGGTATTGAGTCTTTAACCTAAAGTCAATTCAGTACAAATACGCGGCATTCAATATAAAGAAAAATAAAATTAGTTTTTTTTATCAAATTTCAAGCATTTTATTTTGCAAACTAAAAATGAACTATATATTCGCTTTGTCTACCCGAAGAGTCACATTGCCCGAGAGTTGGGGAGGGGGGGGGGGTAGCTTCCCCACACTGCCCCACCGCCTGGTTCATACGGCTATGAATTAAGAGGTAAACTATATGCTTGATAAATTAAGACAAGTCAATTATTAAGGTGATCTATAGCACATTGTTTGAATATATAATTCATGTAATAATGTGGGGGATTGGATGGCCGAATGGTTAGCATGCGCACGCTGTATTATAAGGCCTGTCATTGAGTCAACTGGTGTGGTTTCAAATCCCCGGTTGTACGTGACAAGGAGTAGGGTCGCCTGTTCAACCTCAAGGGTTTTCTCCGGGTCCTCCTGTTTCCTAACACCGCTAAAGACCCTTACACCCAAGCGAATTATTGAAATAAAATTAAGCCATATATATATTGTCCCGAAATGGCCTAGTTTGTGTCAAGTGGACTTTAAACCCCATTTCTCTCTCTCTCTCTCTCTCTCTCTGTAATAATGTAAATATTTAGATGTGCATCTACTCGAATGTGCATACATGTATACACGCCCACATCCAGTATATGCTTTGTGACTTTGTCAATTAATAAATAATATGTACCCATAGGCGTAGGAGCTCCAAGTAAACCAGGGGGGCATAAGAGAAAATTGCCCGAAATCAATACCGTTTTTTCGGGCATACATATCATGAGAGAAAGAGAGCTTCGGGCATATTTTCGGGCATGCAGTGGACAAGAAAAAGACGGGAAGATACTTTTCGGGCAGTGTGGATCTCTTAGAAATAAGTTAGTTATATTTTTTCTCTAAACGTTAATAGAAAAAAAAGGTCGTCAAATTTTTCATTGCCCGAAAATAAATTTTCCCTTCTCCTACGCCTATGTATGTACCTGATTCAAACATAATAATTGTGTAGCAATAATATTTTCAATAAGCTGATAGTGAAAAAAAGAACTCAACCATGTGCAGTCAAGCGTGAGGTAGTTGAAATATAGCAAGCCGGATGTACACACTGTGCATATACTGGATGTGGGCGTGGAATACCCGCCATCAGTTGCCATGTTTGTTCTATAAATTGAAAACAAATATGGCGACTGTTTGGGGCGTTATCTTTTTTTTAATTTAATCATTTCCATAGTTTTAATTCAGCTAAAAAAAAGTAATTTCTACCTAATACAGCAAAAATGCATAATAATAAACCCCAAAAATATTTTAAATGAAATAAACCATCAAAATCTCTATACTTCAGAAATAATTTTAATTCAAATGAGTTATTCAAGAAATGGAGATAGGCCTTTGTTATATGCACTAATTGTCTTAAACATTGGTCATCATCCTGGGTTTTTGCTCAATTGTGTTGAAAACACAATTTCACCTGCTCTTAGTCATGAGGTTGGGGGATTGGAGGGGGTGGGGGCTTACAGGTGGAATAGTATAGGGCGTGTACAATGTACAATATCGTAATATAAAAGTGATAAACATAATTTAACATAATGTACAATATATTCAATCAATTCAAACTTACGTTTCGGGTGATGGTTGACAGTTTATATGATGGCCTTGTGCCTTCCAGTATACGTAGTCTTCAACTTCTATGACCATGTAATATATATATATGTAATAGATATTATTATGTTATATCAGTTTGTTGTTAGTAACTAGGGTATGTTACCATAATAAATGCTCTCACGTGACCCACCTTTTGTATATTGAATAGTTACATCATGTACATGTATTTAAAAATAACTTCAACTAAACCTGTTCTCGAAACAGGTTTGATAGTTTTTATACAACCCAATCATACACTTCAACATCTAGTAGATTAACATGTTTTATTGTCCTGTTTTTTTTTAAAGAAAAAAAAACGATTAAAATCTTTCAATAAGTCCCTATTTTATATAGCAAAAACATTTCAGCAAGCAAAATTACCTGGGGTTTTTTGTGAACACATTACACATAACCTATGTTTACAGAAATGAAATGAAATGAAATAAAATGGGGTTTAACATCCTACTGTTCTGCTCCTATACTGGGCTAATGAAGAAGGGCATACGCCATACAGTGTGTATGAGGGAAATTTTGCCCGGGCAGCGGCACTATCGCCTACTCTTATATCGAATGCCAACTGTCAAGGGATCTTTTACGTGCATTCCAATGTATACACGGGACCTCGGTTTTTCGTCTCATCCGAAAGACTAGACAGCTGTCCTTGCCAGGCCCTCCGTTCTGCACCACTGACAAGGGGAAACCACGTTGGAAAATCCAGATGAACAAGGAGCAACCGGCCATTCTGTCGGGCAGTTTCGATCCGATTTTTTTACGAAATTCAAACTCAACCATCATTATGCATTATGGTGTAACGGTGATATATTTAAACGTTTTTTAAAATCAGATAGAAATTGACGGTCTACAATTTATGTTCCATCTGAACGACTGAACATTGTACCTTGAATGGCCCTCCGGTATCAAACCTCCTGGATAGCTAGGCAGCACCTTACTCACTGAGCCACCTCCTGGATAGCAAGGCAGCACCTTACTCACTGAGCCACCACGACTCTTTTAAAAAAATAAAAGTAGGATTAGTTTTTCAAAAAGGCCCAAATGTTCTTAACAACACCTGCAAATCTTCTAATACATATATTATACAACCAATTTACTTTAAAACAGTGCCACGGAAGAGCTTTAACGATAATAAACAATCTACGCTACATTTTGTAAATTCGCACAGAATAAAGAAATTTGGCTGAAATTTAGCCATTGAATTTTGGGCCTAGCCTCGATCATCGTCATCACAATAAAAAAAACATAGTTGCGATTATCCATTTCATGATTAAATCATGAATGAAAGTTGAGCAGCATATCAGATCCTAATCAAGTAAATATCACAGACTAGCCATGACATCGCGAGTTGAATATGGTCTGGATAAGTTATTTAATGTCTAATTAATAATTTAGATAAAATTTCAGGCCTAAAGAAAGACCTGCAATAGGCAGATTTAGCTCTTGCATAATGTATGTTTAAGCTTTATAGCAAGAACGGCAAAATCTTTTTTCCAATTCTTACATAATGCGTCTTTAAAAAAGAATGTTAAAGTCTATAAGAACAAAAATCCTGGGGTTAAAATTTGAAGGGTCCCAATTTTGCAATTACTTTTATATTTTGATTTTGTATCATAAAAATGTTACTTGAAAATTGAATAAATGTGAAGAGGCAGCAGGCCGCCATTAAATTTTGTCTACTGATGGTTTAGAGGAGGAAGGACAGCAGGGTTAAGAGGTGTAGCACCATGGGTTGTTTGTCAGACGTAGAGAGCGGTCGATGCTAAACCCGGTCGCCACATCCAACATATAACCCATGCATCGTTTCTTACTACATATTCTGGAACAACCCATGATCGTCTAGTATTGTCTCTGGCCGCGTTTGTTTCTTATTTTCTTCTTAGGACTCCACTTTAAATATTGTGTATTTATTCTGCCACTCATTAAGTTTATGGTTACACACAGTAAGAACACTACCACATTTTATATTAAGCACTGCTACATATAGGTTACAAAGTTACAAGCATAATAAAGTCATTCTCTCTAACCCGCTCTCTAGTAATTATATATTCTCAGATTCACACCCATTAATTATTCTATTGGCTAATTATGATGTAATTAATCACGTGATGGGTCACTCTTGCCAAATATGAAATAGTAACTTTCCTATCACCTGCTTTTAGAATTTATCCTTGAATAAATGCAATGACCAACTCTAACTGCGTTAACGTATCTAAATAACCAGCATACTTTCTCTATTAATAATTTGTAAAGATAACAATATTGTTTCAGCGCTCATGTTTCTCTATCCCTATAGTCTTTAGCCCCCATGTCCTGTTATTGTCACAATATTTCATAAACAATTTTAATTTGCATTTCAGAATTAACTTATACCATAGCTAATATTTTGGCAATGGAGAATACAAATACAACATATGTATTTATCAAATTATAAATCATATCGTCTGGTGCACTTATATTTGCCTAATGTTATCTCGAATCAAATTTATCAAATTTATCGTTTGTTTCGAAAGTCATCGAGAAAGAACATCTAACTCATGAGAATCACTCAGAACCATTTCATTTCGCATATCGAGACAATCATAGTTTTGAAACTGCACTATAGTCATAGTGAGTAATGACTTATTGCGTGGTATGGACAACAAGTGTGTCATATTGTTTGCTTTGCTTGATCTATCTGCAGCATTCGACACTATTGATCATCATATTTTACTTCACAGACTCAAATAAAGGTTACAATTATCTGACTCTGCTGTAAAGCTTATTCCGTCATACTTATCTAATCGTAATCAGATTGTATATGTAGACAATGCTAAATCAAATCCAGCCGAAGTAAAATTTAGTGTTCCCCAAGGATCGGTCTATTGGGACCAATTCTATCTACTATTTATACAAGTTGCAGCGGTATCAAAGGCATGTAACTTCCAGCTGTTCAACATTGGTCGTGTATGAAAATACTTAAATACAGATTCATCTAAACTGTTAGTGAACTCTTTAATCACATCTAGACTGTTAGTGAACTCTTTAATCACATCTAGACTGTTAGTGAACTCTTTAATCACAACTAGATTGGACTATTGCAATTCATTGCTGCACGTCTGATCACCAGAACAAGACTATGCGACCACATTACACCTGTGCTCAAATCCCTCCACTGGCTCCCCATAAACAGACGTATTCAATATAAGATAATTAATCCTCCTCACTTACAAGGGCATCCATGGTTTAGCTCCTAACTACCTTAGTGATCTTATACAAATCAAAAGTGGAGAAAGAACAACTCGATCAACATCAAAACACAGCCTTGTTGTTCCAAAAACTTTGAAAGTGTCATGTGGTGATAGAACATTTTCAGCGGCAGCACCCATCCAATGAAATAAACTCCCAGCAACATTAAAGGAATCCAGAGTCCTTTAAATTATCCTTGAAGACTAACTTACTTAACTGTGAATACCAAACGTGACAGTGCAGCTCAGCACCATCGAGTAGAACAGTTCTAGATGAAAGGCGCTATACAAATTCATTATTATTATTATTATAAATTACAAAATATTATTACAGAGGTTGGTTATGGTGATACAAGTAGGCCTACGGACAATAGTTACATGTTTTTAGTAGGCATATGCATAGGAATAGAGAGGGGCCGATAGAAAAAATTCCAGCTGATCAACGTTTATGCAAATATAGCGACTTAAACTCAATCGAAAACGAGCAACATGTTTTGCTAAACTGTAGCAAAAGTAGGCCTATCAAGAAATACGTAAAACCCATTTATATCCAGCCTGAGATTTCCTACAATTTTATTAACCTCTTTGACCCACCAAAATCGATTGCCAAGGCAGTGGCTTTATATGTGTTTTGAGCTGTTGATAAAGAGATCTAAATGAAATTTGGTGGCAACTACCTGTAACTTTTATAGGCTACATCTATATATACTGTTTGTATGAATGTATTACCTGTGTATATTACATTCATACAACAGTACAGTAGGCTACATGTATAGGGTTTCAGTTTCATGTAGTTGCCACCAAATTTCATTTAGATAGTCACTGTGTGTATATGTTGTCTATATGTATTATGTTACTTCAAGTTTGTGGATCTGAAACATCAGTGGGTTACCATGCAAAATTTGGAGTAAAGACATGGCCATTTGTTGTACTGTCTGTTTTGAAACGTTTTCATAAACGTTTTCAGTCAAACGAAAATTTTTGAAAAATTTACATAATGGATAAAAGGTCCGGTGAGGTCCATGCTTGGAGCCGGGCAAAGACACCAGCATTTAAGTCAATTGGGAAATTAATGGTGGTCTGCATCCGTTTACCTATATTGTGAGTTATCCCCCTTTACCCAAGGTCATTTGGTAAATCAGTATGGGCGACCAAGTGCCGTTTGATAATTTTGGGGAAAGAGAATGGCAAAAGCAATTACGTTTGCAGAAGGAAGCTGGTTACAAAGGAAGTCGGTATCCACGCTTTTCAATTGAGCCAGTGCCCTATGAGAGAAATAGGTTGGCAGGGGCGGGAATGACAGATGAAGTGAGGGCTTTGAGACGGCAATGGGTGAAAGATCAGATACTGTCACCGAACGAACCAGTACATGTTCCAGAATTACATCAGAAGAATATCTTTCGACGAACACTTGCAAAGCCATGGGACATTATATTTAAAGCCGTTAAACCATTTTTAGTAAGATCTGTTTAATTACTTCCCAGATCTTGAGTCTCGAGAGCAATTACTTAGACAAAATGTGAGGGGTGACTTCTGTGAGGTGCTGGATAAAGACAATAAAGTGCTAAGCAAGTGGCTTGCCAACCTGGTGGTCACGGGTTCCTTCCAGGTGTTGGCTGTGAAAGTTCTTTGGGATTTCCAGGGTCATAGCGCCTAGTCGTTACGAAAAGAACCCATGAAAATAAATGCACTGACAGTTGAAATTCAGTTGCAGTCCTGGCAAAATTTCTTTCAAAGCACACTGGGTGTATGCCCGTCGTCATTAGCTCTAATCAGGAGGTAATTAATTGTGTTGTGTAAAGTTTTGACATCGTTAACTTACTGCCGAAACAGAGAGATCTGATTTTGTGTTTTATTTTCAGGGTGATCATTTAACAGCTAGAGGACGAAGTATTATCCCCAAAATTGCTGCCTGTATCGGTGTCGGTTATGTTGCTTGGTACCAGTTGAAATACCATCACAATGTAAGTTAATCAGGAATTTACATGTACATGTAGTTACTATTTATATGACTTGGTACCAAGTGAAATACCATCACAATGCAAGTACGTTGCTTGGTACCAGGTGAAATACCATCACAATGCAAGTACGTTGCATGGTACCAGGTGAAATACCATCACAATGTAAGTATGTCGCTTGGTACCAGGTGAAATACCATCACAATGTAAGTATGTCGCTTGGTACCAGGTGAAATACCATCACAATGTAAGTATGTCGCTTGGTGCCAGGTGAAATACCATCACAGTGTAAGTATGTCGCTTGGTAACAGGTGAAATACCATCACAATGTAAGTTTATAGGGAATCTGGTTGGTTGAGTGGCCGAATGGATGTAATCTCCCAATTTGGATTGAATGGGATTAATAATAGGCCCATTAAAGTGTGGCGATAAAAGAGGCCCATCAAATGATTTTACCTAACACTTATATGTGTTGTAGCCACGGTGGCCAAGTGGGTAACGTGGTTTCCCCTTGTCAGTGATGCAGGACAAGAACAGCTGTCTAGTCGTTTGGATGGGACGAAAAAAACGAGGTCGCGTGCACGTAAAAGATCCCTTGGCAGTTGGAATTCGATATAAAAGTAGGCTGTAGTGCCGCTGCCCGGGCAAAATTTCCCTCATAGCACACTGTATGGCGTATGCCCGTCTTCATTATCCCAGTTTAGGAGCAGAACAGTAGGACGTTAAATCCCATTTCATTTCCAAGTGGGTAAGATGCTGAAGGTCTTGTGCAAGGACAGCTCGCTAGTCATTTGGATTGGATGAAAAACTGAGGTCTTGTGTATACATTGGCATGCACGTAAAAGATCCCTTGGTAGATGGAATTCGATATAAGAGTAGGCCATGGCAAAATTTCCCTCATAGCACACTCTATGACATACGAATGTTTTCATTAGCCCAGTCGGAGCAGAATAGTAGGACGTTAAACCCCATTTTATTTCATTTCCCTTATATGTGCCGTTGTTTAAATGATCTGCCAAGGTCAAGGATATTGTATATTGTAAAATGTTAAATTCATCATATCTTTGTTAATACATTATTGAACTTTTGTTTCTTTTAGACATTTAATTTTTACAATATTATGATTTGCAAGTGATTCAAAATCACTCAAATTTTGATCAGCGGCTAAAACAATCTAATTAAAATATAATTCTATATTTTGTTTCGTTTTTTATACTTTCGATGGCCTACACTACATGTAGATCTAACAAGTTATAGTGGGAGTTCACGTTCTATGACGGTACCAAGCAAGCAACATTTGACCCGATTACATCGGTCATTCGATTAACCAATTTGCGACCGCCATGTTTTTTTTATCTACTTTTGCTTTGTTTTGATTTCTATTGCTGCTAATGTCTACCCACAGTTCCGCGCAAAAAAGGTCAAACGCTCGATTCGACAGACCATTTGATTGGCTGACCCCTCATTTCAAGCAGAACACGAGTTAAATAACAGCGCTTCCAGATCCAAGTGTAGTAAAGACAAGTAAAATCGAAATTTTGAACTATAAAAACGAAACGAAATTGGATCTGTGTTTTAATCAGATTGCAGCTGAAACAGCTGTGAAAATGAAATTTGATGTCCGGGCAAAAATTACCGCATGGGGTATGGCCCGTGTTCAATAGCCCAGTCGGTGCAGAAAAGTAGGAGGTTAGACCCCATGTGAATATTTTGATACTATTTTTCTGTTTTCAGGATTGGACAAAACAAGATGGCTGGTACATGTATTATGGTAAACCTATTATAGTTAGGGTAAGTACATGTTTATTGTGCTGTAAAAAAACAAAACATTGATTCATTGAATCGAGTGGCGTGGTTCCGTACTTGAACGTGACAAGGAGTAGGGTTGCCTGTCCAACCTTGTGAGTTTTTCTAAGGGTACCCCGGTCTTCTCCCATTGCTAAAGACCCCTATGTGCAAGCGAATTATTGAAATAAAATTGAACCGTATGTTAGGGTAGGTACTTGTTGATTATGCTGTCAAAAAAAGTATGACTAAAAGAAAGTATACACACTAAAAGTATGACTAAGTTTTGTTTAGATTAAAAACATTTGATAAAGCATTACTTAGTTTGTCTCTTGCGTCCAAACTCAACATTTCTAAGCAAAATAAAAATGTGAAACAAAATGACATTCTACCCAAATACCGTATACCATGGAAAAACAACTTTGGTTGATGCAGCACAAAATGCACAGTGTATACTTTATTTTGGACATCAGTTTAGATTCAGATATGTGTGTTGGATCATAAGGTCTGTCATGGAGTCAAGTGACAAGCAGTAGGGTCGCCCGTCCAGTTGAAACATACGCTAGTCCCGAAATGACCTAGTTTGTGTGAGTGGAGGTTGAACCCCATTTCTATCCTCTTCTTTCAATTAACGGGTGTGAGGTGCACTTTAGATCATAAGGTCTGTCATTTAGTCAACTGGTGTGGTTTTGATGCCCAACTTGAACGTGATAAAGAGTAGGGTCGCCTGTCCAACCTCATGGGTTTTCCTCCCACTGCTAAAGACCCCCATGTGCACGTGAATTATTGAAATAAAAAAATTGAACAAAATGTTCCCGAAATAACCTAGTTTATTGATGTTAAATAAACGCCATTTCTCTCTCAATCTCAATTGTAAAAATGATTAACTTTTATTTTATTTTAGGGACGAGAACCAATACCACAAAAACAGGATGATGACTTTTGTGAACGTGACTTCAAGTCGCGAACGGCGTTACATAATGTTAAAACTAGTAGTATGGAATAACTGTGTGTATCGAGTGAATTGAACTGTTTATAGATACTGAAACTGTAAATAAACGTTCGGTGGTTGAAACATTGAACAATTAACGACAATAATATGTCATGAAAACAGAAGTTAGATTTTTTTCTTATGATTTAATTTACAGAATAAATCTTAATATTATAATATTATGAATTTGTGCATCAGGTTTGTTTTTTTTATTATTATCTCAACTTGGGTGCTGTGGGTGTATGTTTCATTGCCTGGCAACCTATTTTGTGTCTTGTCCGTACATCTAGACACTGCTCCATCCAGCATGTTGGATTAGACCAAATCACTTGAACAAATCTGTTTAAGCATGGGGAGTTGGATGGCTGAATGGTTAGCACGCGTGTGCTGTGTCATAAGGTCTGTTATTGAGTCAACTGGCATGGTTTCGATTCCCTGGTTGTACGTGACAAGGAGTAGGGTGGCCTGTCCAACCTCGTGGGTTTTCTCCGGTTTCCTCCCATTGCTAAAGACCCCTACACGCAAGCAAATTATTGAAATAAAATTGAACAATATGTTAGTCCCGAGATGACCTAGTTTGTCTCTCTTCTCTCACTCTGTTTAAACATACCCAATTGATGATATAAAAGGACAATATTGGTGTCAGTCATTATTCGATATATTTGGAATGTATTTAAGAGCTCTATCACATATTTTATAATGACTGACACCAATATTGTTCTTTAACATACTTGCATGATATGGTGGCCCAGTAACATCTCGGGTTCAATCCTGTTCTTGGCCAAGTAAGTTTGAATAGGTCAGTCAGGTTGGTTCAGGAAGGAGGGTAATCAGGGCATAGTCAGGAAGGAGGGTAATCGGGGCATTGTCAGGAAGGAGGGTAATCAGGGCATAGTCAGGAAGGAGGGTAATCAGGGCATAGTCAGGAAGGAGAGTAATCAGGGCATAGTCAGGAAGGAGGGTAATCAGAGCATGGTCAGGAAAGGTGTCTAGTCATACGGTTAGTACGATCAATCAAGGTATCATGTACTATTGGCAACCCCTGACAGTCATATTCCTGAAGCAATGGCCCGAGAAATCCCTCTGGCCATTGCTGGATTGGTTTCTGATACTTGACCTTTTAAGGGAGTGTGTCTATTCTTCCTGTTCAATCAAATCTATCCCAAGTACAGCAACATGACAGCCCTTCCTTAAATCTGGAGTCTTCCCTAAAACTTTGGACAGTGATTTAAGGTATTAAAAACGGTGAAATTATTGTTCGTCTCCAAATTGTATTGTTTACATTGTATTTGTTTCGATAGCCTTGTTTGTCACGCAATTAGTTTTTCTGCAATATTCTGCTATGCACTGGTTAATTGGGCATAATAAAATCATGAGTCATAACGTAATGTTATGTAAACATATTTGGTCCAATTTGGAGCTCTGTTTAAAGCGTAATGATATTGTTACGCAGTTAGCTATTGGTTGTTAATCGGACTATTGACCAGTCATAATTTGGAACAGAAATTTGCTTTCTTTATAGCAGTGTTAAGTGGGATTAGGTATAATCAAAGGAAACACTGCGAGGAGTATGCCTGATAGTTGGAAATCCAAACAAGAGTAGGCGGTAGCGCCACTGTTGGGGGGCAAAATTTTCCTAATAGCACAATCCATCAAAAACATCTAAATTATCTCCCTTTAACATGCTACTTCAGTCTGACTAAACTCAAAATCAACACCATCGATTGGTTTAGGAGAAATAGAGAAAGGTTGTCAGTCATTCTAGCTACGGTATGCCACTGTTATGAATACATTTAAAGATGCATTTATATGTGATTTTTAGAGAAAGAACTAGCCATTCTTGCTATAATAGGTCGAAAATAGATAATGTAAAATGAATAATTTGAAAATTTCATTCAAATTGCTCTATTGCGAGCGAAGATATTAGCCTTTGAAGGTTTGACAAGACGTGTGCAATAATTTCAAGCACCTTACTTGTTGTTCGAAGCTAAGTCTCGCTCCTCCATTTTTAGATTAATTCAAAATATGGCTGAACTGTTCGAATCTATTTAATATCAGAGAAATCTGATGCCATCGAGAGTTGATTATGGCCTGGATAAGTTAAATTAATGTCTAATTAATAATTTAGAAAACATTTCCGGCCTAAAGAATGACCTGCAATAGACAGATTTAGCTCTTGCATAATGTATGTTTAATTTACTAATCCATTTCAATTAATTTAACAATAACACCTACATGTAACAGATAACAATTTAACATGTGAAAATTTAAATAAAAATCAATTATCAATATTTATATAAACATGTACATGTACATATAAGTCAAATTTAAAACAAGAATAAGGTTATTAAAAATAAAGTCTTATCTGTTAAATTCAACATGGTTCCACAATAAATATGGCAGAACTATCTGTTAAATTCAACATGGTTCCACAATAAATATGGCAGAACTATCTATTAAATTCAACATGGTTCCACAATAAATATGGCAGAACTATGTGTTGAATTCAACATGATTCCACAATAAATATGGCAGAACTATGTGTTGAATTCAACATGATTCCACAATAAATATGGTTACAAGAACTATTAGGCCAATAAAAAATATACCTGTGTTTATGGTTACTTGCAGTCTGATTAACAGCCATTTTGTTTTTTTATACGTTAGATGGCCTCTACTGCATGAATATCTGACCGGTTGTAGTGGAAGGTCGTGTCAGGGTTCATAGAGCAATTTTTGACCCTATGACGCCAGACATTTGATTAACCAATCAGCGTTGATATTTTTAGTGGTTTACCCACAGTTCTGTGTACCTCGCGCCAAAAACTTGCTGTAACAGACAGTTTCATTGGCTAATCCCTCACTTCATCCAGAACGCGGGGCAATATAACAACTCTTCCAGATCCTAGTGTAGTAAAGACAAAACGGAATTTTTAACTATAAAAAAAACAAACGAAATCGGATCTGTGTTTTAATCAGATTGGGTTACTCGCACCCCCACCACCCAAATACAGTCATTCAAGAAATCTTTTTGTGGGTAAAGATTGGATAGAACTAATAACTTAATAATGTTATAACCTACATCAATTCAGTATTTCTGATGTCATTTAAAAGTGTTTATTATCGATTTACGAGTATTCTAGCGTAATTATTGAATACACGTCTTGAAAATAATGGCAATTCGGACCGTTGCAATGACTGAAATTTAGGATCGGTAAATTTGGCTAATAACAAGAGATTGCCACACAAGATACGCCAAGGATGTTACGGTCCGATATGCGTCAATATCTAAAGGAAGCGAGATCTTTGGGATATTAACATATATTTTAAGTTTTGGCAAAATCGTTTAAAACTTTGGTATTACATACTTTCGAACTCAATGGTAATTGTGGTGTAACGGTGATATATTTGAACGGTTTTTAAAATGTACTTAAAGTTGTGGCCTCAAGAGGGTCCATAAGCTAAAAATGATATTTTTTGCACAATCAGCGGCAATAATCCAGGAAGTTATTGTTCGATATGCACTAATATCGAAAGAAACCGAGATCTTTGAGATATAAACCTATATTTCAAGTTTTGTCAAAACAGGATAAAAATTGTTACCTGTAGAGGGTCCAAAAACAAAATGAATGACCGGACGGACAGGGGTGATGAGAATAAGTCCACATGAAAATATGGGTGAATAGGGTCGATGTGGCAACAGTAAACATATTTCTGTCTATGTATGAGTTACTGTTTCAATATCAAATCAATCTCTGAAGTCAATTCCAAATTTGTTGTTTTCTGGGATTTTGAAATACAGTATATTTACACATAAAATATTAAAGGCACTGTTCGTCATTAGAATTTTTCGGGCATCATCTTATTGGTCATTGAAATCAATGATAGATAATGTCCCAGATTGGATTCAATCGCATTAAAAAGATATAAACAAAAATTATAGGCAAAGCTGGCTTTGATTGTCATTGGTATGATAACAAACAAAGCCTTGATTTTCTATTTTAATGTTAAATGGTGTGGGTGGTCTAAACCATTCAATATCTCAGCCATCTGATAGTCTAGAGAGTTGATTAATGTCTTCAATTGTCATACAAAGTCTTTATTTTCCATTTTAACATTAAATGGTCTAAACCATTCAATATCTCAGCCACTGATGCTCTAGAGACTTGCCATGTGAATAAATGTTTAAAAAATAATTTATATAACATTTGAAAACAATCAAAAGACTTGCAATGGGAAGATTTAGCTCTTACATAACACATCTTTAACACAAAATATAAGAGTTGTATGGCCAGGTAGTATTTACTATTTAATCTCCACCATATATCATCTTATTTTAGATAATCTATCTTGGGTGCCCAGTTATGGTTTAAGTCTACCCCTATATATGGGTGAATGGCTGTATTAAATACTACCCGGTCATAGTTGTAATAACTTTGATCAACACCAACAGCATTAAAAGGAATATAATTTTTTATAGTTTTTAATCGTCATCATTGTCCTCTTCTCCAACTTGAACATCATTTTTATCTTCAACAATTAATTCATCAGTTACTTCAACCTCTTCATCTTCATCATATTCATCTTCAGCTTCCATTTCCGTATCTTCTCTAATGTCCTCGTTGATGACCTCAACCTCGGCCATTTCTGTTGTTTCTACTTCATCCGTTCCAGGTACATTAGTTGAAATAATCTCTAAAAGTTCGTAAATCTGCTCTTCCGTTAACCTCTCCTCACTTTCCTCGATTATTAACTGAATTTCTACGGCCGTTTTCGGACGATGATTTAAGAGTTGAAGAGTTTCAGCTTTCATTAATTTAAACGGTGCCACAGCCTTCGTAAATTTCGCAAGAATATCAGGATCTTGAAGTTTACATGGAGTGTTTTCCAAATATTTTACAGTCTCGTAAGTTATAGTGGCTAGATTCTGTTGATGTTTATTAGGCTTTTTTTGTCCTCTGCCATTTTGAATGTCCGTAAGAAGACTATAGACTTCATAATTAGTCAACAAAGCAGCACTTTCATTAATAACTTCCATTTTTTAATAATGATATTAAACAGTTTTTTATCAGGACGTGTTGTTCGGTAGAAATTTTAAAGATGCATATCTTCCTGCAGCTATAACATAACACCACGCTATGGCAACCACCACCAGCAAAAACTGAGGAAAAAAAGAAAGAGAATTATGCATGTGAAATGTATTTTTTTTTTTTTTTTTTTTAACAATATTTTATTCAAATATTGATAGGGCATAAATAGTCTACATTGTGTATGACTCTGGGATCATAACGTCACCGTCTGTCAAGTGACATGGTTTCTTCGACTCCATGCATGTACATGTATGTGACAAATGTTCACTTGACACAAATATGTCATTTTCATGATTTTGGGAATAACATATGGTTCAATTTTATTTCAATAATTCACTTGCGTGTAGGTGTCTTTGGCTGTGGGAGGAAACCAGAGAAAAGCCATGAGGTTGGCCAGGTGACCCGAACTTATCAAGTCAACTGACAGTGTGACTCTAGAATGAGATACCTCAATTCAATGTTCATGAAATAAATTGATGTCTGTCATTTCAAAGAAACATGAGAATTTGGGGCGACATATGGCAGGTACAATACTATTTAGACATACTGCACATAGCTGAACAAACAGTTTTGTTTGCATGATATTGTTATCCTACAACTGATAACACTACTTCTGTCAGTTCTGCTATTATGCCATGGTATGATGAGGCTGGTATAACTGTGACTTCAAATAAAATAAATTCATGGATTCCAGTCCATGTTCAATGTTGTCACTCTATTCTTAATTTCAACAATTGGATTCTTCTACACTCACAGCCCCCCCCCCCCCACACCACTAAAATATATACTGGGAATCTATGGTGAGTTAGTAAAGTTAGCAAAAATAATGGCTAAAAGAGAGCACGACAACTAGTTACGACTTGTTTTGTTTGGTCTGTTGTTACTTTTACAAAATTTTGGTGTTTCATTTCATTTTGGGGGTCAGTGTTTGGTCTTAGATTTAACTGATAATTTACAAAAAATATTTATGTTTCTTTTAAGGAAATTTTCTTACGATATTAACAATCCAGTCAATTGTTGGACGACTAAATTCGAACATTTTCTAGGTATAATAATACCGTTCAGTGTTCACATTGCACCGCCATGTGAAACCGGAAATAACAAACAACAGCGCACGCCTATTAAAAGGGACAGATAACTCTGAAGGAATTGACGTAAGCGACTTTACTCGGCTGTCAATAATAATATGCAGAAAAAATATAAGATATTAGCCGATAAGGTTTGATGTAAAACAGATTTTATAGAATGGTATTTCTTGTAGATAGCACATTGGTTGTGGTATGTATTATATTTGGGTATTATCTGTTAATATAAGGTTTTAAAAATCCAAAACAAACAAAGACACCAAAGAAGTCTTCTTTTCAATTTTATAAAGTCATTTTTTATTTTTATTGTTTTATCTATCTCGAATTCGATCAGTGTTTATGCGATATGTGTGAACGGTCGCATATTGTTTTATTGTAATGAGCTGGTACAAATAACAATTGAGTTGTTGATGTGGATTTCGATTTGACAAGGGTGATTGAACCCTTTGATCTATCTATATATTTTGATTGATGCAGAAAAGATCGACACTATGTATGAGTATAGCTATAGTCTGGTTACAATTTATTTCAATAATCTGCTGCATATGCATTCGTTTCGGCTGCTGTTAGGTGCGGGGATGGGTGGTTGACTTTAATGCATGCACGTTAGATCATAGTTACTATACTTGTAATGTTAAACTGTGTGTTTAACGTTACAATTGATACAGTCTAAGACTCCTTACGCACATTCAAATAGGTTCAAACGCACAATTGTCAACACATATCATTACAGTTTGTATTGGAATATGTAATTCTATGACAAATAGTGAAGACTGGACCACTAAAATAGTTACCGAACAGTTTTTCTTTGTGGTTATGCGTTCTACATTTGCATAGCGATGTTTCTTGTAATGACATATTACGCAAGCCGCCATGACACCGGCCAGTTGAAATTTTGCGTAGCAGTTGGGTTTCATCAAATCATATAATTATGCGGTAAGGCTTCACCTTTTTCAATGGGAATTGATTTATTATATGTTAAGCTATGTGCAGTACTGTTTGGGTCTGTTTATGTGTAAATTAAGGGAGCTATAGGCCAGTAACCTTTTTGTAGTCATTTGACTAAAAAGCTTGCGCAAAGGAGCTCTGTAGGACGAGCCACTACTGTGGCTGGAGTAAGGCGGAAGACATCAGTAGTGGAACCATTTCTAGTTAGATCATTGAGTCAAGTGGTGTGGTTTCGATTCGCCTCTTGTAAGTGACAATTAGGAGTAGGATTGCCTGTCCAACTTCGTAGGTTTTCCCTGGGTCCTCCCGACATCCTCCCACTGCCAAAGACTCCTACATGTACGTGCAATTGATGCATTGAAATATAATTAAACCTTATGTTACTTCAAAAATAAACAGGGGAAATTAATCATAAAAGATACATTATGGGAGATTAGGTAAAGAGCTGGCAGTTCTCACTATAATTGTTAAAAACTAGATAATGTAAAGGGAATTTGCTGAAAATTTCAGTCAAAATGATCCAGTCCGAACCGATAATTTAGCGATTGAATTTTCTGCCTAGCCTCGATCATCATTACTAAAGTCAATACGATAAAAAAACATAGTCTTGATTATCCATTTCATGATTTAATCATGAATGAAAGTTGAGCATCAAATTGGATTTCAATGCAGTAAATATCGCAGGCTGGCGATGACATCAAGAGTTGATTATAGTCTGGATAAATTAATTAATATCTAATTAATAATTTAGATAACATTTCAGGCCTAAAGAAAGACCTGTAATAGGCAGATTTAGCTCTTGCATAATGTATGTTTAATATTATGGCATAATTATCAAAATGTTTTTATGGTGGGGCACATTATATCTGGATCTAAGCTAGTTATTGGGCATTTTGAATGGATCATCAATAACCACTGATTATATTTATTTTTAATTTTAGGAATGGTGACAGCAATCGTCTGTTTATTATTACATTGATTATTCTTACAACTATCAACTAGAAAAATGAGTGCAGGGCCTCTAGTTGTGGAGATCATCTGTACTTGTCTTTTGGCTGCGTTCATTCTTCATCGCTATGGTGACTTACGAAAACAACATATTTTGGTCACCTTGGCTACTTTCGTAGCATGGTATTTCTCATTCATGATCATCTTTATCTTGCCTATGGATGTGTCTTCGGTAAGCATCGTTGATTTTTTTATAATTTTATTATCTACCTAGATAATTAGAGATGCTACATTCACCATTTTTGCATGGACTTGATAATCTTTTTCTTGTAGTTCTTCATCTTCGTTTCGTTTTTTATAGATCAAAATTTTGTTTTACTTGTCTTTACTACACTAGGATCTGGAAGAGTTGTTATCATTGCCGTGTTCTGGATAATGTGAGGGATTAGCCAATGAAACGGTCTGTTACGGCAAGCTTTTGGTGTGAGGTGCGCTTAACTGTGGGTAATCCACAAGAAACATCAATGCTGATTGGTTAATCAAATGTCTGACGTCATAGGGTCAAAAGCCGCTCGTATGACCTCTGATCCGATGTCCCAAAACAACTGGTCAGATCTTTATGTAGTGTGGGCCATCGAAAGTATAAAAAACGAAACGAAATATAGATCTATATTTCAATCAGATTGCGACATGCATTTACCTGGACATAAGTCACCTATCACAGACTTTGTCAGACTAGCTATAAATATTATAATTTCAGACTTTCTATCGCCAATGTAAACGTGACAGCATGCCGTTAACAACAACAACTACCACAGCTAGTCTACCAGGTAACATGACATCATCAACTACTTCCACAACAACATCTAATACTAGTGATGATATCATTACTACAACTACATCATTTCATCCTATTCACATGCCACCTATGTTATGTGAAGAACCATTAAGTCATGTACCAGATAATGTTTTACCAGCGTTATGGAGAGTGGTATATTGGACGTCACAAGTTTTAACATGGTATGTTAAATATTGTCTTTGTCTGTTTTTATTCCTCACTTTTAAAGATTACTTCACAGTTTTTCTTTAATAAACTGTTTGTTTTCTCACTAAAAATATATTATGTTAGAGCTAACTATGCCTATTGCAGGTCTCTTTTTCTAGCTTCAAATGTTATATAGATTATCATTTAGACATTTATTCACTTGATAAACCTATAATCACCTCTCTAGATCGTCATTTGACTAAAGTTGTCAACATATTCATTTTTTATACGTCCACATTCATAATGTGAACGTATTATGCCGTCGCCCCTGTCTGTGTGTGTGTGTGTGTGTATGTATGTGTGTGTGTGTGTGTGTGTGTGTGTGTGTGTGTGTGTGTCTGTGGTTCGCCTACAGGGCGCAATTCTTCATGGATTTTCTTCAAACTTGGTATACTTATTCCTTATACCCCAAGGAAGATCCCTATTGTTTTTGGTGCATGCCCGACCCCCCGGGGCAGAGCCACGCCCATTTCTAGTATTTGTTTGTTTGTCGTCTACAGGCCACATTTCTTAACTAATAATCTTGAAACTTTGCATACACATTCTTTGTACCCTAAGGAACATCCCTATCGTTTGGGGTGCATGCCCAACCCCCAGGGGCAGAGCCACGCCCATTTTCTTTTCGTGTGTCTTTGTGTCGCCTACAGGGCGCAATTCTTACTGGATTTTCTTCAAACTTGGTATACTTATTCCTTATACCCCAAGGAAGATCCCTATTGTTTTTGGTGCATGCCCGACCCCCAGGGGCAGAGCCACGCCCATTTCTAGTATTTGTTTGTTTGTCGTCTACAGGCCACATTTCTTAACTTATAATCTTGCATACACATTCTTTGTACCCTAAGGAACATCCCTATCGTTTGGGGTACATGCCCAACCCCCAGGGGCAGAGCCACGCCCATTTCCCATTTTCTTTTCGTGTGTCTTTGTGTCGCCTACAGGGCGCAATTCTTACTGGATTTTCTTCAAACTTGTTATGTATTTAGCGTCTGAAGGCCACAGTTCTGAATGGATTATCTTGGAACTGAGTATACTTATTGCTTATACCCCAAGAACGGCAACTATTGATTTTGGTACATGGTTAATATTTTGTCTGTAAATAATCTACAGATTGCAATTATTAAAATATTTGGATCTAATTCAGTATGATCAATCATAGGGTTGTACCTATTTATATTGGCCCATTTCCAACCCCCAGGAGCAGAGCCACGCCCAATTTTTGTATTTTTTGTCTACAGGCTGGGATTCTGAATCTGAATGGATCATCTTGGAACTTGGCATATTTATTCCTTATACTGTAAAAATAGCAACTTTTTTATTTTGGTGCATGCCCTGACACCCAGGGGCGGTGTCACACCCACGTTTTGTTCAATTTAGTCTGTTAATTTGGCAAAACAAACCAGACGCCAAGCCTTCATTATTTTAAAAAGTACCATATGAATCAAAGCAGGAATGTGGACGTATATAGCAGCGATAGCGATGCTCTTGTTATTATTTATTTTTGAATTATTACATCAAGAATGACAAGCTCTTTATCTAAATCTTTAAACATACATTATGCAAGAGGTAAATCTGCCTATTGCAGATCTTTCTTTAGGCCAGAAATGTTATCTAAATTATTAATTAGACATTAATTAACTTATCCAGACCATAATCAACTCTCGATGCCATCGCTAGCCTGCGATATTTAACAGATTGGAATACATTTTTAGAAAAATAATTAAACATAAAAATGGATAATTGAGACTTTGGTTTTTTTTATTGTACCGACTTCAGCAATGATGATCGAGGCTAGCCTAGAATTCAAAAGCTAATATCTTGGTTCAAGGTGAAGCAATTTGAATGAAATTTTCAGTATATTTTTTTTTACGTTATCGTTTTTTTTACGAGAACTGTCAACTTTTTTATCTAATCTCCCATAATACCTCTTTAATACTAAGATGATGTGGTATATTGGACGTCAGATTATTTTGATATTTTCTAGAATAATATAGTCGATGCAAAACAGTAGGATGTTAAAGGTCACCGGAAAAGCATCAATTTTTTTTTAAATAATGCAAGTAATTATGTCAACATATCCTTTCCATAAGTATAACCCGAGCCCGAACGTCAATAATACCTGCAACAGGTAAATTTCAACATTAGTAATTTCCGCCGTTCTCCGTCGGTAGTCGGAACTTTCCGTCAATAAGCAATCCGTGACGTCATTTTAGTCCTTCTGCACATAGAAATATAGACTAGAATATGAGCAGAAGGACTAAAATGACGTCAAATTTACGGAAAGTTACGACTACCCACGGAGAATGGCGGAAATTGCTAACGTTGAAATTTACCTGTTGCAGGTAATATTGACATTCGGGTTCGTGTTATACTTATGGAAAGGATATGTTGACATAATTACTTGCATTATTTAAAAAATTTATGAACCTTTTCCGGTGACCTTTAAACCCCCTTTTCATTTGATTTTTGTTAACATGTAAATTATTTTGTAGGTTAGTTCTACCAATGATGCAGTCGTATTCTAATGCAGGTGATTTTACTGTATTAGGAAAGATTAAATCAGCTTTAATAGAGAATGCTATATTTTATGGAACATATTTATTGATATTTGGTATCTGTTTAATCTATGTTGCTGCTCGACCTGATCTGGATGTTGATGGGTAAGAAATATGTTTACGCTTTCATCCACTTTACTTTTATTTTATTGGTGCAGAAAAGTGGCACATTTTAAAAACCTTATTTTATTTATGGCATAATGTCGTTTCTTCATTAGCCCAGTGACAAGGAGTATGGTCGTCTGTCTTACCTCGTTCTGTTTTCTCTGGGTCCTCCGGTTTCCTCCCACTTCTAAAAACTCCCTACGCGCAAGCGAATTATTAAAATAAAATTAAACCATATGTTAGTCCCATTTCTCTCTCTCTCTGTTTTATAATTTTTATCTAATGAGGAATATTATTTGAAATCTATTTTTTTAGGGAGAAGTTAAAGGTTATTGGTGTGACAGCTAGTAATACGTGGGGTCTGTTTGTACTGGTGTTAATGTTAGGCTATGGTCTAGTTGAGGTCCCGAGAGCATTCTGGAACAGTTCTAAACGTGGTTATACTCTCTCTAGAACTCATTTTAAAATAGCCAAACTTTGTACAGAGAAAACAGAAGCTGAAGAGGCTTTAGAAGATGTTCTTGATGTGAGTAAAACACAGTATTTATACGTCTCAGCTGACGTGACGGAAAAACTCAAGCAGAAATGAATTCCGTTTTTTCCCAGTCTCCCCGTCCCTCTCCACCAGGGGACAGCGATGTGATATATACCTCATGCACGAATGTCTGAAAGAGTCCCATGCCTGTTTCCTTCATCTCCTCCCTTTATCATCCACCCTCTATCAAGGCGGGCAATGGCCACGTGATAACGCTTGAGCGCTTGCCTCTGTCAGACATCAACTGTCTTGAGGAATTCTACACATGAAAGGCAGGACACCTTATCCCTGTGTTTCTTTCAAACTTTGAGATTGGCATTATCTGTATAAGTTGAAATCATGTCATAAACAACTCAATCTGATTAAAATACAGATCTATATTTCGTTTCGTTTTTTTATACTTTCGATGGCCTACACTACTTGAAGACCTGGCAAGTTATAGCGATAGGTCACGTCAGGGGTCAAAAGACCGACTTTTGACCTATGATGTCAGACATTTGATTAACCAATCAGCATTGATGTTACTAGTGGATTACCCACAGTTCCGGGCAAAAAAGGTCAAACACTCAATTCGACAGACCATTTGATTGGCTGACTCCTCATTTCAAGCAGAACATGAGTTAAATAACAAGTCTTCCAGATCCAAGTGTAGTAAAGACAAGTAAAACGAAATTTTAAACTATAAAAACAAAACGAAATAGGATCTGTGTTTTAACCAGATTGTGAACAACTCTGAGATTAGCAGGGATGTGGACCTTGTCATTTGAACAAGGAGCCACGGTGGCTAGGTGGTTAAGACGCTGGCTCGCTAGCCTGGAGGTCGGGTGTTCGATCCCTGCATTGGCCGAGAAAGTTCATCCGGATTTTCCGGCGTGGTTCTCCCTTGTCAGTGATGCATCTTCATGTGTGTCTCATCGTTTGTCTCAATCATACCTCATGTTTTTACTCAATGTAAATAAAGTATTCTTAAAGATACATTATGGGAGATTCGATAACAAGTTGGCAGTTCTCACTATAATAATTAAAAACTAGATAATGTAAAGGCAATTTGCTGAAAATTTCATTCAAATTGATCCACGATGAACCGAGAACTAAGCAAATAAAATTTCTGCCTAGCCTCGGTCATCATTACTAAAGTCAGTACGTTAAACAGCATAGTCTCAATTATCCATTTAATCGAGAAGGAAAGTTATGCAGTAAATCGGATCACAATTCACTTAAGATCGCAGGCTAGCGATGCCATCTAGAGTTGATTATGGTCTGGATAAGTTAATTAATGTCTAATTAATAATTTAGATAACATTTTAGGCCTAAAGAAAGACCTGCAATAGACAGATTTAGCTCTTGCATAATGTATGTTTAAGAAGATGGCTAGAATATCATGATTCTTCTACTAGTTCTAGTATAAACAAAGATCTTTTCTGTTTGTGTTTTGGATATTTACCATGACTTTATATTGCAGGAGACTAAACGATTGGCTGAAAATATCAAATACAATCACCCACTACGTAAACATATGGACACCATACTTGCCAAGGTATTATGTTTTACTACTGTTTAAGGTATCTGACACTGATTTTATGTCTAGTAGTTCAGATGGGATGAAAAAAAAGAGGTCCACAAACCTCAGAAGTTTTCTCTGGGACCTACGGTTTCCTCCCTCTGTTAAAAGACCCCTATGCAAAAGCATATTATTAATATTGTAGCATATGTTAGTTCTGAAATAACCCTAGTTAAACCTCATTTTTCTCCATTCGAACAACTACATGTTGTTGTTGCCAAGCCCTCCATGCTGCACCAAAAGAAGGAACCATGCCGTAAAACTCCCATTGGACGTTCTCAGCCAATGCAGGGACCGAACGATTATGAAAAAAAAGGCTGTTATAACTCATTTCAGTTCACTTAAAATTATTTATATAATTTGTTGGTTTTCTTTAGTGTCCTGAATCGTTGCGTAATTCTGTACGTAATAAAATGGATGATTACGAAGATTACGAATCACCACAAGATTGTATATCGGAGAAAAACATGGTAAAATTACACAAGAAGGTTATGCAGAGTATTCAATTAGAGAAACGGACCCAGATACAATGGACCATGTTGATGGAGAAGGTCTTCGATGTAGAAGATACCATGAATAATGAAAGTAATCCAGATCGTTTATTCCGTCGTACATACAATACAGATTATAATCAGATTGTCCGGGCAATATATACACCTAGAGTTGGTGAGTTATTTATACTACAGGTTATATATACACCTAGAGTTGGTGAGTTATTTATACTACAGGTTATATATACACCTAGAGTTGGTGAGTTATTTATACTACAGGTTATATATACACCTAGAGTTGGTCAGTTATTTATACTACAGGTTATATATACACCTAGAGTTGGTCAGTTATTTATACTACAGGTTATATATACACCTAGAGTTATTGAGTGAAGTTATTTATACACAAACAATACAGATATAACGAGTAGATTTGGTACTTGTTTATCAAAATCTGAGTCAAATCTGTATCCATGGAAACAAAAACATTATTAAATCTGAGATATTTGGATTAACAAACAACATAGTTGCAATGTTTGATTCTAGCACGTTTCAATCTTTTGTTACTGGATGACCTGGCGCCTGGTACGTTCGGGCATTTTTATGCGCGAACTCTTAGTTTTTTTTTTACTGGCATGCGCACAGGTACTATTTCTTTTTCTTTTAACAAGTACCCAAATCGGGGATTTCGTGCGGAGGTAGTTCGGAGGTAAACAGTCTGTGAAGTACAACACTTGCCACTGTACCTGTGTATCGCTAATTATAAATCGAATGTGTGAAGACAGTTCATACATATCACTCAAAAAATTTTCAGTACAAACTCAGTTGATTCACGCTCGATTTGCTACTAAACAAACCCATCGGTTTATTTTCTCAACAGTGTGACCCGAAGTGACCGCGGATTTATTGACCTTGTATGAACTTATCCATAGCTATATCCTTACACCGAGAGAAATTATCTAGTCTCGGTGAAAAGATCCATGGTCATCTGGTAGAAAATTAGAAGCAAACTAACCTGCCGCACATGAGGAAGTCATTATACTAATAATAAAAGGCGAGACCTCTTTTTGCGGCGCAGGCTTATCACTGAGTAGTAAACCGTCCACAAACAATAATATAGGAAGCCTAGTGACGAGTGTAGTAAGTAGGCTATAGACTATAGGTTTGAGTCGAGATTACTCGCTTTCAGTTTACTCTGTTTTTGCGATAACCAATTATGTGAGAAATACCATACTGACATTCGGTTTTTAAAAGTTGTACGCCAACTAAATGCGTTTGTTAGATACTGACAGAGCAGCCCCGAGTCGAACAATCGCCGCCCGAGCTGTCTTCGTCAGCTAGTTTCACAATATCGTGCAATAGGTGTATTAATGTGATTTTTAGGTTTAACCCCGCAAACAATGCCAAAATAGTGTTTTCACTGCTTACAGAAAACTGAAATTTAAAAAAAAAATTTTTATGAGGGTGACCCTCCCACACACTCCCTATGCCTGGCACATACTGTCAACATTGTATATTTTTCCGTTTCCGCCCTTCCCCCCACAATATATATTTCACGGCTACGTTGCGACGGTACCAGCATCCCCAGTTGTTGACACCCATTACATCACTCCTGTGTAACAAATCATAAAGCTGTGGTGTTACGGTGGCGGCATAGTATTTCACCGTAACACCACAGCCACTCTAACCATTCATAATACATCTAACTATCCCTTTACAGCACTTCACTCCCTACACATTTCCCCTCCTCCTACTTTCCCAAACGTCAACAACACATCTCATACATCCAGTTCGCTGATTAACCCTTGTACCACGTCTACTGGATTGCAATTTCATCAGTTCAGAACATTACGAACTCACAATGGAGCATCCTCATGGAAAAGTAAAAGGGCTGTTAAAGGAAAGCCAGAAATACAAAGTTAGACAAAAAAATACACAAAAAATAATAGCAGTGTGCAAGAATAGAGGCTCTTGCGATAATACCTCAAATATTTAGTGGTAATGTGACAAAAATTATGTTTTTTTTGCATGAATCTTTTCAACTCGGCCTATTAAACAAATCATGTCTAGGTGTCAATCCTACCTCTCTAAAACCATTGAGTCTAGGTATAGTGTTCGTTAATGTCAATCCCTGCTGGTAGTAGTAGCAAATATAACCAAATTGTTAATTTTTCACACAACTCTTTACAATCCAGAATGGCTGATTTTTTAATGAATCAAGTTTTTTTCATCTTTTGTTTCAAATTGTGAATGCTTGTTATTTTCAGAATGGTATTGGAAGTGTAAAATCCGACCATGGTTTATGATGGGATTATCTATAATACTGATGGTATTTTCCTTCATGGTAGTATGGTCGGAATGTTTGTTTTTTATTAAAGATCCTATATTATCGTTGTTTGCTGTATTTATAGATTTAGCTCAGCATAATTATGATTATGTGTATATCGAGGTAGGTATTCAAATTAATATCGCTGAGCATTTGTATTTTCCGAGAATACCTGTATTCAAATTAATATTGCTGGTTGTCCATTGGATAAGGGGGGTTGGATGGCCGAATGGTTAGCACGTGCGTACTGTATCATAAAGTCTGTCATTGAGTCAACTGGCGCGGTTTCGATTCCCTGGTTGTACGTGACAAGGAGTAGGGTCGCCTGTCCAACCTCATGGGTTTTCTCCGGGTCATCCGGTTTCCTCCCACTGCTAAAGACCCCTACGCACAACTCTCTCTCTCTCTCTCTCTCTCTCTCTCGCACAACTCTCTCTCTCTGATTGGATAAACTTGTCAATATGTATAGACTTGTAAAATCGATACTATCGTAATCTCTTTTTTGTCAGATTATTTGATATATATTTTTGTCTGTTTTTTTTTTCCAGTTTGCATCGATATTAACGATATCCTATATATGTTTTGGAAGCACCTTGATATATATCTTTGTCTGTTTGTTTTTTTCCAGTTTGCATCGATATTAACGATATCCTATATATGTTTCTGTGCTTACTACAGTGTTTTCCAAATAAAGATCTTCAACTATTATTATATAGCACCTCATCATCAAACTAACGAACACAGCATCATATTTACTGGCATGTAAGTTCCATTTATTTCAGGGGTTTGGGTGGTCGAGTGGTCTGACATGTGCACGTGGACTGCAGATAGATCATACCGTCTGTCAAGCTAAGTGTTTAAGACGCTGGCTCGCTAGCCTGGAGGTCGGGTGTTCGATCCCTGCATTGGCCGAGAAAGTTTTCCGATGTGGTTTCCCCTTGTCGGTGGCGCTGGATGGAGGGCCTGACAAGGACAGCTGTCTAGTCGTTCGGATTGTACGAAAAACCGAGGTCCTGTGTGTACATTGACATGCACATAAAAGAACCATTGGCAGTTGGAATTCGATATAAGAATAGGCCATAGTTAAACCTACGTCTGTCATTGAGTTGAGTGGCGTGGTTTCGATTCCTCGTTTGTACCTGACAAGTTGTAGGGTTGCCTGTCCAACCTCATGAGTTTTCTCTGGGGTCTCCATTTTTTTTCCAGGACGAAATACCCTTACACACAAGTAAGTTATAGAAACGAAATTGAACCATATATTAGTCCTAAAATGACCTAGGTTGTTTTGAGTGGACGTTAAACCCCATCAATCTCACGTTGACAGTTGAAATTTGAAATAATTTTCAAGACATCGTCATGAAACTTTGTAAATACATCAACCTATTAGTAGTTGTGACTTTTGCTAATTAGATATTTCTAGGATTTAATATGTTATGTGTTTCCACACCCACTTTTTCTCTGTATATGAACAGATTTGGATCTGATTCTGAATGATCTAGCATAGGGTTGTACCTATTTATATTGGTCAATGTCCAACCCCCAGGGGCAGACCCACGCCCAATTTTTGTGTTTTTTGTCTAAAGGCAGGAATTCTAAATGAATCATCTTGGAACTTTACATATTTATTCCTTATACGGTAAAGATAGCAAATATTTATTTTGGTGCATGCCCCGACCCCCTGGGGCAGTATCACACCCACTTTTTATGTTAATATTTAGTCTCTAAATTGTCATATTACTGTCATTGCAACTCTTTCATATTTCATTCTCTTCATTTTAAAAAGTACCACATGAATCAAAGCAGGAATTTGGATGTAGTTCTCATTAGTTTACAAAGTGTGCAAGATTCTGATGACCAAGTCTATCATGGATTTATTAATAAATTTTCTGTTTCAATTGAAACCAATTTGACTTAATTATTGTGACATTTTGTCATTCAGGATGTTGTGTGTGAGACTTTTTGTTTATTTTATGCCAATTTGTCTTTCAGGATGTTGTGTGTGAGACTTTTTGTTTATTTTATGTCAATTTGTCTTTCAGGATGTTGTGTCGACTAACTCCTCCGATGTGTCTCAATTTTCTGGGACTGATTCACCTTGATAGTCATGTGACCAGTGAACAAAATAGAGAAGAAACATCCTATACTCAGGTAAACGTTCTAACGCCAAAAGTTATCGTCCAATTGTTTTAAAATTGATATATGTTGTTTACATTAGTGAGATGAAGAAGCCTATTTAATTTCAATAATTTCCATTTATGACGTCTAGAGTTATGGCCCTTGTTTCACTTTGTTGAACCTTGTGAACGCTCAAATGACAAATCCGATCTTTGTGAAATTTATATGCAATATTTAAATTAGGGAAACGAAGAAGCCTATTGAATTTCAGCAATTTCTGTTTATTACTTCTAGAGTTATGGCCCTTGTTTCACTTTGTTTAACCTTGTGAACGCTCTAACCCCAAAAGTTATCATCCTATCTTTCTGAAATTTATATGCATTTTTTAAATTAGTGAAACGAAGAAGGTTATTGAATTTTAGCAATTTCTGTTTATTATGTCTAGAGTTATGGCCCTTGTTTCTCTTTATTGAACTTTGTGAATGCTCTAACATCAAAAGTTATCTGCCGATCTGTATGAAATTTACATGCGTCATTTAAATCAGTAAAGAGAAGAATCCTATTGAATTTCAGCAATTTCCTTTTATTACTTCTAGAGTTATTGCCCTTGTTTCACTTTGTTCAACCTTGTTAATGCTCAATTGATGAAAGTTATCATCCGATATGTATGAAATTTATATGCATCATTTAAATTTGTGAAACGAAAAAGCCTGTCAAATTTTAACAATTTCTGTAGATTACTTCCAGAGTTGATACCCTTGTTTCAATTTGTAGAACCTTGTGAACCCTCAAACGGCAAAAATTATAATCTGATCTGTATGGAACTGTCTTGTAAAGGCCCCCAATTACCTACAAAGGATTAAATATGCGACAACCCTTGTCGACCACTGGGACGACTTAGATGCTGTGGGGCGTATGTTTCGTTGCCTGGCAACCTATCTTTGTTTTTCTATTACATACCATGTTTCATACTATACCATGCCTCATACCATACCATGTCTTATACTATTTTGTTTTTCTATTACAGATAATGGGCCATATGGATGTCATATCTATTATATCCGATGGGTTTAACATTTATTTTCCTATACTCATAGTTTTACTGTGTATCTGTACGTACTTTAGTCTCGGTAGTAGATGTTTAAGTTTTCTCGGATTTCAACAGTTCATCGGAGATGATGACATGACGCAGGAGTTGATGGATGAAGGAAAAGAGTTAGTTAAAAGAGGTTTGAAAATAAATATTTATTTTTATTGTGCAATCATGGAAATCAGATGTCTGTCACAATGTCAGGCACAAATTTAGGCTTTATAAGATACCGTCTTCTCCTGTCATTTTGTCTGGCACAGAATTGTCTTTTATTTGTGTTTTTGTCTAATATGTCAGATTGTGAGTTACTAGTTCATTATTTTTTCGTTTGGTATATTGTGAGTTACTAATTCGTGATTTCGTTGTCTTTTATATTGTGAGTTACTAGTTCATTATTTCCGGGCCTGGTGTTGTGAGTTACTAGTTCATTATTTCCAGGCCTTGTGTTGTGAGTTACTAGTTCATATTTCTAGGCCTGGTGTTGTGGGTTACTAGTTCACTTACATGTATAACAAAAAGTTTGTGAAAATGGCACAAAAAACTCCCATGTAGACGATGATGTGCACGTAAAAGAACCTTTGACAGTTAAAATTAGAAAAGAGTAGACAGGTTTAACATCTCCATTAACCTGGCTGGTGCAAAAAAATAGGATGTTAAACCCCATTTTATTTTGTTTACTTTCAACAGAAAGAAGAAGAATGGAGAGAAAAGCAGATGGTGATGCTCGTAGAAAAATGTGGAACGAAAGATTTGCAGATCGCGATAGTTCTTCTAAAGCATTTAAAGATATACCTAGTGGTGCTGAACGTAGAGGTAATACATGTATATATATTTATTTAGTCCATTCTCCGAATTCCGTCAATTTTACGTGACTTATACTCCCCCTTTGGCTGCAGTCTTGCTGTGTACCCTTTTGACTTCACAGTCTTCCAAATTCATTTTACATAGGATCCCAGTTTGAATCTGACTTATATGATTGCTATCAAAATAACAAGGGAGCCGCGGTGACACAGTGAGTAAGGTGCTGGCTCACTAACCAGGAGGTCCTGTGCTCGATCCTGGTTTTGGTTGAGAAAGTTTCTCAGTCTCTCCATATCAGTGGTTCTGGATCAAGGATTTGACAAAAAACTGAGGTCCATTGTATCCACGGGCCTGCCTGTAAAAGAATCCTCAACATTTGGAATTAGACGAAGAATAGGCTGAAACAACACTGCCTTGTCAAAATTTCCCTTAGTCAATGTTGCTTGGCATATGTCTGTCTTCATTGTCTGGTTCTGTTAGAAAAGGTCATCCCACCCAATTTCATTTCATTTCATTTTATCAGAATAATATAACATGACAAGTACAGCTGTTTAGTCCTTCGGATGGGATGAAAAAACCAAGGTCCCGTGTAAACATTGGCGTGCACATAAAAGATCCCTTGGCAGTTGGAATTCGATATAACAGTAGGCCATAGTGCCGCTGCCCAGGCAAAATTTCCTAATAGCACACTGTTTGGTTTATGCCCATCTTCATTAGCCCAGTCGGAGCAGAACAGTAGGATGTTAAACCCATTTCATTTCATTTAACTTGTTGAAAAGTTTAACACCTGTTGGAATTTGATATAAGAGTAGGCCATAGTGCCGCTGCCCAGACACACTGTTTGGCATATGCCTGTCTTCATTAACCCAGTCGGAGCAGAACTGTAGGAAGTTAAACCCCATTTCATTTCTATAACAGAGTGTTAATTCTTGTGTGTTTTGTTTATGTAGGTCTGTATACAGCGGCTAGAAGTCCGGACGATAACGATAGAACAGAATTATTACGTCAAGTGGAACCATTAGACTATAACGATAGTCATACGACTGATCCACTCGCGGACAATTCTACAGGTTACCAATCACAACCTCCGTCAAGATTTAACTTATCGCGACCATCAAACAAACCACCACGTGGAATATTTGATGACGTGTGAAACATACAAACGTAATGTTAAATATATTTACAATTGTTATAGTAATGAAATCCGCATAAAATTATCTATACAGGGTCTAATGATTGACTACAACCTTATTATGAATTATCCATATAAGGCAGATATCACAGTCTATTGACTACAACCTTATTATGAATTATCAATATAAGGCAGATATCACAGTCTATTGACTACAACCTTATTATGAATTATCAATATAAGGCAGATGTCACAGTCTATTGACTACAACCTTATTATGAATTGTCCATATAAGGCAGATGTCACAGTCTATTGACTACAACCTTGTTATAAATTGTCCATATAAGGCTAATATTAGAGTATAACCATGAACCTTTTAAATGTTGTATATTAAAGCTTAATTATAGATAGCACTAGGGAGGAACTTATTCACCCAAATTTAAAACTTAAAGATTTCAGCCTTTTCATTGGCCACAAGCAAAATCCTTGACCAATGAAATGGCTACATTATTAAAATGTATTTGTTTAAGTTTTAGTGAATTTGGCCCCTGATTGGGAGCCATGCTAGTCCTATAGTAAAACAGGGTCTTATAGTGGATCAACTTCTATTAAGGTCCCAATGTATATATAACGATAGAGAATATTGTGAGCAAAAGAAAAACGAAAGTAGGCAGTAAGCTTTTGTAATGGCAAATTGACAAAAGCAGCCCCATGTCATTATTGTGATGTGATAGTTTTAATATCTATAATACTCATACAATTATTATTATTATTATTAAATATATGTATTTTAAAATCTATATCATAGATAAAATTACAGGTATTTAGAACAAAATCATTCCAATTAATGTTATAATATTCTTATTAGCACAATCTGATTAAAACACAGATCCTATTTCGTTTCATTTTTTATAGTTCAAAATTTTGTTTTACTACACTAGTTGTAATATCAACTGGAACATTGTAATATTACTGGGAACATTGTAATATTACCAGGGACATTGTAATATTACCAGTAAGATTGTAATATTACCAGTAAGATTGTAATATTACCAGTAAGATTGTAATATTACCAGGAACTTTACCTGGAAACTTGTAATGTTACCATGAACATTGTGATATTATCAGGAACATTACACTGGAAGATTGTAATGTTACCAGGAAGATTGTAATATTACCAGGAAGATTGTAGAATTACCAGTAGTAAGATTGTAACATCACCAGTAAGATTGTAATATTACCAGTAAGATTGTAATATTACCAGTAAGATTGTAATATTACCAGTAAGATTGTAACATCATCAGTAAGATTGTAATATTACCAGTAAGATTGTAATATTACCAGTAAGATGGTAATATTACCAGTAACATTACCTGGAAACTTGTAATATCAACTGGAACATCATTGTAATATCAACTGGAACATCATTGTAATATTGCTGGGAACATTGTAATATACTAATGTCCAAAAGAAAGTATACACACTAAAAATATGACTAAGTTTTGTTTTAATCAAAAAAATGTGATAAAACTACACTGAACATGTCTCGTGCGTCCAAACTCAATATTTCCAAGCAAATAAACGGCAAAACAAATGGACATTGTACCCAAATACTGCATACAATGGAAAAACTACTTTGTTTGAAGCAGGACTAAATGCACAGTGTATACTTTCTTTTGGACATTAGTATATTACTAGTAAGATAGAAGTATTACCAGGGAAATTGTAATGTTACCAGGAACATTACCTGGAAGATTGTAATGTTACCAGGAACACAGAACTACTTAATGATCTTATTGTTCAGGAATCAGACCAATTGTAAATTATGTGGATTTTTACAAGATTGTTGTACGATAAACACTAAAATCATTGAATGAGCAAGAATTTAGTCACTTAGTTAATCAAAAGGATTAATGTGTTTTATTCAGTTAATATTTACTAATATAATACTTGCTGTTGTGATATTCAGTGTTGTGGATGTAATTGTTATTTAATCAGATTTCACTCAATTCTCAACTTAGATTAGATACAAACCTTATCATATAAACAATCTCCATATTGGAACGTTCATATACTTGACTAAGCATCAAATAACTGTTATAAATGAAAACATACAACACTAATAGATCAAATTCGTCAGTTTATATACATAATGTGTATTAGTTAGTTATGATTGTTAGTAATCAGGCAGTAGTCATTAAGTAAGTGTTTCAATAGTGATGGGTGTTATAAATAGTCATGCTTTTACACCAGTAGTGACATCTTTTACAGCTAGTTACACACCCGCTTATAATGACTACTGTATAATTTCTAACCACTTTCTTTACATATTAAACATTAGAATACTGACCACTTATATGATTTAATGACAAAAATTGTCATTACTAAAATGCCTAGCTTCATTAGTCAACAGTATCAGCTTACCAGTGTTATTCATCTTGGTAACATTTTGGGTCAAAAGACCCTGTTATCAAATGAGTGGGGATTTAACGGAATTTATATCCTAATTCTTACATGACATGACAGTGGCTGTTAATTAAAATAATTGCTGACTAATTTGATAAACTGGTGACTTGAGCAGGACTCAGGCTTTTTGAAGACTTGGGACTCGACCCGGTACTAAAGTCAGCAACTTGGACTCAAAGTGTCCAATATTTCATCTAGTATAAATAATGTACGATAGGCTTGTTGCCTGTGTACACCAATACCAATTATATGTGTGGGTTAATGGTCGAGAGCGAGACATTAAATAATATATTTAAACAACACGAGGGACCATTAAAGAACTTAAAATACAGACACTCAAACGTTACGCGAGTCCAAAATTTCAACTAGTATAAATAATCTACGCTTGGCACATTGCCCGTACCATTATTTGAAATAATGATATGCCAACATCAAAGGATGACATCACAACTGTAATTTATATGTAATTAATAATAATCGTCCAGTTTATGTAAATACTATTATTTATTGTGTGTTAAACGTTGAGAGAATAATCTTCGAAAGAATGTCCGAATAAATTAGTTGAGAGAATAATCTTCGAAAGAACACAAATAAATTAGTAGTTTTTTTTCCGTAAGTATGTATTAAAGTTTATTATTCTATCGAGGGGGGGGGGGGGTGTCTGTGTGTTGGATGGCTGAATGGTTAGCATGCGCGTGTTAAATTGAGTCAACTGGTGTGGTTTCAAATCCCCGGTTGTACGTAACAAAGAGTAGGGTCGCCTGTCCAACCTCGTGGGTTTTCTCCGGGTCCTCCGGTTTCCTCTTCATGGCTATAGACCCCTACGCACAAGCAAATTATTGAATTAAAATTAAAACTATATGTTAGTCCTGAAATGACCTAGTTTGTGTCGAGTGGACGTTTAACCCCATTTCTCTCATTATTATTCTATCTATTTACTAAACGCCTCTCAAAGATCAATCAAATTGTTGTATTATTGTATGTGTGCATTTATTTATCGTCTATATAAATTAATATTAAAGGGCATTTATGTAGAACAATTGCATTTCAATTTCCCCATCAATTACATAGATTGTTAGTTCTATATAGAATTATCTAATTGGTTGTGAAAAATGATAATGTCTGATAAAACTTGAAAGTTAAAGATACATTATGTAAGATTTAGAGAAAGAGCTAGCCATTCTTGCTATAATAGTTCGAAAAAAGATAATGTAAAATGAATAATTTGAAAATTTCATTCAAATTACTCTATTGCGAGCGAAGATATTAGCCTTTGAAGGTTTGACAAGGCGTGTGCAATAATTTCAACCACCGTACTGGTTGTTCGAAGCTATGTCTCGCTCCTCCATTTTTAGCTTAATTCAAAATATGGCTGAATTGTTCTAATCTATTTAATATCGGAGAAATCCGATGCCATCGAGAGTTGATTATGGTCTGAATAAGTTAATTAATGTCTAATTAATAGCTTAGATAACATTTCAGGCCTAAAGAAACACCTGCAATGGGCAGATTTAGCTCTTGCATAATGTATGTTTAACATTTATTGTATGTATAACTGTTATTATATTTATTATTGATGTTGTAATAAACACATTCCTCATCCATTATCTTAAGTTCTTAGCCCCAAAGGTTGGGTGGGGTGGGTGTGTTGTGTTGCCAAATGATTCAACGTATGCCTGTTAGTTTGCAAGGGGTGTCACTGAGTCAAATGACATGATACTCCTTCCTTGCTAAGGACAGCTGTCTAGTTGTTCGAATGGGACAAAAAACCGAGGTCCTGTGAACACATCGGCGTGCACATAAAAGATCCCTTGACAGTTGGAATTCGGTATTATAAGAGTCGGCCGTATTGCCGCTGTCTTGGCAAAATTTCCCTCATAGCACACTGTATGGCGTGAACCCATCTTCATTAGCCCAGTTCGGAGTAGGACGTTAAACCCCAGTTCATTTCCTTTCTTTCCTCGTGGGTTTTCTCCAGGTCCTGTTTCCTCCAACATGCAATGAATTATTGAAACAACAAATTAAACCATGTTTGTCCCAAAATAACCTAGTTTGTGTCAAGTGGATGTTAAACCCCATTTTTCTCTCTCTCTCCTCCAAGGTTGTTATAGACACATTCCTGATACAAGTTCTGAGGTATGAAATGGGGTTTAATGTCCTACTTTGCTTGGGTAGGGGGGGTTGGATCGCTGAATGGTTAGCGTGCGCGCGCTCTATCATAAAGTCCCGCAATGACCTAGTTTGTGTCGAGTGAACGTTAAACACCATTTCTCTCTCTCTCTTTTGCTTGGGTAGAGCATGCATACAATCAGTCTGTCATTGAGTCAAGTCAGAAATGGCTTTCCTCCCACTGCAAGAGACCACAGGCATGCAATCGAATTAAGATACCTACCATAGATTTTATTGAGTGGACGTTAAACCCCACGTCTCCCTTCTTGGCTTCAAATTTTTATTCAATAATTCAAGACAATAAGAAATGACATAAAATGAAAAGGGGCTTAAACTTATATATTTAACACCACCTGTGTAGAGCTGAAAAATTTGCCTGGACAGAAATGAAATGGGGTTTAACGTCCTACTGTTCTGCTCCGAACTGGGCTAATGAAGACGGGCATATGCCATACAGTGTGCTATGAGGGAAATTTTGCCCGGACAGCGGCACTACGGCCTACTCTTATATCGAATTCCAACTGTCAAGGGATCTTTTACGTGCACGCCAATGTGTACACAGGACCTTGGTTTTTCTTCCCATCCGAACGACTAGACAGCTGTCTTTTGCCTGGACAGTGGTATTTCCATCTAGGACTACTTTGCATCGAATTCCAACTACCCACCTATGTAAACGATGGCGGAATTCAAGCGGATACGGATTATAGAGGGGGGGTTGGATGGCCGAATGGTTAGCAGGTGCAAGCTGTAATATAAGGCCTGTCACTGCATCGAATTCCAACTGCCCACCTATGTAAACGATGGCGAAATTCAAGTGGACCGGATTATAGAGGGGGAGTTGGATGGCCGAATGGTTAGCACGTGCGCGCTGTATCATAAGGCCTGTCATTGAGTCAACTGGCATGGTTTCGAAACCCCAGTTGTACGTGACAAGGAGTAGGGTTGTCTGTCCAACCTCGTGGGTTTTCTCTGGGTCCTCCGGTTTCCTTCGGCTGCTAAAGACCCCTACGCGCAAGCGAATTATTGAAATAAAATTAAACCATGTTGGTCCCGAAATGACCTAGTGTGTGTCGAATGGACGTTAAACCCCATTTCTTTCTCTCTCTCACAGGTAAAAGAATTGCACAAATCTTCGAGGCGCTTGGTCAAAGCAGATTTGTGGACTTTTTAGGCATTCAGATATCGAAGAAATTATAAGGTTTCGTAGAAATACGATATTCATATGGGGATCAATGTACGTAATGACCTAAACAATTTAAAGAGTGTCTGTGTACCTACATGTATGGATAATTTCGAGGCCTGTGTACACTGGATCTTGTAATGATCAGGACACTGTTCCTCACCAGAACCCCCTTCTGCACACAGTGATCCTCCCACTTCATACATCGAGAATAAATCTCTATCCTGAATGGCCGCCATATCCAAAACATAGTCTATTGTTCTGTAATGCGGTTCTACATGTGAAGTCGTGGACGGATGCTTTTCATGTGGACGTATATTGTCGTCGCCCCTGTCTGTACGGACATCCACAATTGTTTGTGGACACTGACTTACTAGTTACTTTAGTAACGAAAATATGAGCAGGTAGGGCTCTCATATTTTCGTTACTAAAGTAACTATGGACTTACAGGTCACAATTTTTATCCGATTTCAAGGAAAATTGAAATATAGGTTTATCTCCCTAAGATCTTGGTTCCTTTCGATATTGGCATGTATCGAACCGTAACTTCTTGACACCTGTATTCGAGAAAGAAAAAAAAAGGTGGTGGGTGTAAGACAACTAATATGCTTCTCATCAAAACTTAAAAAAAAAAATTGATTTACAAGCCAAGTGTTCTGCAATGATGAGAAACTATTTTACAATGAACAGTGGTCTGTATCCATCTGTAAGCTCAGATTTATTTCCCCTGAATTAAGCAAATAATAAAGTGAAAGTGGTCTGAGTTGATGTGGAGTGTGCGAAGATTTGTGTTGAATGGCTATACAAGGTGCAGATGCAATACTGTTTGTCTTGTTGTTATAATTGTCATAATAAAATGTTATAATTTTATGTAAATGTTTTTATTGTATGCTGTCCTCAATGGATGTTTCGATACAATAAAATCTTAATCAACTGGATAGCCTACTACTGTCTAAAATAAAGATACTTGAATCTGATATCTCAGCAACAGCATTAATTTAAAAAAAAATAGATGCATGTTGAAAGATAGTTACTTTAGTTGAAAGATAGTTTATTAAAATATGGGTTTATATAAGTGCTGGGAACCACATTGTATTGTCGTGACTGTATCCTCCAGGTTTGAATATTTTAAAGATCATTTTTAAAGTAGCTAAGTCTCTAACTCAATATCATTCAAAATCTTCAACATTGAAAACACGATTTATTTGTCAAATTAAATCAACATTCATGTTGTGATCTTACCGGAAAAAGATGGGCTTTTGATATCCAATATTTGAGACAAAATAAACATTTTACCATTGGTACACGAATCGTGTACCGGACCATAATGCACTTCAGCCCCAGTTGTATCAAGTGACTTGAGGGACGAGGCTAGACACATTGCACCAAATCAAACGGCGTATGTAGACTGGAATAACCAGACGCTAGAAATTTGCACTTGCTTGAGACTGCTGGCTTATTTCGCCGAACAGAACTGATTTGAAATTGGAGTAAAAATGGAAACCATTGAATGTAAATCAGTTTATATACATTCATATTACAGTATTATATCGTTGCGACCCACTTTTGTCAAACTCTAGGTCCCAAATGTTAGCGATTTAGCTCCTTTAAACATAGGCCTATATTAAGCAAGTGCTAAATCTGTCTATTGCAGGTCTTTCTGTAGGCCTGAAATATTATCTAAATTATTAATTAGATATTAATTAACCTATCCAGACCATAATCAACTCTAGATGACATCGCTAGATCAGTGGATTATGAGCCAATTTACTGCATAACTTTCCTTCAGCTTAGTTCTTGGTTCAAATAGTGGATCAATTTGAATGAAATTTTCAGCAAATTGCCTTTACATTATCTAGTGTGTAACTATTATAGTGAGAACTGCCAACTCGTTATCGAATCTCCCATAATGTATCTTTAACTTGTTATTTCTTATCTAATAATTTATTTTGTATTTATAGATTGAAGTATACAGAATACAGATTCTCAACAACAGACATAAAGATGAGTCGTTTTGATCTTTATATTAAGGCAGGCAGAGATGGTAAATGTGTTGGAGATTGTCCATTTTCGCAGAGAGTAAACCTTTTCACACATTTTAAATGTCCTGAATCAACTTGTTGTATTAAAACTGTTAATGTCTTGGAGAAAACACCTGAATTCCTGCAACTGAATCCTGAAGGGAAGGTTCCAGTATTGGTGGATAAAGAAGCAGGTAACAAAGTTATAACAGATTCTAAAGATATCAATATCTATATCAACGATTTGTTTCCGCAACCAGATATGAAGATTGATTATGATGGTCCTGCCGTAGCTGCCACAAATGGTATTTTTGGTAAAATGGCAGCCTTACTGAAGAATTCTGATGCCTCAGCCATTCCTGCCTTGAGGGAGGAACTCACAGCAGAATTACAGAAATTTGAAGATTACTTAAAGAAGAGAGAAAACAAAACAAAATATTTGATCGAAGATAAAATGATGGAGATCGACTGTCAGTTATTACCTAAATTACATCATTTGCAGGTTGCTGGTAAATATTTTCAAAAATATGAAATTCCTCAAGAATATACGAATGTGTGGAATTATATCAAAAATGGAGAATCTACTGTGGAGTGGAAAGATACAGTTTGTACAGATGAAGACATTATATCTGGGTGGTCTCGACATAATATTGTTAAAGTGTAATTCTCTCTCTGATTGTTTTTATCAGAATATAAACTTTTTGATAACTTTTCTTTGACTTTACAATATTATGAAGACTTATATCGTCAGTGAAGTGTCAAAAGGGTGTATCTAAGAATTTCTAAAGTTAAGAAATAGAACCTTTTGCATTTCAAAATTTCCACAAATCAAGATACAATGTTTGGACACATGACACCCAGAACAGTTCCAATTGGCTTAGACAGAAATGTGCATATTAATTGGGAGATTTTAAAAATGCAAGAAAGTGTATTTGACTAATTTCCCGAGATACACCCTTTTGACACTTCACTAACGCTCATTAAAGTCTCTGATCACCAATTTGAGTGATTTTAAATCACTTGTAAAATACAATATTGTGAACTGTGAATCGCTTAAACAAATAACACTCCAAAAAATGGTTCAATTAAAATCTTTTGATGAGCCTATTTTAATACAGTCGTATCCAAGATGGAAGATTATCTACTAGTGATATTTTGATTTTGTTTTCTTAATTAATTTGAGTACATTTTAGCCTGGATTTGGTATTGTCCGAAAAATGCATATGATGATCAGCGGCCTAGATCTGGATCCGTATTCAATGGAAATCTTAAGTCTTATTTAGTCACTTACCGTAACTACTAGATTTCATTAATATACTCTTCAAAAAAAGTAGGGGATATTGAAATGCAAATACCTATGCAGGTTGTGGTATGATAAATAGTCATGGACACTTGACATGCTTTGAGAGTATGTTAACAGATGAGGAACTTATCGCCCCAACAGGACCACTGAGGTGCACATGCGACACGCAATAGCACCATACAAGTGGGAGGGGTTCATTGTCAAATTTGACACTTCAAGGAAGGGTTGATGAAAACTGCCGCGTGCTGGTTTATCTAGCCATGTTTGCTCTCCTATCAGTTCTTGCATAAGATTTACTGTTTAGCGTATTTTTGTTGCTTTAGTGTGTTATGTTTAATTTGATCTGGAGACGTGTTCGTCGACATCAACGTCAACCGACAACACTGCAAGAATTGGCCGTAGCACTGCAAGAGGAGTGGGTCAGATTGCCCCAAATCATGATTGGACGGTTGATTAGGAGCATGCCACGATGAATTGCTGAATGTCTGAGGATTGGTGGAGCAATTACTCATTATTAAGACAATAATCAAAAACGTCCATTTTCACTTTTGACGGTGTATCTCTTTGCAAGTGAAATGGGGCCGTCCGATAAGCCGCCCGTATGAACTGTTTATGTTCATGTGTAGGCAATTGGCCTGTTATTAACATACACTGGTTACCTCTAATAAAAACAGCAGTGCAATTCTGCCGTTTTGTATTGTTTCTGAATATCCCCTACTTTTTTTGAAGAGTATATATATACCTAACTTTATGCAATAGTCTAAGGGGTATTCAAAGGTAATGTTAAAGGGTAGGGCTGTGACGATACGCCAGGCATCACGATTCATAGTCTACGATACGATTAATATCGTGATATAGGAAATAAATTTTAAAAAATGCGGTTAAATTTTGACAGTCTTTCACTGTGAACATGAAGCAATATTGCTAGAATTCTTGCTCTTATTATTAATGGTGGCATTATATTTCATTAATTAATGTCTTTGGCCAATTGTACTAAATATGCACTAAAAAGATAAGTGACGGTTGACACATAAAAAGAGTTATAGAACCAAAACATAGCTGATTCTACGTGTCAACAAAATACATGTGATTGGAAATTAACCTATTGCATCATTTAGTTTAAGGGACCAATCATATCAGTAATTGCACAGGTTCAGGGTCATGAATATACTAGTTTGTGCGTGATGTTTATAGGTCCTATAAAAGAAATCGTGGCAAACTTTTATGTCAGATTTCATTAGATTCCGGAGAGATTACCATCTGAGTTCCTAGACAGCAGACAGATTCTGGAAGAGAAAAGATGAAGCAATTTCTATCAGCAGACACGCCCCAGCACATCTGGCTGGCTAGTGTTTGAGAATGACTTTAGTATTGTAATCTATACTATGCTTGTATCCATGTATCTGGCTATGATATATAAATTTAAAAAATGAACTGTTGCATTGTTATAACTACTGAGAAGACAAACGTCTTAAGAAAACAGTACGAAGTAAATACACAACGTGAAGGGGAAGCAAAAGCAAAGACGACAAGTGAAAATACTAGACGATCAAAAGGGCTGTTCTAAAATATGTAGCAGAGAAAAGAGAGTATGTGTCACACGTTGGATGTGGGGAGTTGTCTCTGCGTATTTTCCACATCTAACCAGCGACTTCATAGCACTAGGAATAGTGTTACAAACACTAGAAGGCCTACGTTTATGATTTACTTTAAAAGAGCTAAGTCGCTAATATTTGGGATCTAGAAATTAACACAAATGGGTCGCAACGTATATAATAATGTAATATGAATGTATATAAACTGATTTACATTCAATTGTTTCCATTTTTATCCTCATTTTAAATCAGTTATGTTTGGCGAAATACGCCAGAAATCTCAATCAAATGGCAATCTCTAGGGTTTGGTTAGTCCAGTCTACACCGATAGTATTTATTGCGATGCTCTCAAAATAAGAATATGGCGTCACCGTTTGACATGACTGGTGGAATATGTCTAGCCTCGTTCTTCGAGTCCCGTGTTACAAATGGTGCTGAAACGCTTTTGTCTTAAATATTGGATATCAGAAGTAAGTCCATCTTTTCCCATTATGATCACAACATCAATGTTGATTTAAATGTGGATATTGAGAGAGAGAGAAATGGGGTTTAACATCCACTCTACACAAACTCGGTCATTTCGGGACTAACACATGGTTTGATTTTATTTCAATAATTCGCTTGTGTGTAGGGGTCTTTAGCAGTGGGAGGAAACCAGAGGACCCGGAGAAAACCCACGAGGTTGGACAGACGACCCTACTCCTTGTCACATACAACCGGGAATTCGAAACCATGCCAGTTGACTCAATGACAGGTCTTATGATACAGAGCGCACGTGCTAACCATTCGGCCATCCAACCTTCCCCCCACACCCCTCTGATATTGAGTTAGAGACTTGGCTACTTTAAATGTGGTGTTTTCTCGGTCAACTGATCGGATTTCATTGCTGTCATGCTTCACGGGAAACCCTGAAAAAAAAACAACCATTCTTTACTTTTGACTTATATACTTGGTATGGTGGATTTTGATCTCAATATTGCTTTCGTCGATCGTGCGACTTGAATTTGGTGAAATAACATTACAAAGATTTTAATAGCAAATATTAATATACATTGAAAATGTGCTGATCAATGTATGCAGTGTGCACAAATCGCCATTCTTATACAGTAATATTATCACAAATCGCATATTACGGAGTATATAGGCCTATATATATATATTAATATGTTTTTTTCCGCATAAAATTATTCAAGTGTATAATTTGAACGAAACTTAATTGCCAGCACGACTTGCTTAACCAGACTGATATTTTAATTTTGACGAAATAGCTATAATCAGCCACTTCATGTGTTGAAAACGCCTTAACACTCGCTGAAAGTAAAAAAGTCAATTTTGCTCATTATTATTATTATTATTATTATTATTATTGTTCGATTTATATAGCGCTTCATTACACGTGAAGTGTTTCTAAGCGCATATCACAAACATATACTTCAAACACACAGAAACAATCAAAATCAGGAGAACATAATTAAACACAGCTGCCTGTTAGGCGCTATTATTCAAAGGTTTATATCCAACAAATCAACCGGCTAATCTCTATATTGAACTCAGTCGAGGTATTACCTGATGAACACCTACACCAAGTAGAGTTCAAAAATAAAAACGAAGTTTAAAAGAATCAACTTCATTAACAAAAATTAAACAATCAAAATCGACTTATTTACGCATTTAACGGAAATGGTGAAACTTTTATGAGAATCGAATAATAATTGACACTTTTATAGATCAAAAACCTTGAAAAGTGACTTGTAGAAAATCTTCTACATGTATTCTCTGCAACCGTACAAGTTAGAAACCATTTTGTGGTATCTGTATGATCGTATGGGTTCATTCTATTTGGTGATTGGAATCAAAAATCATTTGAATAATTTGAATAAAATATCTGTTTTGAAGGCTAAAATACAGTTTTTGTCCAAAAGACGAATGATAATTGACTCTTTTACAGGCAAAAAAATGTGAAAAATGACACATGCAAAATTGCCTATATCTCGGTAACTGTGCATATTACAAATTAATTTTCACATACGTTCTCTTATTATGGATTATTGCTATGAGTTTATGAAAGTTATGAAGAAATAATTTAAAATATGAAGACGCTGAATGGGTTTGTAAATAGCTTAATTTTACACCTTTTTTCATCCTTTAGTCGAAGTAGCCCGAAAACGAAAAAAAAAAAAAAAAAGTGAGCCCGATGTTTTGTGCTCCCCTAAAGGGCACTCTCTTTCAGTTATTCAGTTATACCATATTTGAAAAAATAATTTTCGCTTTCAAAAAGTGGTACCAAACTGTCGAAATTGTAGTATTTGGTAAAATGATATCACTTCCAGTGCCGACAGGAAACTTCAAAAGTAACAAAAAAAAGACATTTTGGAAAACGGAGCATATGAACTTTGTTTTATACAAATCGAACAATAAATAATTAATGTAGGACCCAAAACCTGAATTAGCCAATGGCAGCTAACGAAAATTATTGAGAAATTTTTTTTTTCACATTTTTGCTCAAGTCAGAGGACCCTTTCTTTAATCCTGTGTAAAAATCAAAACATATTTATAAATAAAAAAGATTTTTGTAAAAATTTAAATTTTCAAAATTTCGCACCTCATGTCAGAGAAGATTCCTCGAAAATCAAAATCTAAAGTTCCGTAGCTATTTGCCCTGTCTCCGGCTATGTCAAAATCTATCAAATGTGAAAATATGTTGATTATTGTAAATATTTCGGCAATATTTAAAAAAAACCGACAACTTTGGTCATTTCGGACTTTTCACACTTTAATAAGAAAGGATATCTCGTGTTGGTCAGCATTAACTAAGTATTGTTGTGTACATGTATATATTGTCTTGTTATATTTTCATATTTTATCATTGCTTGATAATGACTAGAGAAACCTATTCCATAGAATTGTGACCTGTATCTTCCAGATCAATTACTAAATGCCATTGAAACAATTTAAAGTTACAATTTCATATTTTCTAAAAAAGTCAAAACATAATTATTTCTATGTCTTTTGCTCAATAGGTTGTCAACTCACTATTATACGATCATAGGTTATCTTTCTCACACTTAAAAATCTTCACAACGGAAATAATAACACAATTACCTCCCTTGTTTTACTATTCCACACCATTGAATAGCTATCTTCAAAGTTTGAATTTGAAGTTGAAAATGATATTTTTGCCAATTTCTCAACTGGCAATAGTGATTAATAGGATTATTCTTTAACAAGGTAGGATTGTTTTTAGATACCATCTATTTTAAGGCTTTATTTTAATACATTTTAAAAATATAACTTAAAAATATGAAATTGTAACTTTAAGGAGTGAGGTGTACTAATAAATTATTCAAAATTCGACTTTTAAATACTAGCTTGGAATGGAAGAAATATAAAATATTATGGATACACAATTCACAGAATCTTCATGTATTTCAAACAAACCATTAAACAGTAGTTGTAACAACACAATTTCAAAACAATAAAGTCTAAACATCAATTTTTAGGAACATATATAAACATATTTCCATGAACGACTTAATGTTTTCATTATGGCATTGGTAACATCTTTAATTTCACAAAATTAACATTATAATTTGACAGATAATTTATTCTTGTAAATTTATTGCCCATACAGTGTTGCAAAAGTTAAAAATCCAGTATGTCCCTGCATGTCTTGAACAGGGGAGGCTGTCACAAATTCATAACAATCTTGTCCTTTCTTTTTGTCTTTATTGTTTTTACCAGAATTATTTGTATTTTCAAGACATGGCTTTTTAGCAACACTTTCACCAGTTTCAACCATATCATCATTTGTTCCCATTTCTATTGGTTTTTTTCTATCTATTTTAACTTTCTGCATTTTTTCTAATTCAGTTAATTCCCCCAAGCTAGCTTTAGGCAAGCCAGTATGCTTAACATGGAATTTTCTCAACAGGCATTCTAAAATTTTGATGTCTTGGAATCCTTTTTCAGTTAAAGTGGCACAAGTTTGGCTTACTTGTTCTATACATGGAGAAAAAGAACATATTCTTCCACCTTGAAAATAAAACATAAATGGAATGCAGAGATTGATTAGTTATGTATTTATCAGTATAATCTGACCTGATGGGGTCAATGTAAATGCATATAAATAGAGAGAGAGAGAGAGAGAGAAATGGGGTTTAACGTCCACTCGACACAGTTAAGGTAATTTCGGGACCAACATATGGTTTAATTTTATTTCAATAATTTGCTTTCGCGAAGGGGTCTTTAGCAGTTGGAGGAAACCAGAGGACCCGGACAAAACCCATGAGGTTGGACAGGTGACCATACTCCATGTCACTAACAAACTGGGGATTCGAAACCAAGCCAGTTGACTCAATGACAGGCCTTATGATACAGCATGCACATGCTAACCATTCGACCATCCACCCCCCCACCCCTTGCATATAAATAAATACAATGCAACCCTTTCTAAAATGACAGCTGAGTTGCTTCTGGTAAGTTTAACAAATATGTAAGATACTTGATAATTACATCATTGTAATGTTATTGACAATATTGACTGAGCAGTACCTACAGACCAATTAATCACCATTGTTTATTTTCTTCTTTTGATTAGGGTTAAGTTTGATTTGGTGATATAACTGTTTTAAAAGGTAACTAACTACTCCATTTTGCCACAGAAAAGAAAGATAGGTTGCCAGGCAATGAAACATACACCCACAGCTTGGGCTGGCAATCAATACCGATTTTAAATATCGATATTGGAAAATTTGAAGTTGAAAGAAATAACTGTTTGTATAATGTATGCTAATAATGCATTTAAAATCGAGTTATTTCCCCATAACAATTAATTAATTAATTATTCATTGTCATTGTTGTAAACGGCCGCACAAATTACGTATATATTGTCATCGCCCACCTCCGTCCGTTCATATTTTGTTTGTGGACACTCTACAAGTCACAATTTTTATCCGAATTTGACAAAACTTGAAATATAGGTTTACATCACAAAGATCTTGGTTCCTTTCGATATATTGGCATATATCAGACCGTAACTTCATCAATTATGGCCCCTGATTGTACGAAAAATCAGGTCTTAAGCTTGTGGGCACTACAGAGGTCAGAATTTTTATCTGATTTTGTACTATCCATGTTAACTATCTTCCCGTTCGTTAATTTCAAGTATTTCAACTGCCAATAAATTAATAAACACAACTTTTATTAATTTATGTGTGCTGCGATAAAAACCAAAAGAAAAATCATAAAATATGATTGTGTTAAAATTAAAAAGATGGACAATCTGTACCTTGTAGTTTAATGGCCTGTTTAGCTGATTCAATACAACTCCAAGGTGAAGGTAGATCTAGAAAAACAGCATCAGCAACATGATTTAGTTGGAAGCCATCATTACACACATCTCGATGAGTTATTGTCACATTATCTGACAAACCATGTTCTACAAACTCTTGACCAGCTTTCTCAAATCGATCTTTGTGAAACTCAAATGTGAACAAATGACCAGTTGGCATGACACTTCTTATAATAGCATGTGATAAAGATCCGCTTCCAGTACCTATAAAACAAAGAGTAAAGCGATATTTTGATAGGGAGATTGACATGGTCTAGTGGTCTAGAGTGCAGCGCTTCAAGCTCTAGCTGGACTGTCACCTATGGCTTGCAGCCATGGTTTTGATTCCTGGTGTAAGGATATGTGGCTTTAAAGGGACAATAACACTCTTGCTGGCTTGACAGCTCCAAAAAATAAAAAATAGCCTTATTCTAAGTATTAGATGTGTTAGTGTTCTACCGGTTGTGTAAATTATCCATTAAATCCTATTTTACTTGTCCAGAGGGTTCAAAAATATTTTTAAATCCAAGTCACACTTGAAAAGCTTTAAGTCAGGCTTTTCAAATCATTTAGTTGAATTTTTCCGATTTTTTAAATTAGGTGTGTTAAGATGAAATTTGTATCATCAATTAATTTGAATATTGTAAAATAGTGCAATTTGTTGACCAGAATAAAGATTTATATCATTCAGTTACAACAAGAGTTTTTCTCCCACATGCGAGAATCTACTAAAATAAAGATTTGTCTGCGATATCTCTCACAGTGGAAGCGGACGTTAAATTGTCAATAAACAACAATCTTTTGATACGAGCTGACTTAAGTATCATCTAGACTGTTTTCCCTATGCAATTGAGAAATAGGAGAGGAAACAACCAACTGGTCATCCAAACCACCTTCGAGAACAAAATGCAGAGGTAAGTAAAAGAGGTAGAAAATAGATATGGCAAACTGAGCACTATTACAAAGATAGGTTGCCAGGCAACGAAACATACGCCAACAGCAGCTACATCGTCCGAGTGGTCGACAAGGGTTGTCACACATTTATTCTTTTGTAGATAATTGGGGGCATTTATTTACAAGAGAATTTCATACAGATCAGATTATAATTTTTTCGTCGTTTGAGGGTTCACAAGGTTCTACAAACTGAAATAAGGGCCTTAACTCTGGAAGTAATGTACAGAAATTGTTGAAATTTGAATGGCTTTTTCATTTCACTAATTCAAATAATGCATATACATGTAAATTTCATACAGATTGGACTATAACTTTTGCCATTTGAATGTTCACAAGTTCAACAAAATAAATTAAGGGCCATAAATTTAGATCAACAGAAATTGATGACATTCAATGTGATTCTTGATTTCACTAATTTAAATAATGCATACAGATCAGATGATAACTTTCATCATTTGAGGATTCACAAGGTTCAACAAGGACAATAACTTTACAAGTAATTATTTGAAAATGCTGAAATTCAATAGGATTCTTCGTTTCACTAATTTAAATGATGCATAAATTTTGTACAGATCAGACGATAACTTTCGTTCTTCGAATGTTCACATGGTTCAGCAAAGTTAAACAAGAGCTATAACTCTAGTCGTAATTATTGGAAATTGCTGAGGAGTCTTCGTGTCACTATTTAAATGATCTGTGTAAATTTCATACAGATTGGACGATAACTTTGTCATTAGAGCATTTACAAGGCGCAAAAAAGTAAAACACGAGCCATAACTTCAGAAGAAATTAACGGAAATTGCTGAGATTCAATGTGATTCTTTGTTTTACTAATCTAAATGATGCACATAAATTTCATACAGATCAGATAATAACTTTTGTTGTTGGAGCGTTCACAAGTTTCAATAAAGTGAAACAAGAACAATAACAAAGTGAAACAAGGGCCATAACTCTAGACGTAATTAAAGGAAATTGCTGAAATTCGATAGGGTTTTTCGTTTCACTAATTTAAATGATGCATATAAATTTCATACAGATCGGATGATAACTTGTCTCGCTCACGACCATTAAATTATTATAAACTTTATACTGTACCAGCTTCTACTACAACTGAACCAGCTGTTAGTTCAAGTTGAAACACTATCATGCTAATATCTGTTGAATATAAAATCTGTGTTCTGTGAGGCACAGCTTGTGTCCAAAGTTCTGATGTTGGATGTAGCAAATATATCCATCCTTTAGGACAGTTAATTTTAGTACCATAGTTTTTGCCAATGAGATCGCCGTGTTTTATAGCACCGTACGCCGTCTGCAATGTTTGTCCTAAATTTATTTTTAGTGGCGCAATATGAGATGGACTGAAATATAAAATAACTTTATCGCCATTTTCCACCGATTTCTTATAGCTAGAAAACCCCATCTCGATGTATAATAAGTTTTGAATTCCCTAGCATTACTCAATAGCCTAAACCTTAATAAAGGAAATCACTTTGGACACTACTGGATCTCGAGTAGACTAATCACCGGAATCTACCTGAAGTCACCGGAATTCACCGGAAGTCATTTACAATCACCGGAATTCACAGGTATTCACTTCGAAAATCCCCGATTCCTCCCACAAAACTAATTTATTTTAAATGTATAATACATTATAATATAACGAATAACTATTTTGATCTCTCTGACGGCACGTCGAATTATCCAATAACTGCCCAATAAGACCCAATAAGACCTAAAAATACCCAATACTCCAAAATAACACCCAATAACTCCAAAATGTTGACTTTGGAAACACAAAATAACAATTTAGTTGAATTTAAGAAGCTTCGCTGCCTTGTGACTTGTGCCTAAATCGGGGTTTCACGCAAATTCGCCTGAAGGAAGATAACTCGAGTATCTGATTTATGTTGTCATTTAATGTATGCTTTCGTTCAGGCCCGTAGCCAATGCCCCATCCCCCCCCCCCCCTGAAAAAATGTTTTGCCCCTCCCCGGCGAAAAAATAAATGTGCAGACCATAGCTCTAAAAATACTTACTGTAGACTGTGCCGGGTGTGCCCCCCCCCCCCCCCCCCATAAAAACTTCACTGCGCCCTTCCCCCTGAAAAAATGTTTTGCCCCCCAAAAATTTTTTTTGCAGACCATAGCTCTAAAATACCTACTGTAGACTGTGTCGGGTGTGCTTTTTTGCAGACCATAGCTCTAAAATACCTACTATAGACTGTGTCGGGTGTCCCCCCCCCCCCCCAATAAAAATTGGTGATGTCAAATTCCAACACGAAACAAATTCTGTGAAAACAACAGCTTGCAGAAAACTGAAAAATCTTGATGTTGAACAATTTGCTCAGGGACTAAATAAATCCTTTTTAAAAGATCCAGGTGATAATATAAATGCTCTGGTCAATAACTACAATACCAATGTTACAAAATCTGTCGATTTGGTGGCACCTCTAAAATCTAGGAAATCTAAAGGTTCAAATCTCAAGTCTTGGTACACTGATGATATTGATGAGGCGAGGAAGGAGCGCAAAAAATCTAAGAGAGCATAGCAGTGATGGGTAATTAGTGGTACACAAGGAAATATATAAATCCAAGGCAGGAGCGGTTGTGAAGAAAATTGAACGTGCTAAATCGGTTTATTTCGCTTCCAAATTAGATTCATCAGATTCTATTAAAAAGCTGTTCAAAGTTGTAAAAACTCTCACAGTTGATGTATCTAGTAAACTTCCCTCTAGGACCAGTCACCAGCAATTGGCAAAAGGTTTTTGTCAATTTTTTATAAAGATAAGGTCAGTAACTTAAGAAAAGAGCTCGACAGCGAAACCCATGCTAATGACTCCTTTGCAGATTTCTCTTCACTTTCACTCTCTTATCTCAAAGTATTCGAGTCTGCGTGACAACCGATACTGTTAAGGCTACAATACTTAGGGCGAAATCTGCAACCTGCAGTCTCGATCCGATACCAAAGTGGTTATTTAAGAAGAGACCTGTGCTCGATTCTCTTATTGGCATCATCACCAGGATTATAAATACTATCCTGTTGTCAGCAACAGGCCTACATCTTTGAAATGTGCATTAGTACTACCAATATTAAAGAAACCTAGTCTTGATCAAGATATTTTAAAGAACTATAGACCAGTTTCTAATTTACCATTCCCTGAAAAAGTTTTTGAAGGTCGTCGCGCAACAAATCACAGAATATCTAAATAGAAATCATCTTCATGAACCTTTACAATCTGCATATAAAATAGGTCACAGTACATAGACAGCTCTACTGAAAATAAAATCGGACATTGACACGTCGTTAGATAGAAACTGTGGAATTTTGTTGGTCTTGCTAGACTTAATCGCAGCATTCAACACTACTGAACACCAGATACTTTTTAGCAGACTAGAAACTCGGGTCGGCATCACAGGAAATGTGCTGTTGTGGCTTCAATCCTACCTTCAAAACAGGAGTCAGCAAATACTAATCGGGGAAACGCTCTCGGACCCAGTCTCGTATTGTTCATTGGAGTTCCCCAAGGTTCAGTTCTGGGTCCAACGGTCCATTATTATTTTTGCTATATACTTGCTTCCACTTGGACCTCTTATCCGAAGACAAAATGTTCAAAATCACGGTTTTGCTGATGATACCCAGTTGTATTGTTCGTTTGGTATTTCTGACCCTGTACCATTACGAGAATCTTTACATAAAATAAAAAAATGTTTGGCTGATATTCACTTATGGATGTCTTTCAACAAACTAAAATTAAATGATGAAAAAACTGAATGTTTGGCTGTGTATCCTAAATCTCAGATAAAAAAACATTAGAGAAATTCCTGGTTTAAAAATCGGAATGGCCCCTGAGTACGAAAAATAGCATTTTTAGCTTGTGATCCCTCTAGAGGTCACAATTTTTATCCGATTTAAAAAAAACGTTCGAATATATCACCGTTACACCGTAATGCTTGTCTAGTTCAAATTTCGTGAAAATCGGGGCAAAACTGCTGGAGAAACTGGCCGTCCCACATGCGCAAATAGTGTAAACATCTGGTAAATCAATGTTGTTGACCCTCTAGAGGTCACAATTTTAAACCGATTTCGATGAAACTTGAAATACATGTTTATAACCCAAAGATATTGGTTTCTCTCGATATTCGCGCATATCGGATCGTAATTTCCTGAAATATGGCCCTTGATTGAACAAAAAATCACATTTTTAGCTTGTGGTCCCTTTAGAGGTCACTATTTGTATCCGATTTAAAAAAAACGTGTGAATATATAAGCATTACAAACTAAGATCTTAGTTCCTTTTGATAATCGTGGATACCCGAACTTAACTTCCTGGATTATAGCCCCTGATTGTTCGAAAAAATCGCATTTTTACCTTGCGGATTCTCTAGAGGTCACAATTTTCTTCTGATTTTTAAAACCGTTTAAATACATCACCATTCCACCAAAAGGTTGAATTCGAATTTCGGGAAAATCGAAATGAAAATGCCCGACAAAATGGCCGCTCTGTGTACGCAAATTGTGTAGAAGTGTGTAATACGAAGGTTGTTGACCCTCTAGAGGTCGCAATTTTTATCCGATTTTGATGAAACTTAAAACATATCTTTATATCCCAAAGATCTCAGTCCCTTTTGATATTTGCACATTTCACGCCGTAACTTTATGGATTATTGCCCCTGATTGCAGTACAAAAAGTCACGTTTGTTTTAGCTTGTTCTCTATCCATCTCTTGCAAAATGTCGGCGTATCCTGCCTGGCTGTCGCTGGTTCTCGGGGGCCGTCGCTGGTTCTCGACACCCTTGTCTTTACATGAAGAATTCAAGCTTTTATGACCAGGTAGTAATTAACACAGCCATTCACCCAATTGGAGGAGACGTACACCACAACTTGGCTCCCAAGATGGATTATCTATAGTAAGTTAACAGTGGTCAGCTATGACAGAGATTAGAAACAATAATAGCATGGTCCATGATAATAGTAATGAGATAATCCATCTATAAACATAACATAATCAAGGCCCATATAGTCACCTGAGCAAATGAATGAATGGATGTCAATTAAATACTACCCCTTAACAACTATAAAATATTATTAAAGTTACAATTTCATATTTTTCTAAGAAAGTCAAAACATTATAATTATTTCTATGTCTTTTGTTCGATAGGTTGTCAACTCACTATTATACGATCATAGGTGTCATTCTCACACTTAAAACTCATTTACACCGGAAATAACACAATTACCTGAAAATGATATTTTTGCCAATTTCTCAACTGGCAACAGTGAATTATAGGATTATTAGGATTATTCTTTAACAAGGTAGGACTGTTTATAGATACCATCTATTTTAAGGCTTTATTTTAATAAACTTTAAAAATATAACTTAAAAATATGAAATTGCGACTTTAAGTTTAAATATATAAAGTATTAATTATTGTTTATTGTTACCAAGTAACCTCTAGTATATTAGAGGAAAGATTGTAGATCATAGGTGGTTAAACCACAGGCAGGTAGGAGAACATACTGAAGGGCAGGTCTCTGATAAGTTATTTCTTAGATGCTGTTCCTTATTAAGTTACCTAGCCTGTGGGTCAGTATTGTATTTATATTATTATTGTTTAAGTATTGTTACAGAATATAAGATTATACCAAGAAGAAATGAGTTATTTAATTATTGTATGTTCAATCTTACACCCCCCAACTAGATTGAACATATAACCAATCTTCGAAGGTTGGACTATAAGCAGGTCCCAAACCCCCCGGATGACATATCATCTTTCGACACAAAATAAGAGAATACATTTGATTGGCTTGAAGTTTTATTTACCTCTTTTTATATTTCCAATAGTCAAATAGCAGACGTTAAAAAAATGCCAAGGGAAAATTACTTTTACTAATATTTCTTATAACAAAAATCGCCATGGAAAATTCACAAAACTCAGGCAAATGTATACATCAAATTAAAAAGATTACGTAAATATTTACAATTTGTAGGTTAAAGAAATATGTTAACACGATTTTATAGAGGAGTATAATATCTACTTCTGGCATTCAGGGTCGAAAAATATTCTATTTGTGGAATTCTTACTGGTTTGTGTGTAGTGCATTCTTTGCTGGCACTTTGGGATTGTCGCAAAATCTCAACAGTTGCGTCTGAATGAATAACCCACGTATAAATCTTGGTCAATTGCCCATCCACACTGACAGAGAGAGAAATGAAATGAAATGGGGTTTAACGTGCTACTGTTTTGCTCCAACTGGGCTAATGAAGATGGGCATACGCCATACAGTGTGCTTTGAGGGACATTTTGCCCGGACAGCCTACTCTTATATCAAATTCCAACTACCAAGAGATCTTTTACGTGCAGGCTAATGTGTAGATAGAATCTCGTTTTTCCCTCCCGTCCAAATGACTAGACAGCTGTCCTTGTGAGACTCTCTGTCCTGCACCACTGACAAGGGGAAACCATGCCAGAAAATCCTGATGAACATCTCGGCCAACACCGGGAGCGAACCTGCGACCTCCAGACTAGCGAGCCAGCTTCTTACCCACTTAGCCACCGTGGCTCTCAACGCAGTAAGAAAACGTTGACATGTGTGGATTTTGATTTGAGTTTAAGACAAAATAACTGACATTCAATTTATCATTTTGTATCCGCGGTGTGTCTTTCAACCCACCCACCCAGTTCCGTGGGTCATTCGTTCGGAAGTAATTGTTGAAATTTTGCGACAGAACAGAATATAAAATCCCGGTTTAATTATATACATCTAAAAATAGAAACTAAAAAACACTAACAACTTAATATCCTTTAAGTAATATTATAAACCATACACACCAGTCATAACAAATACACAGTCAATAAAATTCCCATATATACAATTACTTATACCAGTATATTGCTATGGTATATACAATAACTCACAGTCTAGCATTATATATCACTCTAGACTACACAATAACTCACAGATGACTTGCAGGATGAGTATCACTCCGCAAACCTCAGCAGATTCCAGTACCCTTCATCTAGCCTCGGCTGTATGACGAAGTCCGCCATTGGAACTACTTTCCAGTTCACGGATTTACCAACAGTGTTGCCCATGATGACTCCTTTGAAGAACGTTTTATCATACAAATATTTCAAAGTCTGAAGCTGTTTTTCTTTCAAGTTTATCCAATTTTCTTCAAACAAGGAAAACTTTGCACTGAAATTCTACACATGCTTCGAACGACGCAATTTTGATAACTTCTTTTTAAAAGCGGCAAGTTTTCCTAATAAGTAAACCGGTGCCGTATTGTAATTTTATAGGTGTAGGTACATATCACTAACTGTCATACAGCTGAGGCTAGATGTAGAGTACTAGAATCTGCCGAGGTTTGCCGGGTGGGATGAGTCTACAATATAATATAATATACTCATACCAGTATATCTCTATAGGTTATACACAATAACTCACAGATGATCTGAGTATCATACATCTCTATAGTTTATACTGAATATCTCATAGACTAGGATTAGGTCTCTACATATACTCATGCCAGTATATATCTCTATAGTTTATATAATAACTCATTCATGAGTTTTATATATCTCTATAGGTTATATACAATAACAGCTATTGTCAATAACTCACAGTCTATTATTGTATATCTATATATCTTTATACACAATAACTCATAGCTGAGTATTACATATATCTCCAAATATCTTTATAGATTATAGTCAATAACCCTCAGCCTATTATTATATATCCCTATATCTTTATACACAATAACTCATAGCTGAATATTACATATATATATCTATAGATTATACACCATAACTCACAGTCTAGTTTTATACATCTCTATTGACTATATACAATAACTCACATATGAGTATCATATATCTCTAGAATATAGACAATAACTCATGGTGAATACATAATAACTCACAGATGAGTATTGTATATCTCTATAGTATATACACAATAACTCACAGTAGTATTGTATATCTCTATATATATGATACACAATAACTCACAGCTGAGTACCATATATCTCCATAGTATATTCACAATAACTCACAGATGGTATTGTATATCTCTATAGTATATACACAATAACTCACAGCTGAGTACCATATATCTCCATTATGTATACAAAATAACTCATACCAATATATCTCTATAGATCGTACACAATAACTCCTAAATGAGTATAGATTATACACAATCTATATATATATATATGTGACCTGTGATTGCAAAATGAGTCAGAGAAAAATGTGAAAATAGGCTAAAAATATATTTTTAATGTATAACACCAAAGGTATAAGTTTAGATTTGACAAATAAAGCAAACTATTTTTTTTTATTATTATTATTTTAGCCTATTTTGACATATACCTTAACAAAGTGGCTATTTTTACGGCACATAATATTGGCAGATTATTTTTACGGCACATCCTGTCGTGCCAATGATGTATATTAACTTTACGGACCCATAATCCACTATTCCGAATGCACACTTCAATTCCGGAAAATGGCCGACCTGGCAGAAGTTCAATACTTTTGATTGTCTTTTGGCCTCCATAAGAAAATGGAAAGCCTTGAATTTCGTTGGCTTATATACAAGAAGTTCGTGGACCATTGAGGCAATGTCAAAATGGGCGACGAAGAGAATATTTAATTAAAAATTAAGGTTTGGTGAACTGGACTATTCGTGCATTCACGGTGGCAGGAAATTGGAAATCCAGGTCCAAAGGCAAGCATCCCATCTACGTACTTACGTACGACTGCACTATTTTCCCAATAGCCTATCAATATTGGATTATGGGTCCGTAAAAATAACCACTTTGGTAAATTAAACAATGAATTACGACTTCCGAATCACACATCAAATATGTCTCTATAAAACTAGTTAAATATTAATAATGTAGTATCACCACAACGTAATATAATTCAATAACTGAAAGCACTGGTTAATATTAAAATATACTATATAATAACAATTTTCAAAACAAACAAAAAACTTCTCTTTGGTTAATATCAGATAGATTGATTGATTGATATATACTTTTATACGCATTTAGGAAAAAATAAAAAAATGGATAACATTTCTCATTGTTATGATACTAGTCTATCTCTAAACCAAATGTAAATGAAATGGGGTTTAACATCCTACTGTTCTGCTCCGACTGGGCATACAGCGCAGGCCTACAGTGTGCTATGAGTGAAATTTTGCCCAGACAGCGGCACTACGTCCTATGCTTATATCAAATTCAAACTGCCTAGGGATCTTTAACGTACACACCACTGTGTACATGGGGCCTTGGTTTTTCGTCCTATCTGAACGACTAGACAGCTGTCCTTTTCAGGCCCACCTTCCAGCATCACTGACAAGGGGAAACCACACCGAAAACCCCCCCCAGAACAAATGTAAATGAACACTGATCTTCCAATATATTCATCTTCCTTATAAAACAATATCACAGAGAAAATGGGAACAAATAAAAAAAAATCGGTGATGCACATAATCCACATTTCAAACTAATGCCCTTGTAATATAATATAACAAATAACCATGTTTATATATATATAATGATATCAGATAGGCCTAATATTCAAAATAACATGTAAACTGAATCAAATAGTTGAATCTTATTAAAAAATGACTAAGAATATTCAAATGATATTTGAATAATGACTTAAAATATTGAAATTGTTATATCAATATTCAATGTGACCACTAATTGGAGCTACAAAATATCAGATTTATCTTATACGAGTTGATGTTTAATCAATGTGTAGAGTGAAGCAGCAAGCCCTATAAGCCCTTTAGCAGTGGGGGGAAACGGGAGGACCCGGAGAAAACACATGAGGATGGACAGGTGACCATACTACTTGTCACGTAAAGCTTGGACTCAAAACCACGCCACTTGACTCAATGACAGAACTTGTGATTTCACGCGCATGCGTTAACCTCTATATCACAGTGGGAGGAAACTGGAGAACCCGGAGAAAACCCACAAGGATGGACAGGCGACCATACTTCTTGTCACGTAAAGCTTGGACTCAAAACCACGCCACTTGACTCAATGACAGAACTAATAACCACCCCACCCCCCACCTATTATACAACCTTAGAGCTAGAAACCATACCACTTGCCTCTAAGACAGACCTTCTTAGCTAAAGCGCTAGTGTTAGACCACATGACCACACAACCCATCTTATTAGTGAGAGAAGATGTAAGATTTTATATTAGAATAAAACCAATTATATATTAGATATGTTAATATAACGTATTGAATAAGATTTCAATCTGATTAAAACACAGATCCTATTTCTTTTCGTTTTTTATAGTTTTGAATTTCGTTTTACTTGTCTTTACTACACTAGGATCTGGAAGAGTTGTTATATAACCCGCGTTTTAGTTGATGCGAGGGATTAGCCAATGAAACAGTCTGTTGCAGTGAGTTCTTGACGTGCGATGCACGTAACTGTGGGTATCCTACTAGTAGAGACATCAATGCTGAGCGGTTAATCGAATGTCTAACATCATAGGTTAAAAAGCCACTTGTATGACTCCTGATGCAGCCTTCCACTACAACTGGTCAAATCTTCATGTAGTAGAGGCCATATAACGAAATATAGATCTGTAATTTAATCAAATTGAAAGGATTTTAACATAAATTGCCATTTATATCTGGAGCTGAATCGGAGGAAGGGAGTGAGGAAGGAAGCGAAGATGGCATATCAACGTTCTCGAGATCGTACAATACTTCTAATACACAGCCTACACTCCATGCCTGACCTCGACAACTGTCTCGACAATACTGAAAATATAAAACATTTATAATCAAATTAATATTGATAATGTGGGGGTCACAGGGTATTGGAGAGAGAGAGAGAAATGGAGTTTAACTCCACTCGACACAAACTAGGTCATTTCGGGACTAACTTCTGGTTCAGTTTTATTTCAATAATTCGCTTGCACGTAAGGGTCTTTAGCAGTGGGAAGAAACCGGAGAACCCATGGAAAACCCGGCAGTTGACTCAGTGACAGACTTTATGATATAGAAACGGCATTGGGGTTAATTTAAAGATACATTATGTAAGATTTAGCAACAGAGCTGATCGTTCTTGCTGTAACAGTTCACAAATAGATAACACAAAATTAATATTTTGAAAATTTCATTCAAATTACTTTATTCTGAGCGAAGTTATCATTGTTTGGAGTTTTGACAAGATTTCGCATTGACTGTTTATTATCGTAACCAAGGTGCTAGTTATTCAAGTCTTAGCATCACTTCTCCATTTTTAAATTAAATTAAATCATTAAATAGCCGAAGTGCTCTAATCTACTTAAAAGTGGAGCCATCTGATGACCTGGAGAGCTGATCATGGTCGTCATGTTAATAAATGTTTAAATAATAATTTACATAACATTTGAGGCAACAATAATGACTTGCAATAGGCTGTTTTAGCTCTTACATAATGTACCTTTAATTAACAACTAATCATCATTTGAGGCAACAATAAAAACCTACAATAGGCAGATTTAGTTCTTACATAATGCACCTTTAATTAAAGTCTCATCATCATTTGAGGAATTTTGAATCGCTTGAAAGTTGAATCACTAACGGTTCAATTCCGTTATGAAAATGGTTCAATTCCGTTATGAAAATGGTTCAATTCTGTTACAAAAATGGTTCAATTCTGTTACAAAAATGGTTCAATTCTGTTACAAAAATGGTTCAATTCTGTTACAAAAATGGTTCAATTCTGTTACAAAAAAGTTTGATTCTGTTACAAAGATATGATGAATTGAAAATGTCAGGATTCTGTATTCTCTACACAGACAACCAATCTCATTAAAACACAGATTCTATTTCGTTTCGTTTTTATAGTTCAAAATTTCGTTTTACTTGTCTTTACTACACTAGGATCTGGAAGAGTTGTTATTATTGACGTGTTCTGAATGGCGTGAGGAATTAGCCAATGAAACGGTCTGTTTCTGTGAGCTTTAGGCATGTTTTGCACGGAACTGTGGGTAATCCACTAGTAACATCAATGCTGATTGGTTAATCAAATGTCTGGCGTCATAGGGTCAGAAGCCGCTCGTATGACCTCTGACGCGACCTACTGCTACAACCGGTCAGATCTCCATGTTGTGTAGGGCATCAAAAGTATAAAAGAACGAAACGAAATATAGATCTGTATTTTAATCAGATTTCACAGACAGCATATGGGCTAATGAAGACGGGCATATACGCCATGCGTTGTGCTATAACGAAAATTTTGCCCGAACAGCGGTGCTACAGCCTACTCATATATAGAATTCCAACAGTCAAGGGATCTTTAACGTGCACATCAATGTGTACATGGGACCTCAGATTTTTGTCCCATCTGAATGACTAGACAGCTGTCCTTGAAATATTGTCGTAAAGATTTAGATGACTGAATGTATTTTGAATGAAAGATGGCATACTACTTACCGATCCGTTAGAATTGGTTAATTCAGGAAGTGATTGCCATGGTGACTTCATTAATTCTAGATAATGATTGGCTAATCTAGATTCTATAAATCCAATAGTTTCCTTTAAAATACCCTGTTTCTTCGACTCTAATTTACTAGCAAAATATAACTTGGCTCTCAGAAAATATCCAATTGGCCATAACCATTCCTTAAAAATAGAAGACAATAGTAAATTGAATGTAAATAGGAAATGGAGTTAAATGTTTTCTGAACCAACTGGGCCAATGAAGACAATGAATCGTGTAAGAATATCAGGGGCGGTTCCACAGGGGGGTCAGTTTATCAAACACAATTTCAATATACAATTTCTTTTATTATAAATAATTACATTTATTCACTTTGTCAAGACCCCATTTTGTACGCTGTAATTTTTACTTTAAGTTTAGACTTATGATTTTATATGTAATTGTCTCTTTTCAAGAATGCATGATATACAAACATGCATACATTATTTATAACATCAACATCAGCCCAATTAAACTGATATCAAAAGATACAATCACAGATACAGGGCTTAACATCCACTTGACACAAGCTATGTCATTTTAGTACATATTGTACAATGGCGAGTAGGTGGAGGAAACACAAGGACTAGAGGAAAACAAACGAAGTTATGTAGGTGACCCTACGCCTTATCACATACCAGCTTGGGATTGAAACCATGCCGATTGACTCAATGAGTGAAAGAGTGAAAGTGAGAGAGAGAGAGAGAGAGAGAGAGGTTATTTCAGGACTAACATATGGTTCAATTTTGTTGCAATAATTTGCTTGCACATAGAGGTCTTTAGCAGTGGGAGGAAACCAAGGACCTGGAGAAAACCCACGGGGTTGGACAGTCGACCATACTCCTGTCAAGTACAACCGGGCAATCAAAACCATGCCAGTTGACTCAAAGTATCAAAGTACAATAAATGGATGGAAGAATCCCCTAACGAAAAAGGAAGCAAAATTTGAACTGGTGAGGCCTGATGTGAAAGATATTTTCACACAGCTTGAGCATTAAACAAACCGCATGTGTAATTATCATAATTTAAACATGCATTATGCAAGAGCAAAATCTGCTTATTACAAGTCTTTCTTTAGGCCTGAAATGTTATCTAAATTATCAATTAGACATTAATTAACTTATGTAGACCATAATAAACTCTCGATGTCAAGGCTAGCCTTCGATGTTGGCTGGATTAGATTCCTATATGCAACTAACGGCTATTGATAATTAAATCAATAAAAGTGGATAATCGAGACTATGATTTTAGTAATGATGACAGAGACTATGCGAAAATTTCACCGGCTTCGTTCTCAGCTCATAGTAGATCAATTTGACTGAAATTTTCAGCAAATTACCTTTACACTATCTAGTTTTTAACTATTATAGCGAGAACTGCCATCTCTTTATCTTATCTCCCATAATGTATCTTTAATAAATTTAAAGGAACTTACTGGTCCTTGATGATAATTAAAACCACAAGCAATACGTCCATCAGTAGAATCATTGGCATTATCATAATCACCAATATAACCCCAGTCTCTAGAATATAAAAATATATCATAACTACCAAAGTCACTAGAATATAAAATATATCGTAACTACCAAAGTCTCTAAAATATAAAAATATATCATAACCCCAGTCTCTAGAATATAAAACATATCATAACCGCCAATATAACCCCAGTCTCTAGAATATAAAAATATATCATAACTACCAAAGTCACTAGAATATAAAATATATCGTAACTACCAAAGTCTCTAAAATATAAAAATATATCATAACCCCAGTCTCTAGAATATAAAACATATCATAACCGCCAATATAACCCCAGTCTCTAGAATATAAAATATATCATAACCCCAGTCTCTAAAATATAAAAATATATCATAACTACCAATATAACCCCAGTCTCTAGAATATAAAATATAGGTCACAGAGGTTAAATAGGTACTATTTAGAATCCTCCACAGAGAGAGAAATGGGGTTTAATGTTCGCTCGACACAAACTAGGTCATTGCGGGTCTTTAGCTGTGGGAGGAAACCAGAGGACCCGGAGAAAACACATAAGATTGGACAGGCCACTCTACTCCGTATCATGTACAAGCAGGGAATCGAAACCATGCCACTTAACTCAATGACAGATCTTGTGATTTCACACGCACGCATAACCACTAGACCACACAACCCGGCTATCTATTATACAACCCTAGATGCCAAATGGTTAGCGATAAAACCCTCCGTGGTTGAAATGTCATACTTTCCTCAAGAACTATAGGGTAAACTTTCTCAGGGTTCCCGCGGCTTCGTCAAACATTTTTTCAAGGATATTCAAGGATAAATATACGTCAAATTCAAGGATTTTCAAGGACATTTTTTAGCCTAAAGTTATAATTTTTCATCTTAAAAATAACCAAAACATTACCAACTATCGTTATAATCTTATATTTAAAAGGAATTGAAGACATTTGAAACAAAATTAAGGATCTCAACTGAAATTCAAGGATATTTTCCTATTTCCGCGAAATTCAAGGATATTCAAGACCTTGAAAATGAAATTTTAAATTTAAGGATATTCAAGGATTTTCAAGGACCGCGGGAACCCTGTTTCTATTGTTTACCCTTTTCAGTTTACAACTTTCCCTTTTTACGGATGGTTAGAGTGATAAAAATACATGTAAGGTCTACTTCAATTATTTACTGTTGTGTTTACAAAATATCTTTTTTAAAAACTGTTTTAAAATGATGTTTATTCATGATATATCTTATATATGGCAAGATTCTTACTTACTTTGGATCTAGGGTTTTCATTCCTAATGGTCCTAATAAATTATTTTGTGCAGTAGTCAGTGCTATCCAGGCTCTTTCTGGTGTAAATAATTCTGGGGCCTATAATAAACATGAATTATATTTGGTACAATATCGGATCATTTATCAGCAATTAAAACATCAGATCATTTTATCATTTATCAGTAATTAAAATATCAGATCAATTTATTAGTGATTACAACATGGGAAATTTGATCTGAGATTACAATATCGCCCATTCGATATCAATCTCACATTACAATATCTAGACATATGATCAGAGATTACAATATCTGATCCAAGATTTCAATATCAGACATTTGATCCAAGATAACAATATCGGGCATTTGACCTGAGATTACAATATCGGGCATTTGATCACAATATCATACATTTGATCCGAGACTTTGTCAAGTACAAATTAACCACAACGTATACAAGCCTGGACATAAGAGAGAGAGAGAGAAATGGGGTTTAACTTCCACTCGATACAAACTAGGTCATTTCAGGACTAACACATGGTTCAATTTTATTTCAATAATTCGCTTGAGCGTAGGGATCTTTAGCAGTGGGAGGAAACCCTACTCCTGTCATGAACAACTGGGGAATAGAAACCCCGCCAGTTGACTCAATGACAGACCGTATGATACAGCGCAGCGCGCACATGCTAACCATTCGGCCATCCAACACCCTGCCTGGACATAAGGCACATGTCACAGACTTTGTCAAGAACAATTAATATAGAAGCCTGAACGTAAGGCACCTGTAGGACACAAATTATCTCATAATGTATATATCATAATAACCAGTGGTTGCCAGGCAAGATATGCCTAAATTTTGTAAGAGATGGACAGAGAACAAGCTAAAAAACAAAAAAAGTGATTTTCATACGATCAGGTGCCATAATCCTGGAAGTAATGATCTGAAATGCGCGATTATCGAAAGGAACCAAGATCTTGGGAGATAGACCTATATTTCAAGTTTTGTTAAAATTGGATAAAAATTGTGATCTGTAGAGTGTTCACAAACAAATTGTGGTCATCCAGGGGCGACGACAATATACATCCACATGAAAATGTTGTCGTTAAAAACATTGTGTAATAATTTGTGTCTAACAGGTGCCTTCTGTTCAGATTTGTTGATGATCAGGCCCCAGATAATGAAAAGGTGAACTGACAATAACTACATACCACAACCATGGCTACTGTAAAATTAGGTCGAAGTTGAAAGTCCGCCCAAAACTGTGTAGCAAAGAAAGAATCTTTATACATTCCACGTCTGTTGATCAGTTCTGGGTTGGGTTCATTGTCGGGATCAGGCTCATCATTTATCCAAAAATTTCTTTCGAAGTTTGATTTTATTTTATTAGCCCAGTCCTTAAATGTCACTTTGGTTTCGTTACCTGGAAGAAAAAAACAATTATTTTGACATTTAAACATACATTATGCAAGAGCTAAATCTGCCTATTGCAGGCCTTTCTTTAGGCCTGAAATGTTATCTAAATTATTAATTAGACATTAATTAACTTATCCAGGCCATAATCAACTCTCTATGTCATCGCTAGCCTGTGATGTTTATTGGATTTGAATCCTATCTGCTGCTCAACGCTCATTGATGATTACATCCAAATCAATTGCTAATCTCGGTTCAGAGTGGTTTACCAAGAACCAAGAACTCGCCGTAACAGACCATATCATTGGCTAATCCCTCACATCAATCAGAACGTGGAATATATAACAACTCTTTCAGATCCTAGTGTAGTAAAGACAAGTAAAACGAAATTTTGAACTATAAAAAACGAAACGAAATATGATCTGTGTTTTAATCAGATTGTAAAAGGACCCTTAACAGTTGGAATTCGAAGGAGAGTAGTCCATAAATGTGATTTACCATCTATTTTTGCCGTAACACCATCATACGGGTAGATTCCCTTGGCGTTGATTTCGTCTAACCATCTTATAGTTGACATACTTAATCCTACAATCTCTACCGCTGATCCATCTCTGTAATACAAACACATAAATAAAATCAGGCTTAACATCCTACTTTTTGGCACCAACTGGGCTAATAAAAGACAGCCATTCAATTTTCGTCATCCATGGGTTTAATTAAATCTCCGCTCAGAGATTTCAACATCAGTTTAACATTAGAGAGTTTAACATCAAATATTTCGATATCAATAAATCCATACACAGCTAATTAATGAAGACACATTTCGGGACTAACATAGTTCAATTTTATCAAGTAATGAAGACTTGGTCAGTTCGGGACTAATATATGTTTCAATTTTATCAAGATTGTGAGTAATGGTGATAAGTTTGGGACTAAGATATGGTTCAATTTTATCAAGACCATGAGTAATGAAGACTCGGTCATTTCGGGACTAACATATGGTTTCAATTTTACCAAGACCATGAGTAATAAGACTAGGTCATTTCGGGACTGACATATGGTCCAATTTTATCAAGACCGTGTGTAATGAAGATTAGGTCATTTCGGAACTAACATATGGTTCGATTTACTAAAACCGTGAGTCATGAAGACAAAGTCATTTCGGGACTAACATATGTTTCAATGTTATGAAGACCATGAGTAATGAAGACTCTGTCCTTTCGTGACTAACATGTGGTTCAATTTTATCAATACCGTGAGTCTTAAAGCTAGGAGGTCATTTCGGGACTAACATATGGTTCAATTTTATCAATACCGCGAGTCTTGAAGACTAGGAGGTCATTTCGGGACTAACACATGGTTCATATATATTTAAGTGAAAGTAATGCTGTCAATACCTGGGTGTAGCTGGTTTGCCTTTATTGCTAGCTTTAATAGAACTACCCATCTTATCCATCCATGTTCCACAATTCCATTCATTACCTCCATACACAAAACCTGTCTCCCATTTTACACCTATTTCTACATTAAACCCTGAAAAAAGTCACACAATTAAATAAACAAATGCTCTGTGCGATGTTTACACATGATCAAATATTCTTATGATGGACGTTTACTTTCTTTTTCTATTTGGGGGGTTGGATGGTTAGCGTGTGTGTTGTATCATTAGGTCTGTCATTGAGTCAACTGGCGTTTAACGTCCACTCGCCACAAACTAGGTCATTTTGGGACTAACATAGGATTCAATTTGCTTGCACGTAGGGGTCTTTAGCAGTGGGAGGGAACCGGAGAACAAGGAGAAAATCTACTCGACTCCTTGTCACGTACAAGCGGGGAATCAAAACCACACCAGTTAACTCAATGACAGAACTTATGATACAACAAGCACATGCTAACTATTCGGCCATCCAACCCCTGCCCCTCCCTCAGTTTTTTTATATGCTACATAACAAATTATCAAGGAACTTTGTTGTTGAACATCAGGTTCCAACCCAGGACCTCCTGATTAGTGAGCCAGCCCCCTACTCATCAAGTCATGAAAAGTTTCTGATAAAAGAATAAAATAAAGGTACCTAGATCAGTCATCTGTGAATCGATGCCATGACCAGCATTTCTCTCTCGGTATTTTAAACCACTAGCATGTTTTTGTATAGCTTCTTGTATAACATCATATAATGGCTGATCCTATAATATATAAATAAATCTTATTATTTCTACACTAACAGGCCCCAAGTTCACGAAGCATTCTCAGACTTAAGTTAAGAATTTACTCAAAATTATTTGCTTTATTTTAACTAAAATATAGCCTTTTATAAAACATTTGTTGTTTTAATGTATCAAATACATCAATAAGAAACTATGTGCGAAGTTTGTGCTTCTGGATCAAAACATTTCTCATAAACAATGACTGAAAGTTGAGTAAATTCTTAACTTAAGTTTGAGAATGCTTCGTGAACTTGGGGGCAGGACTAATGAAAACATTCTATTTGAGCTACGAGGGAAATTTTAGGCGCTATGACCTACTTTTATTTTAAATTCCAAATGTCAAGGGTTCTATGTGCAAGTTTTATCATTCCATCCAAATTGCTAGACAATAAAATTTAGAATTCCTCACACTTACGACTTGTACATCTCTTATTTAGAATTCCAACTGTCAATAATCTTTTACATGTGTACACGAGAAGTTGTTGTTTTTTATTTATCCCATCCAACAACTAGACATGAAAGTTAAGAAATCCTCTAACTTACCACTTTTCCTGGAGGTTGGACATCCGAATCATCAGTCGGATACAATCGAGATATTTTATCGTGTAATATTTTATATCCGTCTTTAAAATGTCTACAATAATCTTGTATACACTGTAACCACCACCATACAGCATCACGACAATTATATCGCGCTCCTGTACCCTCGTTTAATAAGTTTGGTATTAAACCATGTCGTAGAGTGCCACCAAACGCTAATATTAAACATCTGGAAAACAATCAAAGAAAACAACATAGATTTAAAAAAAAAAAATTAAAATTTATATTGTAGGCCTATATGGACAAATGTTAAATCTCTTTTACCGTAACCCAGGTTTCATTTAATCTTGTGTATCTAGCACTAATTTCTTTTAAAATCGTTCAATATCAACTCTTTGTTTAAAAATTTGTAAAAATCATTTAAAATCATCTAATTTGTACTTGTGTCCAGTTTAAAGCTGACCATTTAATTTTGATAAGTGTCCAATTTACAAGTGTTTAATTTCTTGATCACTGTTAAAACATAAACAACCCAATTGATTAATGACTTATAATGGTTAATTTTTGGCCACTCGACACAAACTAGGTAATTTGGGGACTAACATCTGGTTGAATTTTATTTCAATAATGCGCTTGCATGTATTTGTCTTTAGCAGTAGGAAGAATACGGAGGACCCAGAGAAAACCCATGAGGTTGGACAGGCGACCCTACTCCTTGACATATACAAGCCACTTTACTCAAGCAAATTAACCACCATCTCTCTCTCTATCTCTCTCACCCAGTCTGATTAAAATACAGATCTATATTTCGTTTCATTTTTTTTTTACTTCCGATGGCCTACACTACATGAAGATCTGACTAGTTGTACTGGGAGGTCATGTCAGGGGTCATACAAGCTGTTTTTGACCCTATGATGTGAGACATTGATTAACCAATCAGCGTTGACATTTCTAGGGTTTTACCCACAGTTCGGTGAAGAGCATGCCAAGAACTCGCTGTAACAGATTGTTTCATTGGCTTATTCCTCACATCAACACGAACGCCTGTTATATAACAACTCTTACAGATCCTAGTGTTGTGAAGTGAATTTTGAACTATAAAAAACGAAAAAGAAATAGGATCTGTGTTTTAGTCTGATTGTCTCTCACCTTGTTTCCTGTTGTCTACCTGTCAGTATTGTTAAACCTCTAGCAGCTATAAACGTATCTCGTCCCCAGTTCCTCATATAACCACTGGAAAAATGCGGAAAACCTGCAAGCATTTTAAACTGGTGTATAACATAAAATTTAGGGGGCATTATGTAAGAGATTTACATAAAGAGCTGATCGTTCTGGCTATAATATTTCAAAAACAGTTCTAGAAAGATACTGGAGTGTTTAGTCAAGAGAGAGAGAGAGAGAGAGAGAGAGAGAGATGGGGTTCAACGTCCACTCAACACAAACTAGGTAATTTCGGGACTAACATAAGGTTCAATTTTATTTCAATAATGCGCATGTGCGTCTTTAGCAGTGGGGGGAACTAGAAGACCTGAAGAAAACCCACGAGGTTGGACAGGCGACCCTACTCCTCATCACGTAGAACTGGGGAAACCATGCCAATTGATTAAATGACAGACCTTATGATACAAAACACACATGCTAACCATTATGGCGACCTTTGGTTGCACGGATTATCGCACTATAGTTCAACCTGTGGTCATGACCAGCCATACCATACGATAGAGTATGGTCGGGATAGTTCAGACTGTAGATCGAAAAATAGTCTACATCCGAAGGTCGCCCAGGCCATCCCAACCTAGCCCCCCAACCCCCACCCCCATATTGAATTGTATTTCAGGTGTAATAATATGATGATTACCTGCCGCAAGTGAGAGAGATGTAATAATATGATGATTACCTGCAGCCAGTGAGAGAGGTGTAATATGATTACCTTCAGCAAGTGAGAGACGTGTAATAATATGATGATTACCTGCAGCAAGTGAGAGAGGTGTAATAATATGATGATTACCTGCAGCCAGTTAGAGAGGTGTAATAATATGATCATTACCTGCAGCAAGTGAGAGAGGTGTAATTATATGATGATTACCTGCAGCCAGTGAGAGAGGTGTAATAATATGATGATTACCTGCAGCCAGTGAGAGAGGTGCTTCTTGTTCTTTACCACTATCTTTATCTACCTCAATTCTAGGTTTGGGTTTTTCTAAATTTGGAGACAGCGGAGGAAGTTTGGATGTTTTCACAAATCCACAGAACTGAACGGAACCCATGGCTAGAGCTTGAACAAATGTTGACCCATCTCGGATAAAACTACAAAAACAGAGAAATTTAATTCAATATTGTGGATAATTTCAGCGTGGATAAAGCTATGAAAAATTTGTCTGAAAAATACAAATGAAGATTAACTGCTTCCACTTTGATTTAGTACCAGGTAAAATGTTGAAAGAATTCTAAAAATATTTCTTACTCCGACATTTGTTGAATGATGATTTCTCTCAAAACAACATATGAACCTGTAACCAAGGCATCAAAATAACATGGTATCAGATATCGAGGTGCATTTCGTAGATGTTTAAAAACTCCTTCAAACCATACACCCAGCTGAAATATAAAACATATACTTGTTACCAGTGCTGTATGCGAGATGGATGGGTATGGAAAAGTGATTGATAGTGGTACTGGAGACAGCTGGGCATGGAAAAGTGACTGATCGTAGTATGGAAGAGGACTGGGAAAGGAAAAGTGACTAATCGTGGTATGGAAGACGATTCGGCAAGGAAAAGTGATTGATCGTGGTGTGGGAGACGGCTGGGCAAGGAAAAGTGACTGATTGTGGTATGGAAGATAACTGGGCAAGGAAAGTGATTGATCATGGTATGGGAGAGGACTGGGAGAGGATAAGTGATTGATCGTGGTATGGCTGGGCAAGGAAAAGTGACTGATCATTCGTATAGGAGACAACTTGGCAACGAAAAGAGATTGATCATGGTATTGGAGAGGACTGGACGAGGAAAAGTGACTAATCGTGGCTTGGAAGATGACTTGGCAAGGAAAAGTGACTGATGGTGATATGGGAGACAACTTGGCAAGGAAAAGTGACTGGTCATTGTATGGGAGACAGATGGGCAAGGAAAAGTGATTGATTGTGGTATGGTCCTATGAAAACCATTGGCAGCATGTCAAAGATCCCCTGACAGATGGAAACCAAAATAAGAGTAGGACGTGGCATCGCATGGCATGGTATTAGGTTAGGGTTAGGTCTAGATATTAAGCACTGTAAGAAACACGGTGTTAGGGTTAGGTCTAGATATTAAACACAGTAAGAAACATGGTTTAGGGTTAGGTTTAGATATTAAACACCATCTTCAATAGTATGGTTGGTGAAGAAAATGAACAGCATTTCATTTCAAATATACACAAAATGGGAGGCTCCTGTGAATCCATTATACTGATGCCCAACTAATATGCCCACTCCACCCCCTTCAACCAGGTGTTGTGTACTTACATCATACTTCCCGCCACCCAAAAACCATCCCCCACCTAGCCACCTTTACTTACTTCATACTGCCCCCAAACCATCCCCACTACACCACCCACCCACAGAGGTTCTTTACTTTTATCACCCTTTTTACTCAACCACCCTGGTGTTCTCTTCTTCAATCATACACATCATACTTACTATCCCATCCACCCAGGTGTTCTCTTCTTCCACCATATTTACTATCCACCCACCTCGGTGTTCTCGTCTTCCATCATACTGCCTACTGCCCAGTCCACCCCACCAACCCAGGTGAATGTAGTTTCAATCTGTTGGTCTACTGCCTACTCCAACCCCCCACCCCTTTCATCCAGGTGTTGTTTACTTACATCATAAGTACCCAAACCATCCCCACTACACCACCCACCCACAGAGGTTCTTTACTTTTATCACCCTTTTTACTCAACCACCCTGGTGTTCTCTTCTTCAATCATACACATCATACTTACTATCCCATCCACCCAGGTGTTCTCTTCTTCCACCATATTTACTATCCACCCACCTCGGTGTTCTCGTCTTCCATCATACTGCCTACTGCCCAGTCCACCCCACCAACCCAGGTGAATGTAGTTTCAATCTGTTGGTCTACTGCCTACTCCAACCCCCCACCCCTTTCATCCAGGTGTTGTTTACTTACATCATAAGTACCTGTATGTAGTTTTAATCTGTTGGCGATATAATCCTGTAACCAATCTCCATTACGTAAATTACCACATAATGGATGACCTAGATCATTGGTTGGACGAATATCTGCTAATACTGATATAATACCTGTAATATAAATATAACACCTGTAATATAACACCTGTAATATAAATACAATACCTGTAATATAACACCTGTAATATAAATATAACACCTGTAATATAAATATAATACCTGTAATATAAATATAACACCTGAAATATAACACCTGTAATATAACACCTGTAATATAAATACAATAGCTGTAATATAACACCTGTAATATAAATATAACACCTGTAATATAACACCTGTAATATAAATATAACACCTGTAATATAAATATAACACCTGTAATATAAATATAACACCTGTAATATAAATATAACACGTCTGAATGCCAATCTGATTAAGATACAGATCTATATTTCGTTTTTTTTATACTTTCGATGGTCTCTACAACACGAAGATCTGTCCAGTTGTAGTGGGAGGTCGTGTCATAGGTCATATGAGCGGCTTTTGACCCTATAACGTCAGACATTTGATTAACAAATCAGCATTGATGTTTCTAGTGGTAGACATTTTAGCTTGAAAGCGTGAGACTTGGTATTCGCGATTATATTTTGTATCGATGAATCCGAGAGGTCAGTAGCCAATCGAAATTGCTGATGAAATATGCAGGGATTACGGGAAGGGCTTGATAAAATGTACAGAGTTATAGCGAGATCAAGCCTTCTATTAAAAATGTACTGCTATATGCCTACCTAACCTTATGAAATAATTCTTGGGGTCGTCTGCTGTTTCCTCCCCTAATGCGAGTAAATTATTGAAATAACAAAATACTATATGTTAGTCCCAAAATGGCCTAGTTACCCCTGCTACTATATCATATCAACTTACCCCTTATACCACAATATACCATAGGTCTATAATCAACTTACCCCTTATACCATAGATCCATACCCTAGTATATCATACCCTGGTATATCATATTATATCATATCAACTTACCCCTTATACCATAGATCCATACCCTAGTATATCATACCCTGGTATATCATATTATATCATATTAACTTACCCCTTATACCATAGATCCATACCCTAGTATATCATACCCTGGTATATCATATTATATCATATCAACTTACCCCTTATACCACAATATACCATCAGTCCATACCCTGGTATATCATGTCAACTTACCCCTTATACCACAAGATACCATAGGTCCATAACCTAATATATCATACTATATCATATCAACTTACCCCTTATACCACAATATACCATAGCTCCATACCCTGGTATATATCATACCCTGGTATATCATATCAACTTACCCTTAATACCATCGGTTCATACCCTGGTATATCATATTATATCATATCAACTTACCTCTAATACCACAATATACCATCGGACCATATCCTGGTATATCATACGCTCCTATACCATATCCATCATCTCTCTCTTCATCATTAACACGATATAATGCTCGATTTAAACTCGGTAAATCTAAATTCGACACAATAACACGGAAATTAGATTTATCCCACGTATCGTCAAACATGGTACTACCACTATATGATCTCATTAAATATCCAAACTGTCCGAGACCACGGCGAATTTCTAATATGGCTTCTCTTGACTTGTGAGGTAAACTTGTTCTGAAGAAATAAAGAATTGATAATTATTTGTAAGGTTATAGGAGATACGGCCAAATTTATTTCCTTTTAAATTAGAGATACATTATGTAAGACTAGAAGAATGCCCGGCTTCGCTCGGGGGTCATAACCCCCCGAAACCGGAAGTGGTAGACTAACGCCACCTGGCCTATGTTACTCCCCGGTCCGAGCTAGCCCTATACCCCAAATTTCTGACTCGGGGCAGACATAGTGTAGTCGCCAACCCCGAACAGACAGACAAACGACAGTCACAAATATTAGTATAGATTAGATAAAGAGCTGGCTGTTATCACTATAATAGTTAAAAACTAGATAATGTAAAGGGAATATGCTGAAAATTTCAGATATGCTCCCCCCTGAACCGAGATATTAGCGTTTGAATTTTAGGCCCAGTCTCAATCATCATTACTAAAGTCGGTATGATAAAAAAACCCCACATAGTCTTGATTATTCATTTTTGGATCAAATCATCAATGAGCGCTGAGCAGCAAATTAGATTCAAATCCAGTGAAAATCTGACACATAAGATGCCATCGAGAGTTGATTATGGTCTGGATAAGTTAATAAATGATTAATTAATAGTTTATATGATATTTCAGGCCTAAAGAAAGAATGGCAATAGGCCGATTTAGCTCTTGAATAATGTATGTTTAATACTGAAATTGAAGTTTTAAAATTCCATGACTTTAGACAAAGGTAATGGAGATATGGTCTAATCAACAATAATTCATTTCCTTCTAAACTTAATACTGAAATTTAAGTTTTAATTTTTCAAAAGAGTATGACTGTAGCCAAAGATAAAGTGCAAACTCTCACCCGCAATCAGAAACAAAGTTCTTATGTTCTAAAGTCTTGGCTAACCAAAGAGATGAACTCTGCTTAGCCTAAGCAGAAAATGCTCAGTATGGAACTCGACCATGACATTCACATAAAGAACATCTACATTAAGTTGGAACATTCTGTGTCAGTTAGAAACAGAGTTATTGTTTCCCAGAACGTGTGACGGACAAACCTATTTTAATAGTGCTTAGCTTTCTTCAAAAGGCATTTGACTAATAAAGTCTGACACTGGATA